TGACGGGGCCTACTTATATCGTTATATATTTTTGGCATTGATATTTTGCTCTCGTATAAAATGTGCCACACAGCGTTGAGCGAGCGAATAAGCGCGCACCATTGTTATTGTTATTTTTACCTTTTCCTGTGCATTTCATTGCTTAAATACAGGTTTTTCAATGGCCCCAAAGCTATCAGCGAACATCGTATTAGTCAAATGGTTGATAAAGAAAAAGGACATATTAAACCGAGAACGAGAGCGAACCAAAATTTATTGGCATATTCCGTGTGTAAATACAAAATACAGTTGGACCTATGCTGCCTTGATCTCTGTCATTTTTCGATCGAACATTTTCAAGCACATCAAAATATCATTTGCTACGCAAAAGATGCAAATGGTGGCTGCTGGTATGCGTGTTTATTGATGTGTGTAGGTGTGTCATTCTCTCTCTCCCTCTCTGTATGTGCATTGAATATCCATCAAAAATCCATTTTAAGGCAATAGATAAGTTTTCTCGAAATTTTCGCAAGAGATTCAGATAGACTCATTGGTTTGTCAGTTGGTTCAATTCATTGCGGTGTTGTTTGATTATTCATCGGGAGCCAAGTGCCAAGGGATCGATTTAGATGCGGTCTCACTGTGACCACCCGAAACGAAATAGTGTGTACAGTTCAATTCTGACTCACTCTTTCCCCCGTTCACTTCACTCCCCCTCTCTTACTGTGTATGAAATTATATTCTGCAAATGTGGTCGTTATTTTCGTGCACATATAAACAAATCATAGATTGAACCAATTGTATAACTGTGTGTATTATCACAATCGGTTTTGCCTTTTCCGTAATCTTTTTTGTGCACCACACCAGCTCGACAAGTTTATATAATTCAATGGGTAATGCTCTGAACGCAGTACTGGCTCCTCTGCAGTGTGGATAGCGCGTTCGGTCGCTACCAATTGCTGTATGTGTGATTTTTTTTTGCTATTGGTATGTGCTTCTTGCACCCTCTCTCTCTCTTCCTTTCACTTGGTCCGTTTTGCTACCGCTGTCTTTTGGTGTGATTTTATCGTTGTTGCTTCAGTTCTGACGCTTTTGCGCACTATATGATAGAAATACAAATGAATTGAATCTGCCGCTGTTATCCGGCAGATATATACAGTTCTGTGACCTTTGTCATAAGAAAAATACAAGATTATGTGTGTCGTTACTTTTTTTTTTCCTACTTGCCTTCATTGTCAATCTATCTCTTTCTCAAGCATTTTCTTGGGCTTGTTCAGTGCTTTTCTCGCTCTTGCTACTTTGTCGTCATTTTCTCGCCTTTCATAGATACTGTCACAGATTATTCATGCTGTTTTCAGTATGTTCAATGTTTTCTTGACTTCATTTGTTTTTCTCTCATTCATTTGAAGTCATCTTTTTTTGGCGTTATTTCTTTTTCATTTCAACATTTCAAAAGCGTTTTAAGACGGGCATTTTCTTCTATCTCATTTAATGAATGCAGATTTTTCATGGTAGACAACATGAAATTTATTTTTGTATGGATTTATACATTTTTCATTTATTCTGTTGCGCTTCAACATAATGTGTGCTCGAGGCTGCATAAAAAAGAGAACGAAAAATTAAACGCATCATTGTTGGTCCATCCAAAAATGAAAATAGTCCTCGTGTTTGCACAACTCAACATGTGCTCGAAAAGCCCTTGTATTGCTCTTTCATTTTATCTCTTTCCTCCCTCTCTCTCTTAATCTCTCTTCTCATTTTCTCTTTTACGCTGATTCATTCACGCTGATGGTTGTGTAATATTTTTCATTTAAAATTTGTTTGTAATTGCTTAATTACTCCATACAAAATACCCTAATTGGAAAAATAAATTAAGGATAATAGCCATAATTTTTGGTTTTAAGCGAATCAAAAAAAAAACATAATAATAACAGCAGCAACAACAGCTTTTCTCTCTTTCGTTCTTCAAGGTGATGAGCCTTTGCGTGATTATAAGCACAAATGTTGCAGTGTTGGCGGTGATGAAGGGCGACGTAAATGAAGTACTAAGTCATTTGCTGAGAGTATGGAATTGGAAGTGGAAATAATTAATCGTTCTTATGTTTTCTTTGATTTCATCGGCAAATATGCAAATCACGTGCTTAATGGCCAACAACAAATCAATAATGCCAGAGCATTGTACACTATTTGATCGAGAATGTTGTCGTCGATGGCTGAGCGCCACTATAAATTGCCTGTTCTTGTGTTTTATGTCGAAAGTTTTGAGGTTTTAACACGCTCAACAAATATTTACCAACAAATAATATTAATCAATTAACCGCAACAAAGTTTACTTTGAATGCCAAAACTATAACTTGGATTTTTGGGGCAAACGATGAATTCGAGCAAATTTGGCAATTTATATAGTTTTCAACGGAAATATTTCGTAACGCGTGTGGAAAATGTTCCATAATTGAACATTCTTCATTTGAAATCGAATGAAATATGCATTGTTTTTTTTTGTAATACAAACAGAGATATACACTAACGAAGACAACAACAAAATTCGATTAAAGATTTCAAGAAGTTAAATAATGAATTAAGCGTAATTGATGGCGTTCTTCACATAATGCTCTCATATAGATGGGTTCTGATTGTTGTTTCCTCTCTTCGTGTATGTGTGTGCGTGTTTTTTTTTTTGCTTTGCCCGTCCAGAAGAGTCGTCATTTCATTTCGCAATCAAACATATAATACCCTTTCGTCGCTCTCAATGCAATTACGTTTTAAATTACAAGCAGACAATGTAAAAATACACGGGAGAGACGAACACACAATCGGCTGACGATGACACGATATGATGACAGTGTGTGGACGGAGAAGCGAGAAAAAGAGAGCAAATGTTTGAATGAATGTGAAGTATAGTAACAAAGTAAACATTCAATGTAAATTTGCGCCAATTTTTTTTTATTAAACATCATTGAATCGCAGTCCATTCGAAGCAAAATGATCGAATCGATGTGTATATACATCAATTGTCATGTTGTTGGCATACACGTACAGAGAATACGCACATACCCCGGTATGTGCAAACGAAACTAAATATAATACAAAAGGAAAGAAAAACGGTTTGATAACAATTTGTATGGAAATACTTCCTGGAAAAGAGAAAAAAAAACACGAGATAGAAACTAAATGGATGATGTGCACCCGTTCTTCTTCATGTTTTCACAAAGAGACACAGGAATCCGCATCGACATTATATTCTTGATATACGCACCATATATAATTCCGTGCGAACCAAAATGGCAAACACAATAAGCGATTATAGTGATAACACTCTGTTGCTCACGCTGTACGGTGAAAAGAAATGCTGGTGCGATATTGTAGCGAAACCATCATCGAGAATCGGCAGACGTTTGTGTGCGCTGTAAATCGGTAAACGACTTAACTATCCGAAAGGAAAATAATACGGCGACGAAAATTGGAAGTAGCTCATAAAAGTGCTGCATGTTAAAGGGAGCGCGAAGAAACAGCAACACCACATACACTGTGTGTTATGCAATTTTTCATATAAAAACTTCATGTTGCGCCAGTCTACAGTATTGCTTATATTTTACACACAATCACATTGCCATATGACTGAATGCGAATGCGATTGTATCTGCGCAAAAGCCGCATATTCTGTTCCCTTACTCTCTGCATTTCTCTCTCCCTATCACTCCCATTACAATTTCGATATAGGGAAAACTGCCATTATATTTCAACCCCAAAAACGATGATGATGCACTGCACACAAATGCCAATCTGTTGAACAGTCAAACAAGTGTGTGCTCTATTCACTATCGTGCAATGCGAAACATTTAAATACAATCTCATTCACGTCAACACACACGCACATACATGCATACACTCACACATACACAACAAACACCAGCATAGACGCGTACACATACACATAAAATGCAAAACATAACAAGTTCGCTGATCTAATGTAGTTATTTATGATAATGGGATTTTTGAAATTGAAAATACGGATATTTTCATTTATTATTTCCCTCAGTTTGTATGTGTATGTATTTTCGTGTTTTTTTTTCGATTGGTAATCTGATGTGACGTATGGAATTGACATCGTTTGCTATTTTAACATTAGCATAAATGTGTATGAGTATTACACAGAGATGATGTTGATTTGAATTCATTTTTGTAGCTCAAAGTGACTCATGAATTATAGTTTTTCTATGCAAATGTGAGTATAGCTTGGAGCCGTAATAAGACACCAATCTAGCTATGTTTATATCAAATGCATTTTTTATAAAGAAACTGCATAAGTATCATCATTGAATGTTGTGAATCTTATTAGAAGATTTTCACGCCAGCTTTTCACGTAAAAATACACTTCAAATCATATTCATCCAAAATGCAAATACTCCGTACATATTCGGAGCCAATTCGGTACAAATATCAAAGACGGTGGTGGTGTCGTGTTTCGCGAATAATTGCTGGTGCTGTTGCTGCTACAGGCATTTATGTGTGGAGAGCAAATGGGAACAAGATTACATCAAAAGCATGAAATACTTTGGCTCTGCTTTGATGTGTATACGTATTGGCGGCTTTTTTCTTCATAATACTCTTTCGCTTGTCCTCCCGCTCTTTAGTATGCGACACAAACGTAATTTATACACAAAACATACTACCACATACATTCGCACATTTTCCGAAACTATAAAGATGATGAGGGAAAGCCATACACCATCCATGTATGTGCATGGGAAAAACACGGTGAAATCAACCCCGATTTAAAATAATACACTATGAAGTAGAGCGTGTTTGTCGTTGTGTGTGTGTGTGTATTTGTGAAAGAGTAAGAGAGACAGTGAGATAGAGTATAATTCGGTGTACGCGCGTTACGGTGGAAAAGCCACAGACAACCAATATACCGACCGAAAGATTGTGAGAAATTCACATAGCTTATATAGCATCCAATACACAACCAACTGTTTTCACTAAAAATGCTCTTCAGTCAGTAACTAGGGAGTGGTATGTCAAAACTGACGCACACATCACATCGTCATCGAATTATTCAGAATAATTTTCTTTATTTTTTTCTTTTGTTTTTTTCGTTAGTTTTTTTCATTTTCTTCGTGTTCTTTTATTCGATTAAAAGCAAATAAAATGATGCCGCGAATATTACGTCAATTGGAAAATTGAAACGACCACGACGACGACGAAGAGAATCAAAAAGAGATTGAAAAAAGAAAAGAAAACCAACCACCAAACAACCGAGTAAAACTAAAACACGGCCCACAATAAATAAGAGAGTGAGAACAACCGATAGCCGAAGAATGTAAGCGAAACGTAAAATTAAAGATCAATTTGATTAATAGAATCGAAATTAGCACTAGTTTGTTCATGTGATGTGAATGTTTGATTGTTATATCGCGATATTTTCATTAATTTCACAACTTTAATCAAAATGAGTATCATAAAATGTGTGCATGTATGTGCTTGTGTAAATTTTGAATAACAAACGCGACCACGGTGAAGACGATGACGACGACATAACAGCAACGGTCGGTGTTTTATTGCCACTTTCTTGGTACGGTATCATCTGTAAGTGATTTGATTTGTTGGGTGCGAGTGTGTGTGTGTGTGTGTGTGAATGTCGAAAATCAATTGAAACGGCTCTTAATTAAAGGAAAAATAAACACAGTCAACATTGTGAGTGTATTCTTTTTTTAGCTTCTTTTCTTTTTCGCTTTTCAAATTGCATTCAAACATTAGGCATTTATAAAACGTTAGGCATGTGATATGTGTTACAAATACCAAAGTAATTTGATACTTAATATTTTAAATACGTTTACAACGTTTCGCAATCGATAATGCAACTTCACGTAGTGACGTTGTTGTTGCTGTTAGGGGATCGTTTTTTATTTATTTATTCGTCTTATATTTTCTTTTCATAAATTAATGAATATAAAAGACAAGCACCCAAACATATACGGCACACGCATACAAATTGAATGCGCCCGGAGTCGAGAAAAAGGAACAGGAAGAGCATAGAAAGGGATATTAACCTCCGTATAATGCAACAAAAACACATTAAATCCCATTGCGAATGTTTACACCTTCGTGTTTTCAATTCGCATGTGAATAAAATCATATACGAGCATGTGTTTGTGTCAATAAGTGTTTGCGTGTAACAGCGTTGGTGTATTTTGCGTGAGATCCCCTCAGTTGGTGTGCGTGTGTATGTGTGTGTTTATGTATGCGATATAGTTTGTATGCGTGCGTCCGTATTGACATCCGCTTGTTTGTTTATTTTGTCTGCGTATACACATTCCACATTTTCGCACACAGCATAATTCCCAATCCTGTTTCCGCATTTTCCAATGCACTATTTCAAGTCACACATCGCATTTTCCATTGGCTGTTGCATTTTCGATGTAATGCGCTCCTGATTTTATGCCAAAAAGAATGAGACAGAATGATTTTGGCATCATTTCAATGGTTATCTCGATGCATCACAACTTGTAATCCATATATATTTTCATCTCATTTCTTTCCATTCCATTTTTATGCGGAAAATTTATATTTGATGTCGCATACATGGTTCGTGCGTTTTTATTTCAACTTATTTCGAGTCATTCCATCGAATTCAACTACATGCCATCCATGTTACAAACCTACCTCCCACAATCAATATAATCATTTATTAATGAACACAAAAAAAAAGTTTATTTTTACCTGAACTTTTAACATTTGAGAAATATATTTAGACCATTTTCCATACATACAAAAGTCCTTATTTCAAACCAATGAAAAAAAAAATGAAATACAATTTGTTGTTATAATATAGATACAAAGTTGTCTAATTTCCTAGTGGAAAAATGTTGCGCAATAATGTGCTGTTGTCTCACTTACATCGTGTGTACTGTGTATAATCAATCTGATTAGTGGGAGGAAAAACAACGATTTTTGTCATTAATAACATTCATTAAGGATTCAATGTGCGAAAGTACATCTCATTTATCTTGTAAATCCGCACATCAATTTTAACTGATTATAGAAAATCTGTATGTCACCCTATGATTTGTAGCTGTTGCTATTACTGTTACTTTCGTTCTCAATTCACATACGTTTTTTTCTGGCTTCATCGTTTTGTTGATTTTTTCGTTGTTTTCTTCTTCTTTTTCTTCTTCTTTTTCTTCTTCTTAGTACGATTGCCTGAATACGGCATTAACTACCGGTTTTCAATTCAATGTAAAATAATAGTAGTAGTTGGAACAGCAGCATTACCAATCGCATTTTCCATATTGATTTTAAACGGTTCCACCATGACGCAAGAATAGTTATCGATTTTGGAAGGTGTATTTATAAAGAGAGAAAAAAATGAACCGTAAGACGAACTTTTCCATTCGACATATCAAAGCTCTATGCACGAAACGATAATTATCATTATTTTATAGTGAAAACCACTTAAATGAATTCTTTTTTTTTCTGGGAATTTTCTTTAAAAAGGGTATCATTTTCCAAAGAAATCTGAATTCACAAAATTTACAAAAATGTGATAAATGTTTTTTATGTCAAAATACTCGGAGAAAATGGCATTTACGGTGATTGAAAAAACTTGTTCATCCAAAAAGTACCGAAAATTGGTATTCAGTTTTGCAATATAAATAATCCTTTTTATTGCAAAAGATCTAGAATTTAATACTGTAAAAATGCATAAAAATGACCATTTGCTAGGTATTAGATATTGGGTCTATATTAAAGGTTCACCCAAAATCATAAATAGCTCAAAGCCGATGCCTCGATACTCAACCACCTTGTCAAATAAGATTTGTGTTGCCTAAAATATCATACATAGAAAAACGATTTAAAGGAATTAAATTTTATGGGGGTGACGCATTACAATACTTGACTTTTACACTATCTGTATGCGGAAATGTAACAGACACAACTAACACAAACGAAGAAAATAGAACGCAATGCTCTGATATTCATTCTCTTTCTCTCTTTTTCTCTTTCTCTACATATAATATGCATAATTGTATATTTAGAATGATATGGCGGTTAACAAGTTATTTACCCATCAAATAATTATATGGTTATGAAACTTTCTTTTTCGAATCAAACCATTCGAATCGAAATTTTCAACCTGAAGCGGGAAAGAAAACGTGCGGGATATAGAATAGAACGGGGTTTGATTTTGATGAATGAAGAGCTATGAAAATTAGAAACGAGTATGATAAATGGAATGAGTAATCGATTTAGGTATATGATGTGAGAAAATGTTGGCACATCGAGGTGCTAGGTATGAAAAAAAAACTCAAACAGGTGCATGAAAACAATTTAAAATAGAATACAAAGGGAAACATGGCGAGACGCTGCATTCAATGCAATCCCCTGTGTATAAGGTGAAATTAAAAGCTCCTAGAAATCTACAATCAAGTCTCTTTTTGCATATTTTTACCCAACAATCACTTAAATTTCTTATTGATGTTTGGAGGCGGTGTAAAATAGAGAGAGAGAGAGAAAGCAAGCAGAAAATGTTTAATGCATAAATGTATATTTTCCCCTTTACAGAATTGCGTTGATTTAAACGTCGGCTGCAGTGCACATTCACACGTACACTATACGACCAGTCCAGATAGAAGTAAAGCTAAAACTGAATACATACAATAATAATAACAACAACAAAGCAGACAAGCAATTACAACAACAACAACAAAAATCGTGTATGATATCTGTTTTTTTTTCTTGTTTGAAATATAAAAAAACATGCAAAAAGAAAGCCAAAGCAAGAAAAAGAAAATACAATAAAAAGAGATGACACTGTATTTGCATACAAAGAAACACCAATTAAACCAGTGGCCCTTTCATGGCATAAAAGACATAAAGCGATACTCAAAAGAAAGCATCTCACTCATTGATAATAATTAGTGAAAAGAAATAAAGTACACACTTACTACATACATATAACTAATATACATAGTATTACAAGCAAAACCGATACGAAATAAAAGAGAGAAGAATACAAAAAAAAAATACGGAAAACCAGAGAAAGAGAGGCATTGTCTCATAGTGATACATGTACGGTGTGCATGTCCTGCATATCGGTTCGTCTGCATCAGAATGGTGGAAAAGATAACGTGTTCTCTAACCGCGCGCGCGTTTTCTTGCGCTTCTTTCGGTCGAAGTGAATGAAAGAAGAGTTGAGATTACATACACTGTTTATTGTACAAGTTATTAATAAAGACTTCACAGAACCTATTTTTCTAAAAATAAACAATATATTTAACAAAAACAAAAAAAAAGAAACAAAGAGTTATGGTTAAGAATTTAAAAATAATGTCAAATGAAAACAAAAACTAAACAAAAGAAAACATACACAAAATAAACACAAACAACGAAAGCAATATAACCCATCCTGTGCAATTCTTTTCGTTAATCCAATTCAAATTTATCTAAGGACTTTTATAATACTCAATAAAATAACCCAACTAATAAAGTTCATCTATTTCGAATGAAGATAAAAACAAAGAGTGAGCGTGAGTGAGTGTGTGTGAGAAAAAAAAATATTAATATATATATACATACCAAAATATATGGAAGCAAAATTACTTTCAAGTGATATTATCAATTTTAATGGAAGTTTCATACCGATGCGAACCGAACAAAAACACTACAAAAGGAACTATTGCTTGTTAATCTTCTTTATCTTTTGTTGACGTTCCGAGCAAAAAAAAAAAACAACAGAATAACACAAACGCGGAGATTGAAAAACTGAACGATTGCAGTGTAGCAGTGGCCACATCAACAAAATATATAGACGGGGAGAGAGCGAGAAAAAAAAGAACTCGAAAAGTGATTTCGATGAGGCACTTAACGTCAGTAAGGATTTGCATTGGCAGACAAAATGAGATGAAATAATTCGTGCAGAAAATAAGTGGCGAAACCATAACAAAGGACATCAGCGAACAATAAATTATCAGAGGAAAAAGATACAGAAAAAAAAGAAATCCAAAGAAAAACTTAACATAATTAATTACGTGCGCAAAGGAAGAGATAGAAGAAGGGTGTGAGAGGTAAAGGCGACGAACGAGGCGAAGGATACCAGTGCAACAACAAAAACAGCAACAACAACAAGAAGAAGAAGAGAAAAAACCATGCCTCGTTGTTTTACAATAAGAAAACACAGTGCTCAGCACAATTCGATCCAGCCGCAGAGCAGAAAAATCGCTGCCAGCTCTGACGAAAAAAGCAGCGAATACTGTGATGGCAAAAAACCACACAGAAAAGTAGCTGTTATACAGGTACGAAAAGCAGTTTCCATCTTCTTCTTCCTTTTTTTTCCTTTTTCGTGCACTTTTTTTCTTATTGCTTCTGTTCCTATATAAAATATGAGGATTTATTTTATCGCCACATCGTTGGCATTGGTCTCACTCGCTCCTAAGCACACTTATAGCAAGCCAAAGCTTGAAATTGTCATAAATAACACACAACGAGCTTACGCCCGCATTGAACAGTAATTGCCTATCTTTGAAAATATAACGAGCACCGAACATTCGGTGTTACATTTTTTTTTATCTTCATTTTTCCCTATCCACCTACGAACGAAGAAAACCCACGACCAAAACGAATCTGTTTTTATTATTATATTTTTGAACACATTGGATATTTCAAAGTAAAATCTTCTTTTCGGAAAATCAGAAAAAAAAATGCTAAGGCTTTTCATTTTTCCCTCTTTAAAAATGTGCTTCTTTGTTATTCGGATCCACTGCAGAAAGCATCGGTGCGAACAACAAGCAAAAAACCACAATCGAAAAGTAAAAATACAGCCGATGGACGCAATTCTCGCGAACCATCCAACAATAGCAATAACAAACACCACAAAGCCGACTCAGTTTTTAATAGGAGCAACAGATCGAATGGCACGAACAGTGAATGGAAATCAACTGTAATGCAGCGAAAAAAGCTCATGCACTCAACCAATGCGGCTGCTCAACAACAAACAAAAGCTACAGGTCCAACTAGTCCAACCGAAGGGACTATCGCTCCAATTTACTACAATGGCAATACGAACGATTCAAGAAATGGTGAGCATATATCTCTCTCCTTTTTTTGACAACATAAATGTCGAATTTTTTTTTGTTTTCATTTTGTATATGAGTCCATTTGAAGCGATTCAAGGGAATTTGAACAAAAAAGAAACCACACAATCTCATTTTTATTTCAGAAGGCGTAATCATTTCTTCAAAGACAAATGAATTCGAACGACTATCGACAAGACATAGTTATCAATCGGAAAATGTTACCGAAAAATCAACAGAGATTGTTCGATCTGACGCATCATCGATCACAAATCAAATGTCAATTACTATAAAAAATGGAACGTCGTGTTCGACAGTTATCACCGGTGAATCGATGCGTCAGACAAACAATTCAATCGTTCCATCACATCAAATGTCATCCGCAGTTGTGTATAAGCCAATACAAAGTGTCATTCAATCGACCATTGGTCATATTTCAACAGCTCCAACAAGTGTTCCGTGCGAATTATCATCATTTAATTCGATCACAATGCGATCAAATCCAAGCAATGATAATCAGTATACAAAAGATTCAAATCAATATTATGTATTGCGATCATCGGCCAACGATGACAATGCAATCAACAATAATAATCAACATCATCATCATCATCATCAATCGTCTGTTTATCGTGAACGAAGCATTGAAGAAACCGAAGCTGCTCATGATCTATTATCGCTATCACAAAGCCTACCACCACTTCCAGCTCCATGTGTTGTTACCATTTTACATCCAGTTACAAATTACAATGTCAATTCACCGGATGTTCAAGAAATCACACCAAGTCGACCATCATCAAAAGAATACATTACGTACACAAATGGTCGAAACATTCAATACCAATCGGAACGAACCGAAATTTATGGCAGAAATAAAAAGAATGTTAGCACACAATTTGATGCCGATATGCTTCCCGATGACAGTTCAAGTTCCGGTAAGTTTTCGGTTTAACACTTATTTCTTAATTTGTTTCACCTCAAAATTTGATTTAATTTGAAATTTTGAATCAAAGTTGTGGCGAACATTTATTTGGTCAAGATCTCAAAATTAATTCTAATTTATGTAAATTGTTTTTCAATTCACTAAAATTGTCCAGATGTAAATCCGCAAATAACGCCATTGACACCGCCCACATCTGAATCGTCTTCATCGGATGTTGAATTTATATCGGAAGCGGTATCGTCGTCATCATCATCATCATCGTCGTCATCGTCGTCGTTATCATCGTCGCCATCAAGACGAAATACGGAAAATGTAAATCAAAAACCACAAAAGTCGAAATCCGCCCAAGTATTTGGAATGACAATTTTCGATGCGGTTATGATAAATGATGGCCGATCGAAGAAGGGTAGCGGTGATGCTGAGGTGATTCACATTGAAGAACGTCGAAAAGGACGATATAAATGTCCACAGTGCGGTAAACAATATGCAACGTCAAGCAATTTAAGTCGACACAAGCAAACACACCGAAGCTTAGATTCACAGTCAGCCAAAAAATGCAATACTTGCGGAAAAGCGTACGTTTCGATGCCGGCCTTAGCAATGCATTTGCTAACACATAAACTTACACACAGTTGTGATGTGTGTGGGAAACTATTTTCGCGACCATGGCTTTTGCAAGGCCATTTGCGTTCACACACTGGCGAAAAGGTACCCAAATCTATATATTTATTAACTGACTCAATTGATTAATTGCCCTTATTATTTTTTTTTTATTTTAACTCAGCCATTTGGATGTGCTCATTGTGGCAAAGGTAGGTTGTTATTATTCTTGTAAACAATAAACAATTTCACTTGATATCTCTGCAATAATTGCAAATAATTTAATCTTTATTTAAAACCAATACTCAAATAGCATTTGCTGATCGGTCAAATTTGCGCGCTCATATGCAAACACATTCCGTAAATAAGCAATTTGAATGTTCAAAATGTCGTAAAACATTTGCACTGAAATCTTATCTCAATAAACATTTGGAGTCGTCTTGTTTACGAGATGAATTCAAAAAATCATACGACAACAACAATAAAAAGAAGAGCGAATCCACAGAAAATACGACCGATATTTCAATGGACGATGATACGATTGATGTGACCCAATGTTCACCGCAAACAATAGCCGATGATTTTGACGATGACGATGAAGACGAAGATATTATCGTAACATAAAATATACACTCAATTTTAATTTGAAAATGGTAATGATAATATTGACACACGTCGCGTGCGAATTCAAATGTTCTTTTTTTTCGATTGCAAAATATGTGCAATATTCTAATTAGTCAAACCAAAATCGCGGCAAAATAGAATCTTAAACGACTCAAGAAGACTACCACTTTTATATAAAATTATATACAGACATTTACCAGTTTGAAACCGTTTTTTTCTCGTAGAAGTAAACATTACCAAGCAGAATGATTTTTTGTGTGTATAAATTCGATCAATGATAAGGCAATTACCAAAAAAAGCATATTTTTTTAAACATAAAAAAAAACAAACAAACAATTGGTGCAATTATTAAAAAGTGAAACGAAACAGAAAACAAATTATAAAATTTGAAAACGAACGTTTTTTGTTTAAATTGGCTCGTGTTTATTGGAGTTTTCGTGTTTTTTGATATTGAAAATAAACTTTTACACGCTATACGCGCTGCACAAGTACGGCAAACAAAAGCCCGTGTTGCAAATTTTCATTTTTGATATTGACAAAGAAACAAAAGAAAAAGATTTAAAGTGTTTCGTTTTCGGAAATTGGATAGTATTTTAAGAGAAAAAACAAAAACTCTGTAGGAATATTTTTTTATGAAACAAAAAAGAAAAAGAAAATGAATACCAGTTTCTTGATTTATACATAATATTTAGTGCTTAGCTCCTAATAGCCATTAGATTCAACTGCGCATATTTAGTAGAAGTCATCTTTAGACATTTAACTCGAATCTTTCTGACTTTCAATTTTTTTTTATTATTTCGCCAAAAGTAGGGACTTATTTTCCAACTTTAAACCAAGTGTATGCAACATGAACAATTTCTGTTTTAATCAGTGCAAAAAATGGGTGATGACGAGGGTTCCTAGGGTTCGGATTACCCTCTCTAAAATATTTTTGAGAACCCTCAACAATTTTGGATATGAGGAACTTTTTTTTGCTCTTCACTTTTTTTGGCCGAGAAAATTCTTTCGATTTGCTAGGGTTTTTCGCCAAAAAAGTGAAGAGCAAAAAAAAACGATTTTATCCTCATTTCAGACAAATTGTTGACTTCGTCAGGGACCCCCATGGATTTTTCCAGGGACCCCCTACGGAATTTTGCCATCACCCCCCCTCTAAAAAAATTTACGTCATCTTCAATGGTGCAAAAACGAATTCCAAATAATTTTCTCGATATTTCCCCATCAATTGAACATTTTGGTAGTTTCATTTTTTTATCATCATTTATAAGTTGTAAATTACAATTCTGGAACAACCACTTGAAAGTGACATTCTCAATTGATCTATATATTATTCTCTATCTATTTGGGATGTGAAAATAAGAGTGCCCAGTGCTGTTAGCATCAGAAGATTCGAGTTAATTATTAATTATTATTATTATTGAACAATAAAAAAACCTAAGCATTCATCATGATTCGAGGCAATTTACATAATTTAGTAACGAAAACAAAAGATTTAGCAACCGACAAAAAAATAGAAGAAGAAAAAAACCTATGAAAAATATAAGTGATTTTTAGAGGCTGTATTGAATTGTCATCTTTTAATTTATACCATTTTTCATATCTTAAATTCAGCATTAAGGAATAGTACATTAAGTTTACAAGAGAAACCAAATTATCATAATTTCTCGAATAATGCATTTTTTTCTTTCTATGCTTTCTCGTTTTTTATTTTTCGAATATGCGAAAAGCAACAAGCAAAAAGGAAGGGGAGACGATTTAATTAAGAAAAAAAGACAAAATTCAAAGCAATACTAAATTATTGAATAAGAAATATGTTTAGAAACACAAAGATTTTTTGAATGCAAACGAAGAACGTAGGAATCAGAATTAAAACAACAAAAAAACAAACAAAAAAAACACTAAAAAAAATTGTTAGAAATTAGAGAATAGGAAAATAATGCTATACACAACACTCACGTCACATTACCGAAATAATTGAGATATTTCTATGATATTATGTAGAATGAAGCAGAATCTACTGAAATCACATTATACGTATTAAAATATATTCAAGCATTTATAAAAAAAAGCAAACTATAGTGGTGGAAAAAAGACAATGTGAATGGTTGCCCTAATGGATTTTATTGAAAGAGACAAATTTACAAGATGAGAAAAGGTTGAACGAGACGAGTGAAATGAGTGTTCACATCTTTTTTGGCGGTATTTTTCTTTTGTGACGCAAATGGTGTATGTCTCACAACATCACTTCCATCCAGAAAAAGAACGATACAAAAATCATACGCAAAAAATCAAATTTTTCTCCATCACAAATATTTAACCTTCCAGTCAATTGCGTCACAATTCAATTTGTTGCACTTTAAAAAAATACTTCTGAAATAGACTGAACACTTATTGAACCGTAAAGCTCGCGATCAGTGCGAAAACAAATTATTTATTTATACACAATTTAGAATTTTATCTCCAAATGAACATGAAAAACAACAATAACAACAACAACAACAAAAAAATGAATTGTCTAAAGGAAAACAAACATTAAAACCGTTTTGAAATGTAGTTATTTAGCGATATTGAGCTAAAAAAATTGTAGGCATTTTAAATAATTAGAAATGTATGATTCTATCTTAAAGTAAAAACAAAAATCACGCAATACCACATACAAGAAGCGATGAAATGACAACAATAACAATTATTTATATGAAACGGCGCCCAATTTTCATTCGGATTCGAAAAATGTAGAAATCAAAATTCTCTTCAAGTTTCCATGCTGATGATAAGATCATCTGCAATTACACAAGTGTATGAATTATGTTTGCATTTGAACATCAAGGCGATGGTTTCTTCCTTCATTAAAATACACTTTTTTTAGTGGGTAGTGGGATTCAGTGCACATTTCGATTCTTTTCGGAAAATGTGAAAGAACCAAGGGTTGGCCCAGCAACAGAATATTTACACTGTCACTTGTATACATCAACAATAACATTGTTTACAATTGGCTAGAATTTGACAGTGGATTAAGCCACCTGGTTGTTTCAAACAAACAATTTCAGAGCTGTTATTGTCATCGAAGAAGTGCAGGCACACATATTATTATATTTCATATAATTTTCCATGTGCCGCACTTCCGCGTTGCCTATAGCAACTCTGAATAATGCGATTGTTCTCGGTAAAATCTCAATATATGTATGTGCACGACAGCTTTCACATTTCATAGTTGATGTACCGTACGAGATATGAGAAATCGGCGAGCGAAACTAGAATTCTATAATTATTGGATAATAGTTTATATGACCTGCTATTTCTACGAACCATTTATTTTGATCCAAGAAAAATTTATGTTTTTTACCGTTTTTTACCAAATATGCACATTCTTATGGTTGTTATGTTAATTTTATAACAGTATCGGCGAAATGATTATTTTCCACATAACGATAAATGTGCACTTTGAAACAATGAATGTTGTTTAAGTGTTGCATAAAACCAATTGTCAATTGCCAAAAATATACACTTGTATCATTTAATTATCTCTTTAATCGTATTTTTGAGATAATCCACACTGCCCTCCAACCAATTGAATCATTTTCTTTTCGATAATTGAAAAAAATTGTTAAAATGATCTGGATCTCTCCCTCATTCAGAGCTCGTTCAAGGAGAAAGTTATGTGATAAAGCCATTTTGAGAGAAAAAAATGATTTTGTTGTGTGTGTCTGATTTTTTGTTCCCTTTAAATTTAACTCATTTTATCATTTACACACACACACACAGCTACGTTCTCTCTCGAATCAAATCAAACGGAAGATAATAATCCATAGGCTATCAAAAGTCTGCATATTGTGTATGTGAATGAGAATAACAGTAACATCTAGCCTTGGATGCCTAACATATAGCCTTTCATTGCTAAATTAATTATTATTAAAATGACATTTTGCCACCAATAAATAATATTTAAAATGATTAAAATGAAGAAAAACAATTTTAAATTATACGAATCAAGCCATATCATTTTCTCTTGCATCGGTGATATTTTATGAATGACGATTGCTTGACACCGAAAAAAGCAAAAATCACAACAGCTGTTTGCAAACCAAGTTGTATAATTTTAAAGAGAAAAAAATACTCAACCTGATAAAAAAATGAGGCCATTGGTCAATTAATTAATTCAATTAATTAAATTATTTTCTTTTGGATATTTGCAAAAAAAAAAATTAATAATGATATTTTTTTACCTTATTCGAAAATAATTCCCATTTATTAATAAAAAAACGCGTTGAAAATGTTCACATATATTTCAATCGTGTTTTTAAAATATTATCGTTTTTGCAAGAGATTCATCAAAGCGAATAGATTTATTTACAAAATAGAAGGGAAAAAAATTAATTTTAATTGAGAGAGCTCAAGCGGGCGATGAAGAGACCGTGAGGGGACTGGAGATGAATAAAAAAATTATTTGAAGAAATTAAAAAAAAAAAACAGAAATAAACGGAAAATTAGTCGCGCACGCGCGTGAACAAAAAACGGAAATAATTGCAATAAAAACATACTGAATACTGGACAATTGTGCAACGAATATATTATACATAAAATTATATATTTAAAACTTCACTAGTCATTTCAAGCGCTAGTCATTTTAAAATTACGTATTTAATAAAATATTTTTTGCATTGTACAATAGAGTGTTTCCCATATCTGTAATTAAAAAAATGGTATGTTTCAATTTTAAGAGCATAAAATTCTGTTTCAAATCGTAGCATTAATGTAAAGCATCGATTGATATCGACACTTCCCGAAGCAAAAAACTCTTTTCAAAATCGAATGATACTTACAATGAAAAACGCTCCGTTTGTACTCCTGCGTAGTCATCATCAACCAAATGGGGTGTCGACCTTCTGCTACGCTACTATCCCACATGATCGAGATAGCCTTAATAACTAATGTTACATTTGTTTTTTTTTGTTTGCGTTGTGCTGATTAAACAGCATGATCAGCTGGCTGCTGGTCGTACTCGAACATTTCTACATCAATATCCACGTTGGCGGCAGCAGCAGCGGCTGCTTCAGCGACAGAAGCGGCTACTTCGGCGGCCTCAGCGACAGCTTCGCGGGCTTTGTACAAATATCTATTGATCGCCTCCGGTATCGGAAGTCCCAGCAATGTCCATAGTCCTGAAAAATCAAACAAATGAATCTTCTTAAACAATCATTCTTTGCTCTGGTTTTGGAATCGGCACATACATCTTGCGTCTGTTTGAGATGTTCCCCATTCGTCCACCAGATCTATGACACAATTTTGACGTTTTTTAATTGACCTAAAAGTCTTACGAGCCCCCGGACACCGCACGTGCTTTTTGATTTTTATTGGGCTGTCAGGTGGTATTTCGCCATCAGCACAAAAAAAAAGACAAAGTCGGTTGCTTATCGGTAACCTTTTCCACCCAATTGTCGACAACACTACTGCTTTTGGTGTGTTTGTCCAACACATTTTGACCTGTCTGCCAGTGGAACTGCTTGCTCGACATTACAAAGTTGATCTGAAAAAAATTAAAAAAAATGAATCGTTATTGAATTTCTGCACTTACGCAGTGTATTTTCCATTGAAACACATACAACATAAATGTATACAAAACTTATTTCTTTGCCACTTTTTTTTTTGAGTGTTACTGTGGTATTCCAACTCCGCACGCCTGTATCAGTGCCCGCAAAATTTTTGAATTTGCAATCCATAATCATTTGAACGATGTGAGAACGGTCGATTTCTTTGTTATTTGTCTTCTTCTTGGCCGAGTACTGCAGAAACACAGCGATTCCATCGGTGTTTATGGAAAAGTCAAACTTCTTTTTTCCGCGCACGAATCGCCGAATTTTCCGCATGTAGAAATACTGATTCCACCAATACTCACGCGCCTGATTGGAATCCTTTGGTAAAATATTTGCTATGCTTGTTTTTCCGTTTTTATTCTCGATTTCTACTTTTGGTAGCAATTTTTGAGAAGACAACACCTGGTGCATGCTTGAACAGTCGATTTTGAAGTGCTTTCTGCGAAAATCACATATCGGCACCACTGCTAAATTCCGTATGAATGACCGAAATTTTGGATTGTCGAGCATTTGTTTGCGCTTGAGATATCGCTTGCGTGTCTCTTTTGACTTTTTGCGCTTTCTTTTCTTCCGTTTGGGTGCTGATGTGGCCACGTCAAATTGTACTCTTCTATCTCTCTTTGCATAGATAGGAACATTAGCATGGCCTTAAACAAATGTTTTTCGTCAGTCGTGAGGTCATGCAGATCGATTTCTGGAAACACATTCAGGTCAGAAACAGAAGTTTATTCGGAACAGATAAATATGAACACAATTAATTGCTTTTTATTTTTATTTTTTTCTTATAAATACTAACATTCTATCTGGATTACAGAACACAAAAAAACCATGGTCAACATTTTGTATTATTTTTCATAAAAATTATACAAATTTTTGTATCGGTTTTTAAATGATTTTTTTCTTCTAATTTTCTTTTCTTTTTAATTTAAAGAGATGCTATAACAGTTTCGATTTATTGAAAGAAAAAAAAAAAACAAAATAAACGCAGAATTATGATTTCTTTTCCTGACTTTCGGTATTTGTTGACGTTGGTTCCGTTGTTTGTTTTTCTACGGATGCTGGTGGTTTAGTAGTATCTGCAGTTTTCTCTTTATTCCAACTCTTAAGACCTTCTGGCAATGTGGTATCTTCTTCAAATGAGCCGGTACCTTCAACAAACTCTTCATATGTGGATTTCTCTTTGAATGGACGTGGTCCAAGCAATTCAATCATATCTTCACGTTTCAATACCTCATTTTTAAGTAAGCGTTCGGCAACCTTTTCTACATCCGATTTATGCTTAAGAAGTAAATCCTTCGTTCGTACGTATGCTGAATCGATAAGAAGTCTCACTTCATCGTCAATGAGTTGGGCCGTTTGTTCGGAATATGGTTTGGTAACTCGTTCTTGTGTATCAAAACTAACATTGCCAACTTTTTCATTCATACCATATACAGAAATTTGAGCATATGCATTTTGTGTGACTTTTTGTAAATCATCTTGGGCACCGGTTGTAATGCGACCAAAGAAAATCTCCTCCGAACAACGTCCACCCAATGTCATACACATTCGATCAAATAATTGCTCTTTTGATAATAGATACTGATCTTTTGGTAAGTATTGTGCATATCCAAGACCTTTTCCACGCGGAATTATTGAAACTTTCAACAATGGATCGGAAAATTCCAAAAACCAACCGGCAATTGCATGACCAGCTTCATGATAGGCAACCGTACGTTTTTCATCCGGTGACAATACATTCGTTTTCTTTTCCATACCAGCAATGACACGTTCAATTGCTTGCTCAAAATGCTTCAATATTATGGATTCATATGAATCACGGGCCGCAATCAATGCAGCCTCATTACAAACATTTGCTATATCGGCACCAGTGAAACCAGGCGTTAGAGCGGCCATTTTTCGTGATAGCTCCATTTTATCTAAATCGGTTTTTAATGGACCTAAATGAACTTTAAATATGCTTGCACGTCCTTTTATATCAGGCGCTGGCACATAAATTTGCCGATCAAAACGTCCAGGACGTAAAAGCGCTTTATCCAAAATATCGACACGATTCGTAGCGGCCAATACGACTACATTTGTCGTTGTATTGAAACCATCCATTTCAACTAAAAGCTATATATATATATTTTTTGAACGAAAAACATATCGAGAATTAATAACATTTATTTTAATTAAACAAACTATCATCTCTACCTGATTCAATGTGTTCTCGGCTTCTGAGTGACCGCCAAAATTTTTACCACCACGCTTTCGACCGACCGCATCAATTTCATCGATGAATAAAATGCATGGGGCATTTTTTCGTGCTTGTTTAAACATATCACGTACACGTGATGGACCAACACCAACAAACATCTCTAAGAATTCCGAACCAGACACCGAAATGAACGGCACATTGGCTTCACCAGCTGTTGCTTTTGCCAATAACGTTTTGCCAGTACCTAAAGTAGCAAGAATCGACCACGTTAACGTTTATGAAAGTTGAATGGAAAAACGTGGAAAATTTGAAAATATTCACCTGGTGGGCCGGTTAACATAGCTCCTTTTGGAATTTTCGCTCCTAATTTAATGTATTGGTCTGGATTCTTTAAAAAGTTCACAAATTCCATAATTTCCACTTTCGCCTCTTCACATCCAGCCACATCTCTGAAATATTATTAAAAAATTATGCTTGAAAATGACAGATTCTCAATAAAATTACGATTACCATTCTGAATGGTGATTTTTATGACCTTCGGTGATTAATGATGTCATATTTACTACCAAAAGACAAAAAAAAAATCCAAAGCACTCACTTGAATCGAACGGAAATTTCAGATGGATTAACGAGCTTTGCCGTTGATTGCATGACTCCACCAAAAAGTCCGCCACCTTTTCCGCCCATTAGTGATGACGATTTGCGCATCATATACAAAAAGGAGCCAATGATGAGTAAAGTTGGTATAAGACCAGACAAACTTTCCATTTCGAATTGATTTTTATAAAGCACATTCACATAGTTATTTGGATCGATGTTGAGATCGAGTTGTACGTTCTCCAAATTTCTTTCAAGCGAATCAACGCTTCCAATATTGAACCAACAAGTTTTCTACAAACAAGAAAGATCAAAGCACTCGTTTCAAACAAGCATTTCAAACAAAAAATTTCATTGAACACCTACTGTTGTTGCTTCAGTTCCAGGTACCATTACAACGCGAACCCATTTTTTATTAATAACTTCCAGGCGCTCAATATTCCCTTTGGAAATCAAACTGAAACATTATTAGACAAAATGTTTCATTACACATAAACTTTTACTCTGCGGCAACACACTTACTTTGTCAATTCTTTCCAGCTAAGCTCTTGGTATGCATAACCGTAATACGACCAGACAGCAATACCAATAGCTGCACCAATCATACCGAATGTAAACCATTTTTCTCTATCCGAATTATTTTTTCCGCCCGATGATGATTTTTTGTCATTTGATTCTCTGCCGCCACTACTATTTCCAAACTTGAATTCAAAACCAAACTTTTTAAACGGATTTGGTTCACTTGAATCGCGTGCTGGTCTTTCGCGTTTTGGTGGCGGTTTACTTTTGCTTTCATTGTCTTCTTTTGGCGGTTCATTTGAGCTACGTTCCCCAAAAAATTTACCAAAACCCTTTGGTGGCTTTTCGGAAAATAGTGTCAAATATTTGTTCAATAACAATTGTGCACTTGCATATGACTGCGCTCGGGCTTGTGTTTCCGTGCTATTTAATTTTAACTGCGTGATAAGAAAAAGGGTGGTCATTGCTTGTCATATTGACGCTGAATGAATAAATACTCACAGATTTGTCTGTTATTGATGAATATCGTCGGAAACAGTGCGATGATTTCGGTTCCAGTCTTGATATCGCTTTTAACATTCGATAAGATGACATATTTGAATTTATGTTTATACTTTAAAATGGTTAAATCACTTTAATTTTTCTAAATAAAATGAAGATGCCAAAATGCTATCATTCGTAGTTCAGTTTAATCTCGTGTCGTTTGAATAAATTGAAGTCTAATGAAAAGAAAAAATTACATCTCTTGACTTGATTTCATAAAAATTTAGACAATTTCTATTACTATCGAACCTCACTTTTTTTCTATTTAGAAAAAGTCCAATATCGACGGTAATCACTTGTCAAATGCCAGATCCATTCAGATGACATTTGATTTATTTTAATACTTTTATAAAATGAACCAATGTGAAGTTGGCTGCAAATCAAGCGACATACATATTGTTTTAAATGCAACAATTTTTTTTTCGGGAAATTGTTATAAATAGGTTCATTATAAAATCCCATTTCAAATAATATACCGCAAATTAAAATTGAAATACATAGGGCATGGAATTTAAGTGAAAATAATGATTTTAAATTTTCAAATGATGCACCTGTATAGTGCCGGTACATTTGAAACACTTTGAATGTAAAACTGACAGATATGACCGTTTGTAACAGAACGCCCAAAGGATAACGAAGTGTTGAACGAACAAGAGGTGATACACAAAGAAAATTCGATACAAAATAAACGAATATCAATTTAAATCAATTCTGTCACGATGAATTTGAGTAAAATTTCACAAGCCGAATTGAATTTAAGTGTTGTGGCCGATAAAATTGTGACAAATGCTGGATTAGTATCGTATCATTTATTTTGTCCATTCTGTGCTGATTTCTATTTATTTGAATTCACATTAAAAGATCATTTGAAACGTGAACATTCGTCATTGATTCAAAAGCATTTTAAAAATGTGTGCACCAGTGATAGTCAAATGAATTCATCAAATTGTGATGAATCGTTGCGCATTCGATTTCTCAATGAGTTCAATCATGTATGTGATTTGTGTGGGGCAATGTTTATGCGAGACGGTTTGATATCCAAACATATCATCAACTATCATGGTTCGAATTGTTATGCCGTATGGAGAACGCAACAGCCAAAATCTGGCAAAAAAATGAGTTCGAGCATTGAAAATATTTGTAAAAAGGATGGAAACGATTCAAAAGAGATGTATGCCAAATATTCGCCTGGTTTAAGTGAAATGTTTGAAGGAATTTCAACGCGTGACTATGACGATTTTACCATTGATCGAACACCACTCAAGAGTATACTAAAAAAATCGGCATCAAAATCAGCACGCATCATTAGTTCACCGTCATCGTCCAGCATTCGTCGCATTAAAAACAGTACGTCGGCGAAGCGTTCAACATCAGCACGTCGTGTATTACGCTTTGATATCGCAAACACATCGCCAATCGACTTGGAGAATGTTCCATTCGGTAATATTACGGACCACACAAAAACATCGAAAAAATCCGTTGGCCAATTTGTTCGTCGCATTTTATTTGGACAGTGTGCTGGCGTTTCAAAGACAAAAAAATCATCGAATCGTTACACCGTTACCTGTACGCCAGCCAATCTTTTGGAAGATGCATTTTAAAATGCACGATTCCGGTTTTTTTTTGAATCAAACAAAATTACCGATGGTTCTATCTAATATTTATTCATTACATTCATTTATGTAGTCAGGTAGTTTGACAAATGACAATTTTCACATACCGTCTCCATTAATACATACATACATCGATTTCGGTAAACAACTTCATACCAATTAGAAACTAATATTAATCTAAAATTGTATGAGCAATCTCTCACTTTATTTATCAAACAAAATGTCAAAAATGTCTCATTAACGACAGTAAAAACGTAAAAAATTAGCTAATTTCTGAGCTTTGAAATTCGAAATAAAATTTTATTACTTCTATTTTTGGAAGAGAAAAAAAAACATTCATAGTGTGTAATTGTGTTTTCTTTTATTTTTAAAAACAATTTAACAAAACTGGATGCAAGATGGATACAGTAATTCATCCACAAACAACAAAAACATTTGAATATAGTTATACCGATGTGGATGGAACCAATAAAACAATTACATATCCGATATTGTTTCCGATGCCAAATGAAACAATCGGTGAATTGGCCCATAGAATTGTCACCGAACGTATGAATCCATTGATGCGTGAACTTGATGCACATTTGTCAGTTCGTGAAGAACTGGAAAAGTTTATTTTGGAACAAAAGAGACGGCAACGGTGTGAGGCTGATGATAAGATCTTGGCATCATTTCAAGCCGGAAATATTGATATTGATAGTTTGGTTAGTAAAATTGATAGTTGGCATAAAGACGAAATTCTTGAGTGTACAACAAAAATTGGTCCAAGCGACGAAGAGATATTTGCTCAATCATTTCATCGGCTTGTTCATTCATCGCAATTAATGGAGATTCTGTTGAAAGAACAATCGTACGCAAAGTCAATCATTGAATTAAATCGAGAACGTGATGAACAAATTAAATCACTGATAAACGAACAACAAACGGAAATGGAGAAAAAAATCGACCAACTAGACGATGGCACCACATCCGAAGACATAAACAATCTATTAAGTCAACACTATAGCCGGCAAAATTTACTGCAACGACAATGGGAATCGGAATTGGAAGCAAAAATGGGCCATCAAAAGAACGATTTTCGCAACTGGATTGTTAGTTTGCTTGGTAAAATGCTGTATTCAATGGATGAACGACAATCGCTTGCGAGCGGCAATTCAAATCACAGTGAATCCGATAATGCTTCAATGTTTAACATACACACGCCCACTTTTGAAGAGAGTTTCACCATTTACTTGGGTTCACAACTAAAGCATATGCACAATATGCGGTTGATTGCAGCAAATATTTACGATTTTTGCGATTCACTTCATTTGAACGAAAGTCTAAGCGGTGCCAATGTAGCGCTTGGCCTATATTCATCTTCATTATCTGGCATCATTTTACTCACACCATCCGGTCAAGTGAAAGCAAATCGAGATTTAACTAAAAATGCTTCCATGACAACTGAATTCCACTTCAATTCGATCGGACAACAAATCGAAGATATTCAAAACGAATTAAAAGCGGTTAAAGAACGCAATGGTTGCAAATTGAAACCCGGTGATTTTTTTATTACAAAACATTCAAATTTATCACAAACTCACGTCATATTCCATTTGATATCGGACGAAGCATCAAACAGTCCTGAAGATATAACGTCGAGACACCCTGTGATATTGGGCCTACGAAATATATTGAAAACTGCAAGCCGATATGACGTTACCAACTTGTCGATACCGGCACTTTTGCGACACGAAATGTCCGAAGACATGACAGTGCCATGGTGTAATCGACGTGCCGACTTAGTATTTAAATGTGCCAAAGGTTTTATCATCGAATCAGCATCATGGGGTGGCGCGGAATTGAATACATTACAATTGGTACTACCACAGGATATTTCCTATGAACTCTTCACTTTGCTATCGAACACCGTGCCACAGGTGTTTCGACTCGCTAATGCTAAAATATTCTCTACATAAGCTCAGTAGAAATAACAATAATAATAAATCATTTGATATTAACCAAACAATTGTAGGAATAATAATTACAGCAGACGATAGATCGTCAGTTTAGTAATCATCGCCACTAATTACAATGTAAATATTTTCACATTTATGTGAAAAATGGATTTTTTTTTTTTAAATAAATGAAATTTTTATCAGAACTTTGTCTTTTTTGTTTTGTTTTAGCAGAATTATTTTATAATTTAATTCTTGTACTCTGCCAGCGTTATTGCATTAGTACAAATGATACATATGACCGGGTGAAGATTAAAGGAACTTCATATATAAGAAAATATGGTTATATTTTATTTTCAACTACAATTCCCATCCATTCGATATATTTAACAAATTACCAAAAAATATTTTCGGATTTGGCGGATCGCATTGAGATTTACAGATGTTAAAACAAACTGAAAACTTATCACATATCCTTGGAGTACTTATCCTGTTTCATCAAAGGGTTAAATTGTTCCATTAAACTAGACCATTTTTCAACGGACCATTTCAAATTCATTAAATTTGTCAACATGACTTTGTTTAATGATTTTTGCGTGTCGATAAATAGACCTCTTTTATTTTTTATGTGTATATACAGTGAAATATATTTTTATTTTTTCCCTTTGTCTTGATGGTGAAAAATTGCGAAAAATTAAAAAAAAAATATTTATTTTTTTTTTTCTTCGATTTACAAATCATCGAATATTTGATAGCTGTAATTTGACCGCTACAACAGAGCATTACATTCAACTTTCGGAGGCTGCACAACAAAAATAAACAAGAAAATTGTTTGTATCAACGTTATCAATTTGTCAGAGCGGTCATTCGAAGCATGAACATTGCTTTTCTTTGTCACACAAATCGCGCTTAGCAAGTTGTCGTCTCAACCACTCTTGTATGTGTTTGTTCTATGTAAGACAATCAATGCTTACAAACAACATTCTATTTCGACGAATTGATATTTTCTTACATTTTATTTACAAATTAGTTATCTTCACGACGATTTACCAAAGCATTTTTTTCCGATTGAACAGCATGCGCCCTATGGTATAAAAGGCCTTGTACGACCAGACATTCAGTCATTGTCCAATGTTTATTGAATAAACTTTGGTCGTTGTTTTTTTTTAAATTTCGCTTGCTTTTGAGAAAGAAAAAATATTATAATATAGTGTTTGATTTATACGGAAACATTTAAAAATGTTAAAATGTATACTTTTGGCTCTTGCATTTACGCATTTGTCTCAAACCAACTTTTTAGATAGCGGTAAATTGTTTATTTTTTTCCAAATTTTATTGAATTTTTATATAATTTGTTATTGTGTACGTACAACAGGTCCATTGGACTGGACTTGCATGTCATGGCTTGCCGGTTCACGGAACAGGCCGTCAGTTCAAGATTCTACTTTTTATAACTTGGTGCACAATATTCCTTCTACAAGAAATGCAGATTTACACTTCTCATTATCGCGACATCACATAATACCTTATAAAGTGTTATATAAATTTTTTAATACCGTATTGGAGTTGGGTGAATCTAACTCAAGAATTCATTTTTTGCTTGGGCAATTCTTGTCGAATCTACTTGTCGATTTAATGGTTCGCGCTCCCGGCGCTCAAGATCAGACGGAAACCGAAGTTTTACAATCCATTCGCAATTTATTTCAAGGCTTTGATGGTGCTGGATTTGGTGATACAGTGCAGGGAGAAATCCGAACATTTCGTTTACCGAACTTTCAAGAAAACATAGTGGCATTCCGTCATCTACCGCTCACCGAGCTAACAAATACACAACTCGTAAGGAATATTGCTCAGGTCAGAATTCAAATGACACTCCAATCTCTATTGACATGGATGCCATTTAATTATTTTGAGGGGCCCAGTGGAATGTATCGTACCGACGAACCCGGTCCAAATTTTGAAGATAATGCGTATGTAATAATCGGTGAAGAAAATTCGGTTCGACTACATGACGCATACGAAACAATGATTGCAATTGATGAAATACGGACGCAGCATCCGACAATTATTCCGTTGCAATCTATACAATTTGTATTTGACAATTTAAATGTAGTTCGAGGAAACGCACCTAACGGATATGGGCAATTTAACCTGGGATATTGGGAAGAACTCGAACCGGTTGAAAAGAAAAAAGGTAAATTGGAATGTCAATTCAAAATCCAAACAACAAGACCAACAACCACGCCACCGCCCCATCACAATCACCGACCTCATGAGGAATTCCGTCGAAAAAACAAAGTTTCTTCAGGAACGAACAGCTTAGACCCGCTTTGTTTAAATACAACGTTTGAGGCTATCAAACTTTATACTGATAATTTATATTTAGCCTCTAAACCTGGTAAAGTGCCCAATGTACATCAATACATATGTAGAGGAATATGGGAGAGCTATTTAGCAGCTTTTGGTATATCGCAATGTCTTCCGTAATACTATAATTTTTTGAATCACCATATATGGCACGTGAATTAAAACTTTTCTTCTTTCAAAATCCGTAAATTTTTTTTAAAAAATCCTTAGTTAGTAAAAATATATGAAAAGAAATTGAATTGGACGTTCTCGCTTTTTGAACATATATAAACTGGTTGGTAGTTAGCTATGGAAATTAGTTATGGGTTGCAACGTATTACATTCGCAATTAGATTTTTAGAAAAATTTATTGAACAACGAATCTCTTAGAACTACAATCGGATTCTTAAATCTCATGTTGTGCTTTTAAATTCAACGAAACTATCAACTATTGATCATTTTAAACACAATCAAAATAGTTTTCTGCTCATTTTAATTAACATTTTATACTTAATCATCATGTTTTAGACATTTATTAAACACTAGGCAAACAAACTTAAGTTTTTAAGATGAATTCATTTTTTTTCTTTTCATGTGTTCACTCCAACGAGATACATTTTAAAATAAAGAATTTTATTGAGTTTGAATGCTATTTTCTGCTCATTTTTTATTGTTTTTGTTTTTTGTATCGCTTTTGATGGAAAAAAAATAGCATTGAAGAGGATTTAATTGACATTTTTTTGTATTTTCGATGTTAATTGAATCTTAAATCATATTTTAGATCGCATTGAAGTACTTTTAAACGATAACAGTTCATCGCTTGCCCGAACGTCCATTGAATCAACATCAGATTGGGGCAGTATATCATCTCCGCTACCAACAAATCGAATATAGCAGACCAACTAATAAAAAAATAACGAAGTTTTGGATATTGAACTTCCCCAAAACGGAACATTTTCCACAAAAATCTAGTTGATCATAAATATTAAATTGAAATTTATAATTTTAATACTCTAGTTATACGCGCTCATTGAGTGTAAAACAAATGGAATTGGTTGCTCAGATTTTTCTACAATACAATTTTATAGAATTTTTTTAAGAAATCAAATAAATTCAATCGACGTAAAAGTATGTAATGTCCATGCAACTTTTTTTCAAGGAATAAATACCATTTTTACAAAAATACTCGTCTAAATGGGTTTTACAATATATATTTTTTTATCTTCGCTTTGTGAATTCATTTATTCAAAACCAGCTTTGTTTGGAGAGGGACAGAGTTATTTATACTAAAAAATGTGTGCGAAGGTAAATAGTATTGTGATGATAATTTGTATAAATTTGAAATTCATCATTAAAAGTTCGTAAAAGTTGAAAAAATGCGAAGGGTGAAAAATTTGTTGATTTTATTATTGTAATAAAAATACACTGCCAAAGTACTTGGAAGTGGCGCTTGATGTATCGATGCATAAACGAGTGGAATTCAAATTTTTTAGTCCGCAGAAAAATTAACCATGGTTAATGTGGTAGTTTGCTGTCCTAGAGTTAGTTGTCACAAGATCGATCATTCTGGGTATTTTTTTGTAATCATCTTTTGTAAGCATCTAAACAGCTACAACTGATTTTCAGATTCCCATACAAACTCTTGGGAAAAACTTCATTTGCAACGAAAAGAAAAATATTGTTTTTGCGGATTGACTCAGGAATCCGCAAAAATAGGTTTCAAGTTGATAGCTGATACTTTGCTTGAGTTATGCTTGACAAAAACTAATCGAAAAATATTTTAAAGCTTGAAGCTATACATAAATAAGAAAAAGCTATGAACATGTATTAGCACAAACGGTGGAGATCATTTTAGGTGACGACTTGCGTTTTAAAAAACAAACCTGATAATATCGTACAATTTTGTGAGTGAGATACACACAAAAAGAAGAAAAATCGATACGATAATATGCCACGCCATTCCCATGGAGTTAATGAACAATATTCGTTTAAGTTTTAAGCTACGAAGATCTGTTATAGGCACCGCGAAGATTACACTTTTCTTGTAAGTGACGCTTTTGTCTTGTATATTCTTGTAATAACAGTTTGTAAATATTGTTGTTTAATCCTCCACGTTTTACTTTAAATTCATTCCACGAATTTCGAAAATTTATTCAAACACAAATTCACACTATAGGTGATGACGAGGGTTACCCCCCTCTAAAATATGTTTAGGAACCCTCAACAATTTTGGAAATGAGGACCTTTTTTTTGCTTTTCACTTTTTTTGACCGAGAATTTTTTTTCGATTTGCTAGGGTTGCTCGCCAAAAAAGTGAAGAGCAAAAAAAAAAACGATTTTATCCTCATTTCTCACAAATTGTTGACATCGTCAGGAACCCCCCATAGTTTTTTCCAGGGACGGTATTTTGCCATCACCCCCCTCTAAAAAAAATTCCGTCATCATCTATGAATTCACACATTTCACATTCTTTCAAATGTTTTTTGTTTGAAAACTCAGTATAAATAGTACTACTATTGAGTAGAACAGTCAGTTGGCTACGAGAAACAATTGATTCTTTAGAGTTGACAAATTCGATATTCTTGAAAAATGAAATCAATCTTATTCGCAACATTACTGGTTGGGTGCTGGGTGAGTTTTTTTCTGAAGAAAAATGTGAAAAATTACTAACTTTCGATATAAACTATAGGTTCTCTATTGTGCAGGAGCTCCTCCAGGTACTGAATTGACATAATTCAACATTGAAAATTAAATGAAATATAACACTTGTATTGTTTTTAAATTACTTTTTATATAGCTGTTAAATATGTAGTTGTAATTGATGCTGGTTCAACGGGCAACAGAGCAGCTGGCTATAAATACAGTATATCATCGAAAGGGCTACTCAAATTGGAACGTGAAGAAATGACGAAAAACAAGGGCGGTCTAACTACTTTACCTGATGTCGCTGAGGTACAATGAAAACTTATTTAACTTTATTGCAAAAAGAAATCTTTCAATTTTGTTTACACAATAGGGAGCTGCAAAAATAGCTGAACTATTGACAGAGATAAAGGGAAAACTGGAACTTACAGATGAATTGGCAGCACAAACGCCAGTGATACTGAGAGGCACCGGAGGTCTTCGAAAGGTTTCCAAAGAAGAAGCCGATCGTATATTAGCACCAGTGCGTGAAGTAATCAAGTCGTCTGGATTCTTGGCTCATGGCAATTTTGCTCAAGTCCTAAGCGGTACCCATGAAGCAGTTTTTTCGTGGTTTTCCGTTAACTATCTTTTAGGTAAGAAATTTTTTGTCTGCATTGTGACCCATAGCTAATACATATAAAAATTGAACTTTTTTGTGACTTTAGGACGTTGGGGTAAAAAAAATACAGTAGCTGCTTTAGATTTGGGTGGCGCGAGTACCCAAATTACGACGGCGATAGTAAAAAAGAATGATGTCTCGTTAAACAATCACGTTTTCACTGTGTCAACACCATTTCCAAAATCTCAAGCTGAAGTATTTTCAACGAGCTATATGAATTTGGGCGCTGAATCGGTTCGACAGGCTGTTTTCACTTATGATAATCCTGACGGCGCTACAGAATTGAAGACAATTTGTATGCATCAAGACACCGTACCATCTACTATTGGCTTCGGCAAAAAAACATACCAAGTTCGGTAAGTGTAAATTAAATTTTTCTTTTAACATTTTTAATAAAATGTTCTTTTTTATAAACTCCAGAGGTATACCAAATGACAAAGGACAGGTCGATTTCGACGCATGCACACAACTAGTGAGAGACCAAACACTAAACTTGGTTCAACCAAGGCCCAGCCCATTGAAAGATGTGAAAGATATCTATGCTTTCTCTGGTTTTTTCTTCAGATTCAGCAAACCGCAAGTTGGTCTGATTGGTAAGTGTAAATGAGATTTATATTTTTAAATATATATGACCTATCAAATGCTCTTCTTTTGTTCAAAAAAGATGGAAAAAAAGGTGGAAAAGCTACTGTGGAAGACATACTTACGAGTGCGAAAAAAGTGTGCAGTGTCAAACAAGACGGTGCTCCGTTCTTGTGTCTTGACTTAATCTACATGCATGTCTTGTTGAGCGAAGGATATGGACTGAAACCTAGTACCAATATCAACGTAAATATACATTTCACACTATATAAAATTACATTTACTCTTGTTTTTACAATAAGTTTACAATTTCTTTTTTTCTTAAAAAATTCCTTCTTGATTATTTTCTTAAAATACGATTGATTTTATTCTCAACGCAGTTCCAGCAAACATTGGATGGTCATGATGTGTCATTTACCCTTGGTGTTGGATATGATGAATTGTCTGGTTTGAAAGTCGCTGAAAAACCGGTTGGCAATGGTTCGTTAATACCTGTTGCTGTTTAATGTAAATAACATAATTCAATAAATTTCAAAATTCATATGTTTCTAGATGGGGCAAGCGGTAGTGGCAAAAAACCAAGCGGTAGTGGCAAAAAACCAAGCGGTAGTGGCAAAAAACCCAAGCATTAGGGGCAAAAAACAGAAAACCGCTTGTAGAACCAAAAAAACACTACAATATTAACAACTACCCTGTTGAATAATACCGAAAAAAATAAAAGCATTTCAGCTATCGGTCTAAAGAAATATGTTGTTTTATTTTTTTTATATCAATGACTTAAAATCGAGACAGTAATCTTCTGTTTTTTCTTTTAAGTTTTCTAAATGTGAACGAAATTTTCGTTTGCAAAATATTTATCGAAAAAAACAATGAATATTAAAAAAAATCATCTAATTTTGTTACGTTACGATGATCAAGACTCTTCTGAAAAATGCAATAAATATGCCAACGTGTACGTATCAACCTAATAATCTTTATACTTTTCCATTATTTTACATTTTTATCGAAACACTTGTGTTGAATTCAAAATTACAACTCTCTCTCTCTCTCTATCTCTCTTTCATAAACACTTGATCGAAGTGGAATACAGAGATCGAATGAAAAAGGTATTTGTTTATTATTTTCCATCTCCATAATTATAATTATTATTTTTTACATTTTGTGTGGATTTCATGATCCATAATAAATGTAATACTGCAAAGTGTGACTTTATTCATTCCATTGTCACAATTTTGTAGACAATATATTACGCCGACTACTCATTTAAAATGATACGAAATAGAACTCTACATTTGCGGTAAAACGTTGAAGGAATAATGAGATTGATGAAAAATTCTTTCGATTTGCTAGGGTCTTTTGAGCCAAAAAATTGAGAACCTGTTTTTATCTCATCAAATTTTTTTGGAAAATTTTGGAAGCACCACTCCCTTGGATCGACACCATCAGAAGCTATAACCAATCTATGAATCGAGCATTACAGGTCTAGGGGCCCCCTAGTAGGGGGTAGACACATTTATTCGTAATCTCCGAATTGTGATGTAATAGCCGATATCGAAATATTCTCCGTTTTACTATATTTTCAAAAATATATACGCAATGTACAATGTGTTATAACATTGGGCATTAACCCAATTGGGCATTAATTTTAGGTGCAGTTATTTACATACATGATTTGTCAATGTTAAAACTGTCTTTTTTTATTCGTCAAAATAAAAACTTCAACATTTTTTTTGTTTGAAAACTATGTGTTTTTAGTTGTTGTGGTGCATACACAGATAAAAGAATGCATTTTTTATTCTTCTTCTCCCTTCTTTAATGATTTTATTTCTTCGTCTACTGCAATATCAGATTGTGTGCCAGTAGCAGCGCCATATGGTCCTCCGACCATTCTGGTAAAATAAATGTGATACATTTGACTTTTATTTTCAATTTCGTTCAAGCATCAGATTTATTTTCAACGCGAACTTGTTTCCTAATTATTTTAACTCATTATCACTATTTTTATTTCAATGATAAATGGAGATAATAATTATTTGACAGAAATAAAAAATATTACACGAGATTGGTGTCAATTTAGTTTTAATGAAAAAAAAAACGAAATCGGTTTTTGGAATTTGATTTTGTTTACCTTTTGGGCACAATGCTGTTTTGTGTATTGGAAACGGAAAGTGTTCGTGCATTACCAATGGATGGTTCATTTGTGTCCGTAAGAATAAATATGGCAATACAAAAACGGAATCTGAAGAACGTTACATAATTTTTTTTGTATGGAGTTATACTATGTAACTTATCAGAAGCATCGGAACAATCTTCATGCAGATTGAGTATTTTTGTCAAATTATTTAATCGTTTTGATTTCATTCGTGAAACACGCATCATCTCTTACCTGTTGTATTCTCTATGTGTTTTCATATATTTTATATTACAGTACATTCGTTTTCGTTTAAATAAATTTGTTTTTTAGTAAAATATATTTTTATTTTTTCCCTTTGTCTTCAAATGACTTTTTAAAAAAGTTCATCTGATCATTCATATGATCTTCAAAGTTTGCATAATTTATGAAAGACACCATCCAATCTTCACTTGAATTTTCTGAATATTCCTTGGTAAATTTATAATTCAGCACATAAGTATCATTGTCAGCAACCCTAAAATTGCAAAATATGTGAATATTGTTCTTCTATTTGAATTGCATTGCTAAAATATGACTTACACGTTGGCTTTGCTCTCAGTTAATTGTTTATAACCATGCACCACTTGAAAAATCGTAAAAATATCAACGAATTTGGTATCTTCATCTTCGCGAATATCTATCGAAGACACATAATGCCCAGCAATATCTTCTTCCAAAACACGAAGGTGCGAACGTTGTTCTTCGGTCATCGCCACAATAGGGTTTTGTAGATCGTCAATCACTTTGTCTGTCACCAAACCACGCAATCCATCAAAATCGGCCGATGACAATTTATTGGAGATAACCTACGAATGAGATGATTATTCAATTTATCATTACCATTTATGCTATTTAACTCACTGCAACGGCTCTTTTGCTACCATCTATGAAATCATCTAAAGAAAACTCGCCATCCAACTGATTACGGACCTTGATCGCATTCAATGTAACACTAAAAAATGAAAAAAGTGCTGGAGTCGATATAATTGGTTCGTCCGATAGTTTCGGTAAGGTACTCTCAACATTTTCGTTTTCTGATTTCCGCTCGTTATCTGTTGAATAAAAGCTACAACTCGGTACACCTTGTGAATGCTTTTGCCATTGACTACATGCTAATCTGGATTGATTCACCGGTTGTTTTATATTTGACAGCGATGAGAATGGCTGTGATGCATTGGCATTCACAAGCTCAACTATCGGCTTCAATGAATACTGATTCCTGATAATTCTTTGGCTTCCATTTCGAATTCGGTTCAACATATAGGCTATTATTGTGTATAAAGATTTTCTTTTAAAATAGGTTACGTGAAAAGTCATATGTCAGAAAATATCAAAACACAATCACCATCGCCATCTATCATGCGAAATCGGAAGTGAAGTTTAAAATAAAAAAAATATTGCAAATAAATTGTCATTAATATCCTATCCTAAAATTCATTTATGAGTAGAATAAATGCCCTCATTAAAAACCAAGATCATTTAAAACAAATAAGATACAAATAATAATCTATTTAAAGTTTATTCTCGTATGCTATCGGGATATCCTTGATGTTGATATACATTTTCTGGCCGCCTGTAATAAAGAATATTAGTTCCATTAAATTAAAATATCATGTTAACATATTTCATTTCTGTGTTTAATAAATTATTTTGGATGCAGTTCTCAGTGAAAATTATTTTAAACGGAAATTTAACTTTTTGCGTTTCAAAGTCGCCGGAGCGCTTAATTTAGAAACTTCGCATATGTATGGATATAAGTGAATCCATTGAATGAAGACAGAAGCACGCCAATATCAAAGGGATTTTATGAATTCACAAATTTTCTAGCAAAGTTTATGCGTACCCATAAATGACTGTTTATTTTTTTCACTTTTGTTAACAGAAAATTCTTACCGTAAATTTTATTTGGAATCGGTTGGAAGGCATGGTCCGTTTGATGCTAAGTTTATTTTAACGAGATCAAATTCATCTCCTATTATATCTTTGACACGCTGTCGAATAGAATTGTCTTTGTGCACCAAAATATAATTTAACGTATCAATTTCTTCATTTGGACACACATTATGCGGCCGATGCAATGTGGTATTGAAAAATGTAACATGCGTTGCTCCAGTTTCTTGAATTTTTCGAATTGAACTAATTTGAATGTTTGAGGTAGTTGTATCGTTGAAAATTTGTGCAATGCGCTCGATGAAACGACGCTGTGCCGCCGAATTATTGAATTCATCGTATTGTATATTCAATGTAAATTCAAATGCCGTACTATATTCACGATGTGATGGTTGACTGACAACAACAATCAGAGCATCGGTTGCTTGTTATCCTTCACGATCTTCGGCTACCAAAACATGTTCACGTTGGCCAGCATCGCCAAATTTCGGTACACCGAAAAATTCGTTAGTCTTCGAATCGAATTGCAACCAATATTTTGGATCCAATTCAATCCGTTCATAGGTTAGCAAGCTCAGTTTTAAGTCGGTGCCATCTTCGGGATCGTAGAATGTATCCTGATATGAGAATAGAAAATTCCAATTGAATTGTGTATATGTGTGAAAATAAAAAGAAACAAAATTGAATGTTCGATGGCACTTACCGACGGTACTTTGAATACGAGCAATTGATTTATGGTTGCATTAACAAGCTCAACTTGATTTCGTACAATCGGCGGATAATTTTTTATAACATGTGGGGCGGTTTGTTTGACCGTTTCTGGTTTTGAGCATGTGCCAATTGTTTTAACTTCAATTGATTTAATTGAGATTTGCGGTGATACAGCATTGTTCAATGCATTCGGTGTTAAATGTTCAATGATTTCATTTAATTGTGTTTCTGGGCAAATGTCTTTTGGCAATGATTCATTTGTATAGATGAATGTGACAAGATTTGGATCTAGAATGTCATACCAAATGTCACGAACTAAAACGCTTTGTGTATCACCCAAAATATCGTCAATTCCTTTAATCAAACGCATTTCCCAATCGACATTGCTTGCAAATTCATTCAATAAATTGGCAACAATAATAATTTCGTGGTTTACGCTGCGATATGATTTGTGCTGTTGCACCGAAATATCCAGTGATTCAAATACACTCTCATTTGCACTGTTCGTGGCACGTAATTTAAATTGCCATTTGGATACAGCATCTTCAAGTGGCCTGTTAAACAAGAATCACCAACGACACACGCATTATTTTCATATTAGTTAGCGAATGATGAAAATGAATACTTACAATCCATAAATGTTTCTTGTTTCAGCATTAAACTGAATCCATGATTTTGCTTCCAATGGTTTTTCATATTTGTCTAATAGTTCAAGTTTCAAATTTGTACCATCTTCAGTAATGTAGAATATGTCCAACGGCACAATATTATTGAATGGCTTTCCAGCGGTGACAGCTATTTTTGCTAATCTTTCTTTGATCACTGGTACATTGTTAACATTTTCGGGTTCAACATATGTTTCGGTCGTTGTAGTCGTTGCCAATGTGGTGGTCGATGACATTTTAACGAATTGTGCTGTTGTCGGTTCGGGTATCGTTGTTTCCTGAGATTCAATTGGAATTACTAATTACTCTAAAAGAAGTAAATGTTAGTTGCTTACACAATGGAGTATTTTTTTGTGATTTTTTGGTAATTTGCCAATTTTAAAAATGTTAAGAGCAAAACTGACTGATTTTTAAAAGTAGGGGAAATATATCCTCTTCGTATCGCTTTCTTTTGTGATACTTTGGGAACTGAAAATAGTATCTAGAAGCCAGCCATAGTAAATAAAAAAGATGACACAATTGAGTCAGTTGAGGGTTCAGTTAATAATAGTGCCTTGATATTTGTCAGCCGACAACAACCAAAATGATATTAGATAAATATACAAGGAATATAGGAATTTTCATATTTTAAAATACTTAATACATCGTGCGATCAACTCATTACTTGATGCGCAGCTACTGGATTTGCGATAGTTTCCATTTCAGAAAGAACAATCAAAGCAACGGCAATACATAATTCCATCTAAATCAAATACAATACAATTTTTTTAGTCGAAGCGCACTGAATGATTTGAATTCGAAATGTACATTCATAAAATCCAATTAAGGTAGAAAAATTCAAAATAAATTATATTTGAAAAAAAACACGAACATTTCAAGTAAATTAAATTTTATGAATGCTTCGTCACACCGTAACGAAAAAACCACAAATACTTACAAGAGACTTCATTTTGAGCGTTTGATTTCTCTCGTCAATATATTGAAGTGTACGAAAACAAAATTGATACTGTAAAATATGTAAAGACTTTTCACTCTTTTATAACAACAGAGAGATTGCGATAGCAAAAAAGTCAAACTGGCAAATTGAAACAGCAGGGGCGTCCATAGGAAAGGTTATGAGATACGAGGACAATTTTCAAAAAACTCCACCAAATTCGAATCATTTTTCTAATATACCGCCTTAATTTATAGTGACGGAAATAACAAAATAACAACAACAACGAATTATACAACTTTGTGCACAACGATCTCCGTTATTCAGATAAGATTGGTACGCCAAGTGAAAAAAAACTTTTTTTCGTTTTAGTTTGTTATCTATATTTTGATTGTGAAATAGAACTGACAAATTATAATGATTTTTGTTGATTTCATAACATTGATTGGTGTTTCGACTCTGCAAATGCCGATGATAATCGCAATGTTCACTGTAGTACAATAACTGAAAAAGTTTTGGATGATTTGCATTGAAAACGCGTATTCTTCACCTGAGACGCACAATTTGTAAATCATCCCTTCTGTCTACCTAGATTTGTTTATCGCACTTGCAACCATTGGTGTACCCGGGTACTCACATATATTTTGTATGAAAAACCGGTTATTATATGTGATATAATAATAATAATATATGATTTTAACACACGTTTTGTGCGTATGAGCTCAGAACGAACTAAAGACAAAAATAGTAAACAACGCATTTGAACGTATATACAGCAATACAAGATTGCGTCGCAATTTTTTTTTCTGCGTCATTTGTTTATTTGCATTCGTTGAGAGCGGACGTATCAAAGCAAAAAGACATGAATTCCAACATAAATAATCGTGTAGTAAATGACAACAATAATTCTAATTTTGGAAGGATTTTTAGTGAAACACTTGAAGTTCTTGAAACTGATTATGATCAACTTTCACCCATCGAATTGAGTGACAGTGATGATGATAATTGTGAGACCGCAGATATTGTTAATTTAATAGATGATTCGGATATTGAAAATTATGAAATCAAGAATGACGCAATTGAACACAATGAAGAAGAAAACAGTGACATTGACGAAGAAATAATTGAAGAAAGTGTAAACAATAATCAGATTTCTCAGACAAGTGTTTTGACGAGTAGAGATGGAACAATTTGGAGTCAAGAACCACCAAAAAAAACACAACCCTATGTGCATAATATACTGCGAGAATACGGAGGTGCATCAAAAGAAACGGCAATGAAAACATCGGTTGAAACCTTTAAGAGAATTTTCAGTTATGAAATGTGCGAAATAATTATTCGAGAAACTAATAGAAAAGGTAATCAGATGTGTTCACTTTACAATGAGAAAAACCCAACCAAATCGCCTCGTACTTGGTCACCGCTCAATGCAATCGAGTTAGATGCATATTTGGGTATTCTTATTACAGCTGGGGTGCATCGTTCAAATTTCGAACACACGCGTGACCTATGGCAAACTAATGCTTATCCGCTTTATCGTGCTTCGATGTCACTAAAACGCTTTTGGGTGATCTCTCGTGTCATTCGTTTCGACAATGCTTATAATCGCCAAGAGCGTCTTAATATTGATAAAGCTGCACCAATATCATCCTTATGGGAATTGATGAATAAAAATCTTTGCATGAACTACAAAGCAGGATCTTGTGTTACTATTGACGAACAACTTTTTCCCTTTCGTGGACGCGTTAAATTTTTACAATATATTCCCTCGAAGCCATCGAAGTATGGTATAAAAATATGGTGGGCATGCGATTCAAAAAATTCATATCCACTCCAAGGAAAAATTTATACTGGCAAAGATGGAGATGCACCACGGGAGCCAAACGAAAGTGTTGGTGAGAAAGTTGTAAAAGAATTTGCTCAAAGATATCGCGGCACTGGTCGCTGCATTATCACAGATAATTTCTTTACTTCTTTACCATTGGCCAAGATGCTAATGGAGTGGAAATTGTCTCTTGTTGGAACACTGAACAAACGAAAAATATGCATTCCATCGGAAATGCAAGCATCACCGTATCGTACCCCATTTTCTTCTATATTTGGTTTTCGAGAAAAAGTGTCCTTGTTTTCGTATGTACCAAAAAAACGAAAGTCAGTTATTCTGCTTTCAACTATGCATTACACAAAAAATATTATAGGTGCTAAACAAAAACCAGAGGCTATTCATTTTTATAACGAACACAAAAGTGGTGTTGATAATATGGATAAAATGCTCGGAGAGTACTCAACAAAAAGAATAACAAAACGATGGCCACAGGCACTGTTTTATAATATATTGGATGTTTGCGCTCTCGCCGCATATATAATTTATTTCGAGAATAATCCGGTGAGCCAGCTTGCTACTTACAAGCGTCGCAAATTTTTACAGGAATTGGGAGAGCAATTGGCATTGCCTCAAATTGAACAAAGATCACAATGTCCACGAACAATTGGCCATTTTGGCACACGTCTTGGAATTGAGAGTATTCTTGGAACACGAATCAATTTGCCCCGATCATCACAACAAGAAACACAAGCTGTTGGCGGTCGCAAAAGGAAAAAGGGCTACTGCATTACTTGCAAAGCAAATAAGCGACGTCGTCAGACCAGAAAAGCCTGTTCTGCGTGTAATCACCCAATTTGTGATGAACATTCAACAAATCTACATTTTTGTAATCAATGTAAACAATAAATTTTTTGTCAAATAAATACACATTTTCAACTGTCTCAAATCACAGATGAGTCTATTTCAATAAAAAGAATTTATTTTTTAGTTTTTGGTCATTCCACTACATTCATTTTCATACAAAATGTATGCGAGTACCCGGGTACACCAAAGGTATGATACGATAAGTTTCATATCATTATTATGTCATTAAATATAAAAAAAATCATATTAAATAGTGAAATGAGTACAGGGTAGACAGAAGGGTTATTTCTTTTCAAATAAAACTCCAGTGTGATCTATATTGTAAGAACTTTTAAAAATTGTCTTTATTTAAATAGCAAAAAAGCCATTAGCTAACACACAAATAACGAAAACCATAAATATATATTTGACTCTGAGTGACGAAATGTAAAATTGGGTGATGTTTTTTTTTCTTCATTGAATTTTAATTAAATAAATCTCACTTAGCATAAAATAACAATTATATTTTGCTGAAAATGTTTATGTACAAAAATGCATGATGTCCATCTTATTTAATAATAATAAATACACACAATACATAAAAAGAAGAAGAAATTGTTCGATTTTGAATGAAAAATCTAATCCATTATTTTAAATATGTTGTCAGTGTGTTTCACTTATCATATCAGCCAGACTCATAGTAATTCATGGCATACTAATTCTGAATATTTATTATCGTACCGAATCAAATTCACTGTGTAAATGTACACTGTAAAATAAATATTTCTTTCAATGCAGAATCTGCAACGAATTAACATACTACTGTAATGTCCAAATATTTAAAATGCGAAATTATTTAAAATATTCAATTTTAGAAATAGCTAATATGAATTTACAAACGTTTATATTCTTTTTCTTTTGTTCCTTCCTTCTTTCGTGCTTTTCTTCCAAATAAAATAACACTTTAATTGTCTTCATTCATTCAATATAAAATCACAATTGACGTGTATATAACAGTTAGTATATGCTAAATCTACTCACAGAGTTGTTTTTTTCTTTTGGCAAAAATCAGTGAAAACCAAAACACATTACATTATATTGTTTGATTATATTTCAATAAGAACATATGCACGAGCCAAATGCAACCAAAATCGATCACAATATTTTAATGGTATGGAAATTTATGTTCAAAATTACAACTGGAGAAAGTGTTTGAATTGTTTGGATAGAGACAAAAACAACCAATTTTTGAAAGATTCACAATTCCTCACTCGATCTGGCATCACGTTATTTATTAGAACATAATTGTTATATTGCTCATTCAAACCGATCAGTCTGTTCAAGGCAATTGGGAGTGGATGGTATTGAAAAACAAAATATATCTTTGGAATTTCTCACCAAAGACTATGTTTTACTGGCCCATCGATTATATATTCACAGCATCTGTAAATGCGTTACTGCCCACCTTGATGCCTCATACACATAAACACACAAGTCAAAAACTAATAGTGGCCTGCGGTATTCTTCTGACTATTGTACGTATATGTGCGGCAGTAATCTGAGCAGCAACTCTACTCAAATGCTGAGAATATATAGACGCCGAGCAACGAAAAAAGGAGATTTGTATTTATGCATTATTATATTGGAGTTGGTAAGACATTGATTTTTACTAGGAAGTCTTAACAACATTTACATTAACAACAAACGAATGAAAGATTTTTATGCTAACAGAAAAATAAAATGTTTGAGTAAAATGGTTGGAAATGCATTTGGCTTAATTTTAATATGCTACTTATTTAATTGGACGATTTTGCTTGGCAAAATGCACGCACACATATACATATATATGGTGTTTATGAATGTAAAGAGGCATTAACATTAATTCTATCACTAACCTCAATTTGATTTGAAATTTTCTTAAGGGTACACGCTCATTCATTGATTTTCGTTTTTAGACTTTAACTATAAATTGAACTCATGTAGATGATAATTGAATGCAATGTCAAAAATAAGACTAGTCCGAGTGTCGATGTGGTTGTCATCTTTTTGGCCATAACAACAGACAATGGATGTAAAAAAATGTAAAAGAAAATTAAATTATTTTGCAACTTTAAAATGATTTTTACGATTGGAATGCACAGCGGATGCTCAGACAAAAACTGTGAATGCAATCAAGAAGAGTGTGATGCCCAAAAAAGAATTTCGAATGCAAATTTCTTTGAATTTTATGCTTAAATCTAATAATATAATTGTAAATATTTTGTATCTGCTTTAGTGAGTTTTTTTTTTCACTTTTATTTGTTTAAAAGAATTGTTTTTTAGTAAAATAAATTACAAACCACATTTATTGTAAAAAGAATGGCGAAAAAATTGCTATTTTCATTTTGGTTTCACTAAGTAAGTAAAATTGACAAAGAAATTTAAAAAAAAATCACGATTTTTGGAACTACGGAAAACTATGATGGAGATCATTTGGAATAGATGTACGATCGCTTTTGGACTGCAAAAAAATGGAAAAACCAAAAAGTTTGGTACTTATAATTCAATGCAAAACGTGCGACACAGTATGCTTTTAGGATCTTCTAATGTCTTTGGGGTTTGAGTCAGTTATTTCATTTACAAATGAAAAACATATAAGTGAACATTGTTTTTGGATTAAAATGTTTGTGAATATTTCTGTTTAGATTTTTATTCGAACCACAGAGCGTGGTCAAAATTTGTATACACACATGCTGAGATTAGAATAATTTGTTTCGTATCATTTGCTTAACTTTCCTATCCATTTTCTTTTTGTTTGTATGCTGTTCAATGTCAAAGTTACTTAAAAATTGGCTTAAAATCACTCTCATTTATCAATAGTTTAACGTTCTAAAAGAATCATAAGATAGAAGAAACAATAGGCCCAAATTATGCTATATTAAACGCTATAGCTTAGACTTTCTCGTCGTTCGAAGTTTGAATTTTAAAGATTGTTTTTTTTTTCTCACATAATTATTTCGTTTCAACTAGTATTCGTTTTGATTTACAAAATTTCGTCTGCATTGCCAATTTAGAATTAAACAAAACTAAAATAGTTAAGAAAAAATATGCATTTTATACATTTTATTTAGAATCGAAAACGCAGTGCACTTGTTACTTTACTTGGTTCAACGAGCAAACATTCAAAGAACGATAGTACACTCATAATATATGTTGCAAAATAGACGTTGATTATACACACATAGAGTTCAAATACTTTCCTGAAAGCCGCTTAGCATCAAGGACAAATCGGTTGGATGCCAAGCAAAAGTTCTTATCCTGAAAAAATGTGTGAATGATACAACGAAGGAATTGATGATGACATAGTCGATGCAAACAACAAAATAGAATGGAACGAACATTTTTATGTTTGTTCGCAATTCAAAAAGCATTTTAACCGATCGAATGCAAACGTATTCGTTGACACATTTGATATCCATTCACAAAAATAAACATCAAAAGGCGACCCAACCAATTGTGGTACAACTATTTACGGTCAAAAGTTGAAATACGTATAACTATTGCTTAAATGTCGCATTTCTCTCACTCTTTTTGGCTTTATTTTACTTTAGCCATCTCTTCTCCAACCGCATTTTCCACAATTCGTTCTTCTTTTTTTTCTCAATGTCCTTTTTGTTGATTTAATTTATGTTTCGGTCATTTTAAACTTTGGTCATAGCAACTGGCATAGTTTTGAACGCTTTTTATGCTTTTCAAATTTTTCATTTGTTTTGTTCGTTGGCAATTTTTCCATAGTTGTTGTCGCTTCCGTGCACACCGTTGTCTTTTCTTTACCGCTAAATTGAATATCGCTAATTTTTTCACAATCACTCACTTGAACATTGCCCGTTGTCGATTTATCTTGTTTACTACTATTGGAATTGCTATAAAATGACTTTGAAATTTTTGATCGAACTGCTTTTGATAATGCTCCGGTTTTTCGTAAACTACTAAACTTTCGTCGTTGCTCTGGCACAACATTATTTTGATCTTGTGCACAATTCAATGTGGTAATACTGAATTCGATACCTTTCACTTCGTCGGCACATGCTGAAAAGAAACGAAGAGAGAGAGAGAATGGATAGAGATGGTGTGAGCAATTTAATTGAATTGTAAACCAAAAAAATGGTGTCAATATTATACCTCCAAATTCTTCGACGGGTTTATCGATTGTATCGTGATCAATCCATGTTAAACTAAAGACAGATGGGGAAGAGAAAAATCGAATGATGAACACATACGTTAAAAGGTGAAAACAATTGATATTATATAACATACCCCATTTCAACTTTTTCGGCTAAGTCTTGCCAATGGTTTCGATTGTTCAACGTTCCTTGATACAGTGGTTTTATCCATGGAAATGTATCCGACAGCATTTTATATAAAGGCAAACAAATCATATCGATGAAGCTCACTTGCATCTGTGGCAATTCATCCTTCCGTTCACTGTAACCATCATCATAACATATATTGAATGGCCATACAAATGACATTCATATAATATACAATAAACATGTATAAATAATAATATTAAATTGAAATTACCGATCCATCATAGCAATTGGTTTTGTGTTCAACTGCAGCTTTTCGAGGTCACCTTGATCAAAGAACTCATCGGCTACCAATTTTGCAACACGATGCTGTACCTCCCATGGTTTTGCAATGGCACTCACATCACATGCCGTCATCATCATACCACAAAGCACTAGAAAATATAAATAAGCTCTCGTTACTAACCGATTAAATAATTAGCCAAACATAAAAGACGCATAGAGAAATGAAAAAAATAAAGAGGTGAAGACGGATGTATATTCAAAATGCTCACATGCAACAATCGAAATCGACTTACATTCTTTTTTATCCTCGGTCTGCCAATCAAATTCACCATTTTCCACACAATAGGCGAATTTTTTGTATTTATCAAAATACATTGCCAAGTCAGTTGATAAGATTGCTTCTTCGACAATCTTCATAACGCGTCTATAATCGTCTGGTGAGAGTGCCTATTTTGTAAGTAACACATCATTTTTTATCATATAAACCATTTATTTGGTGAAATATTTATTTGAATTTCTTCAAACAGTGTCATAGGTTCTGGCGTTGGTTGACCTGTACAATTGGATTGAATCCCCCAACATTAAATTTGTAAAATTGCAATTTACGCTCGAGATTTTTACTGTTTTTGTTGAGAAAAATTCTTTGAATTTGCTAGTATTTTTTGAGCCAAATTCTACCTTGATCTCGAATCAAAAATCCCATATCAATTTTTGTAGCGAGAACTTTTAGACTTAGAGTTAGAATCTATTCTCGGTAGGGATTCCCCATCGATTTTGGGTCAAATCCCTCGAGATTTACCACTGTCAAAACCTATGAACTATGTGAATGTTATCACGCTTTATTCGTGTACAACAAATCAAAATGAATTTACATGATGAAATATATGTTATAGATAATGATGGACTATGAAGTAAATCTTCAATCGAATATCATTTTACCTGAAATATATTGTTTCCTTCTGAACTTAAAATCATAATACACTGATCAAAGTGATGATGTTCCATAGTGCTGGTTGTATATAAAATGGCTAATGGGCTTGTTGTTTTTGTTTGAAATGAATTGTTTGTTCCTCGATGATCTAAATCATGGCATAAACATGCAACCAACAATCCAAGTATTTCCAAATCAGTCACAAATCTCTCCATTTTTCCAGTTTTCATCATGGCAAACATAGTTTGAGTGACATTTAGTGCATGTCGCCAATTATGGTATTTAACGGGACGGTAATTTTTCTTTACGCTCAATATCCAACGGCACAACACCTATTTTATACATGAAGTCGAAGAGAATACATTACAAACCATATAAATCAGATATTTAATGAAAAGAAAAACGTGTCCATCACTCATAACGAGTAAGACACATAAACAGAGAGAGAGAGAGAGAATGAGATGGGAGAGATGACGGGTGTCATCAATTGTGGTAAATTTGTTATTGGGAGGATAATTGAGGGATTTCATATGAAATTATAGACATCCTATCTTTGTCGCTCCAAACGCTCGGTCACCGTGTAGATGATTCATGTTTAATACTATGGACATTTTCTCGACTCAATTTGAAATATGTATATATATTGGTATTAGGTGGAGCAAAAAGGACGATTTGACCAAATAACAACACTTCAATGATTATGAGGCTCGAGGGATGAACACAAATGTAATACTTTATTGCCTCAAAGCTATCTCATTCATTAAATAAGTTCGAATACATGGTCATTTACTTCCAAAATCAGAGTGGCTGATTCATATTAAAAAGAACCTGATGTTGCATGAATAATATGTCATATCGAATAAATAATTTTAAATAATCTTGTATGTTACGTAAAAGGGTTCAGTTTATGGTAAAATCGTGAGCTTAATGGTGTTTTCAGATTGAAGACGTGGTTGAATTTTTCCTTTTGTGAAATGTAATCAGAAGGGAGCATAAAAGGATAGAAAATTTCTCCGGAGATATGACCGGTATTAATTTAATCATACATCAGATATTCAATCATTCTGTCGGTGCGAGACTGTCGATTGTTCATTATTAGAAAGACCGAACGCTGAAACAATTCTTACATTAAAACAATACCGTGCATAATCAATATGTTATTAATCCCTTTTGTAGATTTATTTTCATCATGAATACATTAAGATACGACAACTTATAATGGAGTTGACTAAAATTGGCTTTATTTATAGACTTTTCGAGCTGCTAAAACATTTTCGACGAATAAAATGCACTGTGCATAAAAGTGACTGACAAATTCAGGCAGACAGATTGATTATCATCAATTCAAGTTTAAAGTAAAAAAAAACACACACACACACATTGAATTCGCTTGAAGCTTTGTGTGAAACTTTTAAACGAACAACAACTTATTCAAATTTCTATCTTTGTCGTTGTTATAAAAAACTGTGCGATAAAGGGACATGCTTTTTTGTGTAAAAAGATATGTTTTGATTACTTACGTCGTATGGTATGTGAAATTGTTGAACCAAATTGCACTGTAAAAACATGCGAACAGCTGCACGACATGTATCCTCATCGTCAAGATCAAAGTCTGAAAATATACGTTTATAAATGAAATTAAAATTCAATTCAACTTAATTGCATGCACTTTCAGCATTCAATCATCTATCTTCTCTTCCTTCGTCATTCGACATTCCAACTTTTCACATTTTTCTGTTTGACTTTATCGTCATCTACGTTGTTGTCGTCATCGTAGATTTTATTTATTTTAATGAACTTTCAAAGATTTTGCTAAAGTATAATTAATTTGTTTTCTCTTTCTCTGTGAACTGTGCGACTAACGAGTTACTTTCGCAATTTTCGTAACATAAGCTACCAAAATACAACACAAGCAACATTTTGTGTTGTGCCAGCACCCACCCATTCCCACTACAACTAACGATTCATTTCGTTGAACACGCGCGCGATTCTAGGTAATTTTCACGAATAGCAATAGGTGATGTGGAGCAACGTCATAGCATTTCAATTAATTTGCCTATATTAGATAAAACCGAAGGAAAAAGCAAATGAAATTGAGTATCATATGAGATTTTGGTTCACTTTTTTCCCCCATTTTATGTGATTACACAACAAAAATGATACGATTCGAATCAATAGCCAAGGCCACAACGATATATGTAACGCTCATGTTAGCATTACCAAAATACAAATTCTCTAAAGTAAAATATTAATGTCATTTATTCTAGTAATTGAGATGAGTTGACAAAAGCCGATCACTTTGAGTGCGGGAAGACAAACAACTATGCCTGTCAAATGTCATTAACCAACATCAACGCATAACAATAAATTCGATCGAAGTCGTTCTCTCTCTATATATATGTATGTGAAACAAGGAAACTATTATTATGATAAACATATCCATGATAATTGTAATGCTTGTTTCGGTTTTGAGACTGGGAATAATTTGTTACCGTTGTCGGGAAATGTACGTACAGAAATGGTAAAAAATCGATCATTTGTCGGAAGTTCTCTCTGTTTTTCTTCTTTTGTTTTTATAACCGATAATAGGCGCTCAACCATTGAAATCATTAATAATTTTAGTCGTAAAATTAATGAACAAAATTTGGAACAGTGATATTACTCATTGCCAGAATAAAAAAAATGAATTGGAATTAGGAAAAAATAACGATGAAATTAGAAGAAGAAAAAGGGAAGAATAATATGAAAATGTAAAAAAAGTGAACGAAATTGAATTGAAAAAAGGGCAGACCGAAATGAAGAGAAATAAAAATGAATGTTGTAAACAAAACGGACATTCAATATCAGTGTTTTTGTTTATTTTATTGCTTTACAACTTACCAATAAATTTGAAACTGTACAGACAATAGTCTTCAGCGGATTGGATGATATCTTGAACCAGTTTGGTAGTTTGTGATGGTGCCGCTGTCGCATGATATGACAAACATTCCAGTGCTACCTTTTGTTTGGCCATTAATTTACATGCATTTTCATACATTTGTGTATTATGTATGCCGAGACCACAAAATATGGCGAACGCTTCAATTATCGAAACATCTGAGTCGGTGAACAGGGTCCCGTTTTCCTAAACAAACAAAACCACATAAAAAGCTAAATTAATAACTCCCTCACCACACATATATTCTCTGCAATTTTTCGTATTTTTGGTCGTAAATCGACGTCGTTAAAAAAAATTCATTTGTTTGGATATAACAAACCTTATTTATGAATTGTACCACACCAATAACACTTTTTTGTGCATTAATGATTGGCATACAAAGCACAGCCTGAGTTTCTTTAAGTTCGTCGTCAACTGGAATTTCTGGATGTTCTCTCGCCCATTGTATTATGTCAATTATGTTAAACAATTGACTAGTCGCTGCAACCACTTGTGCTATTTGCGCTAAAGACGATGTATTCAGATCATTTATGGTTGGCCGTGCAATTGTAGGTGTGTGACTATCTTGTGCAATATCAAAAATCAATGTGAAACGCGCACGTGAGTTCTATTCAAACACAAAATCAATTGACGCGACAGTTTGTGAGGAAAGAGAAAGAGAATGAAATGTCAATAACACATACATACACATCTGTTCGCACTATTTTCCACTCATTTTCACTTTTGTTGCAAATAAAATGCAAATTTATGAGCGGCTTGGCCATTGTCTATCTCACCTGTTGTGCTATTATATCCTCGACATTGACATTATGACTTTGGCGTCGTGACAACGGTTGATGAAGGCCGGATGTTTGTGGTTTTTCAATAATTTTTTCGATGTGACTCTGCCAAACAAATTAACATTGATATATATTCAAATTTATCATTCAAGAAAAAAAAGAGAGCGAGAGAGAGGTAGAAAGGACAACAAAAAAATTGAAACACATTAACACACTCACCGATTCACAGCAATCCAAATCGAGCAAAAATACTGTTGATCGCTTGCATTTCAAAAGCTCACGGGCTTCGGTGAGGATTTTGGTGACCAAACATTCCAAATTATTTTGCTCTTCAAATATGCTACGTGCTAAATTCAATAGAATTTGATTGCGACGATATTCTTGCACAGACATTTCGAACAATTGTGCGTTTTGTATGCCAATTCCACAAAATGTTAAATAACGTCGAAACACTTCAACATCATGTTCAGTAAATTCACCTGGCGCTGAAGTGTGTGCCACAATGAGGGGAAGGGAGGGAGATAGAGAGAGAGAAGCAAACATCAAAATAAAAACTAAATTCTCATTTCCGTTGCAAACAAATTGAAAATTTCAATTTCACACATTTCAACGACAACAAAACCAACAAAAAAAACACAATGCACAAACACATCGTATTTCATGCGGTCTCTCTGTGTGTAAAATGAATGAATTTGTTGTGCTTACCTTTCGTTTTATTGATTATTTGAGCCACACCGATTACATCGCCCTCATAATTACATATTGGCATCGATAGAATGTTTTTCGTTCGGTAGCCGGTTTTTTGATCAATTTCACAATTAAATCGTGGATCTTCATACGCATTCTTGATGTTGACAATAGTTTTTGTTTGTGCAACCGTACCCGCAATACCAACACCAAACGGTATTACAATCTCTTCGCCGCTTGCTTTTCCAACAGTCGCTTCATCTAAAACTACGAACCGAAAAACAAAAAAAAGCCATAATAAACCACCAACCGCATTATTTAACTTCATCTAGGCGTACTGTGGTTCTGTACAATGTACGTGGACGTGAACGAAGCGAAAAAAAACAACAACCATTGGATTACTTACCGGTATCTTGATTTACGTCAAACAATTTTGCAACTAAATATCGATTTTTATTCGTTCCCTTCGCCAGAAACAACGAACCACGATCAGCGTGTGTCAGCAAACAAACGTTTACCAATATTTTGTGACACAATACATTAATATCTAATTCATTTGAAATATCACGTATTAGCTCCATAAATAGTTCACCCTCGTCCAAATTTGCCAAATATTGTCGGCTAGTTAGCGAGACTCGTGAACTTGACGATCGCTTCTGTTCAGTTTTTTTTTTTTAATTTCATTCCAAATAATTAGAAACGAATGTTGTGAAAAAAGGAAGAAAAAAATGTGAATAATGGCGGAAGAATTAAAGGTTAAAAGAGAAAAACGAAAGGCAAATCAAAATGGTTTTTTCAAAGCTTTTAACATTACTTACTTGAATCGGTGATGTAGATAACCATTGTTGAAATAGATCAGATGTTACCGATGGTGTTCGCAAAGCTTTTGGACTCTTTGGTGCAATATCGTTAACGGCTTCATATAATTTTGATTGAATTTCAGGTGATGCACGATCGCGTAACCATTTCTCAATGATGTGCAATTTTTTATCGAAAAATCGTTTAACCTCATCGTATTCATCATCGGCGGTGTCATTGATGCCATTGTTATTATTGTTGTTATTACTAATATTGTTGCTGGGATTTTCGTTATTATCACTACATGGTGATGATAAGATTATTGATGATGGTGATAAGGCAGGTGCCGGGTTGTGTTTGCCGTTCGTAGTTTCACTGCTGCTATTATTTGCTTCGATATCGGTCGTTGGTTCAATCGTTACATCATTCGTTTGAAGTACAATATTATGATGCTTTCCACTGTCACCATTTGGATCCATTGACAAATCCATTAATTCCTCAGATCGTTGACACATATTGTTTCATATACGATACAATTCGTATTTATTATCATGGATTTGTCATAGAAAATAATCACCACCACTCTCAACTATTTTCAACTAACATACATCATTTGGGAATTGTACATCATACTAAAACGTTTCTATATGTGATTGCTTTCAGGGCGAGTGGAAAAATGAAAGAACGGTAGGAACTTGATCATCTATTTTTGGTCGATTCTCATTTTTTCCATCTCAAGACCTACAAAAATAATGTGAAAAATTAAATATTTCAAATTTGAATAATGGGAAAAAATCGTACAATACAATGGGAACAGTTTTGAATATATTTTCATCGTGCAAAATATCGATTCAATAAACATAAATCGACTGATTTCAATTGAATATTCGATAGTATTTTCCCATTCGTGAAGTGTCCATTTTCCAACTTTCAATACATTTTCAACAATAAATTAATCTCTTTATCTATCTCTGTCTAAAATGGCATAAACATGCAATTTATATAGGACCCGACTAACTGGATGGTGCTTGTGTGGCACAAAGTTGGTTTAATTTTTTAAAACAAATTGACGAAATAACACTGGATTTGCAACATTATTTATTTAAGTCTCGTTGAAATGTAAACAATGAGCTTCAAAATGGTTTTTGTTAGTTCAAAAAAAAACACTCAATAGTCTCTGTCCTGTCAGTGAAGCCTCATGAAAAAATAGCAAAGCTTTAGTTTTGTAACGATGTGAAAATATTGTGCAAAAACTGTGACGTCAAAATGATAATTACGGTCCGAAAATCGGTGTACGCTTGAATCGCGTAAGCAGGTCGTGACTGGAGGATATGCACGCGAATGAGCGCAAAACAATATGTCATAATACATCTTATAAGTGTCCCCTTGAAGTTTTCTATATTATATTAATGGTAACGTCAGCAGTACAAGCAGAAGAGAAAAAGTAAAATGAATAGAGAAAACGGGAACATGTGTAAATACTTTGTGTAATCGGCGATAAGCTAATAGTTGTGCACAAGCATATATAAGCAGAGAATGAGAAGGAGTTATCGTTCACCGTGGCAACCATTTGTAAATCTTTTATAAACGCACCACACGCTTCTTTTATTGTCGCAATATACAAGTGACAGCATCAAAAGCAGTTACAACATATGCAACAAACAACACATGGCACGCACACACACACAAGCGAGCCAGCATAAGTCCCATGCATTAAATTGCGAAATAAAATTGTGGACGTCATAGAGCGTACTGGTGAATATGATTGATTCACAGAACGAAGCAGAAATGAATCAATAAAACCAATTTGTTTTGGCAACAAATTTTTCGCCATTCAAACAAAACATATACAAAACCCCAACACGCACAAAGCTTAAGCGATACAAAATTGTGTCTCGGAAATATGTGTTTGAACGCAATTTTATTCCCAGAACGCGTGTCTGCCACCAACCCCAAAATAATCACAGTCGATGATGAGGTTTTCACCATCAACGATTGAATAGCATTCAATCATCTAGTTTCGGGATGAAGTGCACGACCGAAAAATAAAATAAAACACCAACATGCACACAAAATCATTAATAATCTTTTTTTTCTTTGTTGAAACATTGGATTTCACAATCTCAATTTCACGGTACCTTGATAATCCTTTTTAATAAAGTCAAGTTTTGAAAAATGATTTTTTTTTTCATTTAATTGAATTGCGCCCCGTAAGTTCAGCTCAAGACCAAGCTTAAAAGTAAGGTAGAGAGAAAGTCTCTTTCGTGCATGGCAGATATTATATTGAAATGAATTTTTTCCCTCATCATCTTCATCAAAAGTAATGCAATTATTCGGGGTTTTTTTCATCTACTTTAGAAGAAACGAGTAGTAAGTAGAGTTTTTGCTATCAAATATACCATGTATGTTTCTTGTTTGCGTTTATTTATTATTCTAAACGGAAAATTTGCCGTGAATAAAATATAACACGGGGAGTACACCTCATAATCATATTCAATGAGTGAGATGTGTACATATAATGAGTTTCAGAAAAAAAAGAGAAACAGAAATACATTATTAAATGCTCAACTTGAATGGCAGTAGTACACTTTAACGCAAAGTTTTATAATGAAGCTGTGGATCGCTTATTATATTTAAAATCAACATATCGCAATCCTCTAATGAATCGCTTTGCATAAGACATATTCACTCGATCTTATGTGCACCAGCTATTGAACTCTCCAAACTTAATTTCCATAAGTGATTTGATTAGTTATCAACTGCTTACATCTCTATGTATAAAATGATATTTTATTTTAAAGGCAAGTGATATATTGAATTGAAACGTTAAACCAGTCGACATATAGAGAACATTAGCGAATGTATCATCTGAAACATACCAAATATGGAGGTCATCAATTTCATGGAACAATTGATACATTTGCGTTAATTGTTGCCTGGGGTTGGAACACTGTAAATCATTTTACTATTTCGATGAACGAGAACAAGTGGAAAGTGGCTACAAAAAAAGTTTAAAGGGGATGTATTTCAGAGAGAAAGCTTTGATTAAAGCGTACATTACATCTGTACTGACATTTTAAATTAAGGTACGCAAATTAAACATTAATATTTCCATCTGTCGATTTTCTTGGAAATTATATGGTCTTTGGAAATTACACCCACTTTCTAAGTAGGTAAAAGCAGCTCTCTAACTTGTACTTGAAATAATGAGCTTCAACATTGTATCGTTTTTTTCGTACCATTTCGAATAATACGGGCTTATTATACAATACCAAATCGAAAATGCAGTTGTATTTGAATTTGTAGCCCAATTTGTTTGCTCATGTTCCATTGTAATTGAATTTTCATAATTAATATTCGGTGTTGTGTACATGTAGATGTGTTACATTTGTATATTGTATTGTGCACATGTGCGAACACATTTTCGTTTAAATAGGCATCAATCTTTGTGGATATACTGCTGCGAATTACAAATCATTCTCTCTCTCTCTCTCTCTCTCTCTCTCTCTCTCTCTATCTCAAACGTTTTCGAATATGAATTTAACACATTCAAGATTAATTATGGATTTGATGCTGTGAAGTGGTGTGGGATGCATGTAATAAATCGATTCTCAAGAGTCTTATCTCATTTTGGTGTAACTGTTTGTGTGTATGTGTCGATTCATCCATCGAAGTGGAAAATAAGTCGAACATGCTAATATAAGCCGGCTTAATGTATTCTAAAACCAGTGTTGACCAAGTACTTTGACTTTTATTATTTGGCTTTAGACTTTCACAATTCATTGTCATTTCTATGGAAAATGTCAAGTGTTAGTCTGGAAACTCCAGAGCAAGAAAAAACAAGATTTTCGGTGCGTGGTCGATCAAAAACCAAAAGGTAAGTGGTAATTTTCAGAAAATCTCAAACATCAACAAATCGGTTTTTGTGTACACATAAACGCAACGTTTATTGATGTTAGAATTTCAAATCAAACGAAACCTTCATTCTATCTCCCTCGCTCTATCTCCCCCGTTCGCTTTATGCATTAAAGTTAAACTAAACAGTGAAAGTGAAGGGTTGAAGATACAGAGTACCGAATATGAAATGCGTAGGTGATGAAAATGTATTCGTCAGGTTTAACGTTGGCTCGTAAAATGTGAAATGAAATCTCTGAATTTGATGTGCGCCAGTCTAAAAGCAATTGAAGAACAATAAAAAAAACAACAACAACAACTTGTTAATGTATACTTAGCAATATTTTGCCACAAAGATAAAAGTTGGAATAACATCGCATCCTTTTATATGAATATACTGGATGAAGAAAAGAGAAAGGGAGAGAGAACGGACCAAATTCACTTTATTTTTTCCAATAAAATGCAATTGCTAAATTAATTGCACTCCATTACTCACATGAGTGCGGCTTAATACATATACTCATTTTTTTCTCGCATACTTTGATGTTTGTTTTGTTATGGGCACCGTAATATACATTGCTTTTTTTTCTCTAACTGTTATGCTCTTCGTCAACAAAGACACTTCTTCTCTTTCCCACTCTCCCTGTTTCGATATAAATAACATTATTTCTATTCAGTAAGTAGCACCTTCGGCAATATTGGCACTTTGATGGACAATAAATGTGAATAGTACACGTTGAGTGAATATGCAATAGTTGACCCTGCGGCCCCCACATGGGCATCCGATATTCGGGGGAGTTTAATAACAAAACATATAATGTTTGTACACAGTGCATTTTTTTTTTTTCAAATGAATGGAAAACCGTTATGATATGTGTAATGTGCGAAGGGGGGGTAGGGGGTTTACCTCCCCCCGTGATTTGGATGAAAAAAAATTTTTCGCGAAAATTATTCGAATTTGCTAGGGTTTTTGATTCTAAAAGTGAAAAAAAAAAAAACGAAAATTTGTCTGATTTGCTAGAGAAATTTTTGGTTTCGAAAAACCACCCCCCCTGAACAATTTTCCTCGTACATTACTGGTGTATGCAGTTAATGCAGAGAATATCCATTCAATGTTCATAATTTTAATTTTAGCTTTAAGCTATATAGAAACCAGTTAATGCATAAACCTTCGATTCGTTAACTATCTTTTAATCATTATAGCAAGTGTTTTATCGCTTCGGATAAATAAAGTTATACTCAAATGTTGTGGATAAATTGAAGAACCTAATAAAACAACATTGCAAATGCTACTCTGATCGAATGTTTTCTCGTCAAATAAATATACACACACTCTTCTTTGCACACTGCCTCATTGTCTCAAGTGGAGCTTTTTGATGTTTGAGTATCGATATGTGTGCACATATCTTGTTCTCTGAAAACTGTCTGCACATGCTATACATGGTAACATGATATCGCTAATAATATTGATGGAAAATAAAATGGATCAAAAAACAAACTGTTCGTAGCAGGCTTCGACAAATTTCTCATAAAGATTCCAAAAGATAGACACATATTCAAAATCTATTATTTCAATTATAAATGTTAATTGGGCTCTTCATTACACATACATACATTTGTGAAAAAAATATTGTTTTTGGCTTCAAATATTCCGCTCCAAATGAATTACCTGATAATGAGTCGTTGTCGAAAATATCGGAACGAAAATCTTTCCATTCATCGATGAAGTGCAGCCAATTAACATCAAATTATTAGATGTGCGGTACGTGAATTGATTGCTTCTCGCCTCTACTTTTATTTTTATTTTTTCGATTCGAGCAATTATTTCCAATACAAAATTTTTACAGTTGAATTAATTTTGTTGGGCTGTCTATTGCACACGTTCATTTTAAATGCCTTTTACACACTGTGATTGTTGCACGGCTAGTAATTTAATTTCTTTATTCTCGGTCTATCGTTTGTTCCTGTGCCAATGTTTACAGAATCTCACTTAATGAAGAGCTTTTTATTTGACTGAACCATTTTTAATCCACTTTATTTCACAAAACAAGTTACATTTCGGCGTTTTTTTCTTCTTTCTTAATAAATAAACGACAAATTGTTTTGAATTAACATGATTTGTTCGGTTTGGAGTTTTTTTTTTTCTAATTGATGTGACCTAAGGCTTTTTTACTCTGATTACCTTGGCGTTGTTTGAGTTTGTTTGCTGGAACTTGTTTGGGAATTTAATGATTATTGCTTTTAAGGGATATAAGCACATGTCAAGTGGCTTCGTATTAAATAAACTATCGAAAAATCAGGAATGAATGACAGAAATATCGCACACTTTTTGTCCCGTTGGTTGATTGATTCACACGCACGTCACAAAAAATGAATATCAATCGCAAAACGTCCACTGAATCAAATGCAAATTGAAAAGAAAAACGAACATTTGACAACAAAAAAACAATCTAAAATGTTATATTTTTGCTAAAAAAAATAAATACAAGAAAACAGAGAAGAAAATCGTAATCGAAAGCAAATGAAGTGCACCACAGCAAATAGTACGCGCGCACATATACACGCACAACTTTCAGTATTCAAACGTGTACACACGAAATGTGAAAAAGCGTTTACGAACGACCGAACAAGGGTTTTGATTCGTTCAATTGTTAGCATAAAACTGAACTTAAAAATTTGTTTAACAAGCAAACGGAATGCGAGAAGCAGCATGAGAACCATTGCTTGTTATGTGTGCTATTTCATTTATACTCCTTCTCTCTTACTCTAACTCTCTAACAAACACGATTTTCTCTCTCACAAAAAAAAAAAACTACCAAACATGTACGGAACAGTGGAAAACGGCAGCACCGTACATGTGTATGGATAAGAGTGTGGCTGCTTAATGGGTCATACGCACACAAGCATTGCTCACAGCAAAATTCAGTTACTCAATCGCACGCTTTCACTGTAAGCACAAGCACGCACATATATATATATACAAAAGAAAACATCCAGTTTTATGCGATGGATGCTTTCCAAGTTTCGGAATTGTGATTGTATATGTGCTTGTGTCTGTGTATATTTCTATGCCTCTGTATTATAAGGTGTTTAAGCGGATATTCTGCAACACATAAGGTGGCCAAACTGAAACATTTCAAGAGTAGTCTAGTTGCGTGTCTATTGCTGAGAGGAATCATTTTCAGTCAAACATCATTTTGATTTCTTTTTTCATTTATTGAACTGAACATAAACCAATGTATGAAAAAAAAGATGAAAAATTAAAAATACGAAAAAAAGCATAGTATCTGAATAGCTTTATGTTGCAAGTTTTTCAAAAAAAATAAGCAACAAAAATGATGGAGAAAATACACATAGACTTTTATACATAGACTATCTATCGTTGTCTGGAAATTTGAAGGGTTTCTCTCTGTGCTCACTGTGGAAAATAAAATATGTGTGTGAGTTACACGCATACAAACACATATGCATACACATCCACAATCGTCGGCAATGAAGGAAATTGTATGCGTTAGTAGTAGTAAGTAGTGCGCATACCTAGGGGCTTTTATCTTCAAATGTATACGATTTATACTGTAAATAGTGAACTATATTGCAAAATCATCTGTAATACGCGCAAATAAATGTGCATAACTGCATATATTTGGTGTATATTTCGTGTATATTTCGTCTATGGCATGTTATTTCATTCTCTTTTGTGCGGATCTTCTTCGATTCTGTGAAGCAATACTGTGTGTGTGTGTACACTGAAGTTTGAAATACATCTTATTCACTGGTATAGGCGAGAAATTTTAATCGTATATATGATGAATAGGACGTGAATATTGTGTATAAATTTGTATGAACGAATGATGAAAGCCCCTAGGCGCATACCGAAACCAAACGATCGAAAAGAAAAAAAACATTACAGACCTTTGGCAATACGCACACTGTATATCTATCCGGAAGGCTATTTTGCACACAAAAAGTGGAATGTGACAAGCGAACAGTAACAGCCAATGCGATCGAAATGAAGAAACAACTTCCGAAGAATAAGAAAAATTATTTACCGACTAAAATGTCAAGTTGCTCAAGAGCTCTCCCATCCTCCCTATATTTATGTGATGGTTCGGTTGAATTATGTTGATTTTTGTTATCTGGCATTTTCAATAAAAATGTAACGTGTTTACCACATTTCAAATTAATGTAATTATTTTCGAGTTGTTGGTTTCCATTTTTCGGCAAACTTTGTTATTTCTCATTCTCTCGCTTTCATTTTGCCACTTACGTACTTTTTTTTCTATTAAAAGGACGGGGGCGCCAAAATAGCAGCCGTCAACGTTGCCGTGGATATATACATGGTTCGCTGTACTCTATATGGATGAAAGAGATTATTTGGAGCTTTATCGTAACGATGAGTCTATGGTTCTTTTTCTCTTCATCTACTTCTTCTTTCGCTTCCTCCACCCTTTTTCTTCGTCATCGTTTTGTTATATGTTTGTAAGCAACTTAAGTACTTGATGTGTTTTCTATCGAAAAAAAAAACCGTTTCACAATATCATCTCGAAAGCACCAAATTGTGCTTGCTTTCGTTGTAGTCCTTCTGAATTGCAAATCATCTTGAAAGCAATAAAATTGATGTGAATAACATACGAATGGCTCTCGGTTGCATGCAATATTCATACATTCAATCGTTGGTATTTTTTTGTTGTTGTTGTTGTTGTATTCTTTTCTGGTCGTTTCTACTAGAGAACTTTGTTTGTGTCATTGTTCTTCAAATCGCCTCTTTTTGCAACCCCATTCACCGTCACAACCAATATCACTTTATTCAATGATATGTATTTCATAGCATAAAACCATCGCACAGCTTACACACGACAGAATTTTTGTTGTGCACGTTTAAAACCTGAACAAGTGGTGAATGTTTCACAGCAAAGTTTATGATTTTCTATCCATACGCTTTGGGCTACAATTGAAATTCGTTGTCGGGGACAAATGAATGATGATTTTAAGCGTTATCTTTTACCGTGCTACACACGCCTCCATCATTTTCATGTTGAAATTCAAATCATTTGGACACTTTTATTCTCTCATTTATCATTTATCATTTCCATTCACGTGTGTTGTATTCCATCGTTTGCGGCATTTCTCGCTAATTTGCTCTCACTTAATCACACTTAAGAATCTCAATGGAATGATTACAATTCAAATGTAAAATGTATTAATTCAGGTGCCGAAAGCTTCTCTATTTTGTTTTATGAATGTGGTTTCTTTTCTTCGTTCTTTTTGTTAAAATGTGTGTAAATATTAAGAGAAGAGTAAATAATTAGCAATAACGAAATTGAATAAAATAACAAACCTTTTACCAACAATCAATATGCAAGCAAAAAAAATACATGCAAACTCCATGGTTTTAATGAAGACAAGAGCGGTGCTATTGTCAAAATTAATTCACCGTTGAAAGTTTGGGATTTTTTTTAGGAAACACTTAAAAAACAAGAACCTATTTAAATTGAGAGTGCGAAAGTAACTAAACACATATTAATAGGTCTATCTCTTTGCGCAAAATTCAGTATTTATGAGCATAAATACTTAATATACAGTTTTTAATCTAATTACATAGTTTAACATGTCGGATAAATGTTCAAAATGCCGGTAAAAAGGTAATTTAAATTCAAAAAGTAGCGTAATGTATTACGGATCCATTAAAGCGGATGATTACATTCAATTTAATTTACGACGCATTTTAAGGCCACGATATTTCATTTTTCAGCAATTTTGTGGAATCTTTATGGGCGCTCATGTTTGCAATCAAATATATGAGCATAAGTTTCCGTATAAAGTAAAGTACATTTGGCCGCATTGTTTTCGTATGTCATTTCACCAATTTTGAATTCGGGATTTACAGATATTTTGATGGTGTAGGTTCCGGTTTCCATTTCGGTAATATCAACCCATTGGCAATCGATATTGAATCGATATATATCGGAGCAATTTACGGAAATGCCTGCATACATTGTGAGAACAAATAGAAATCATATTCAATCAAGTACATAACGGAATAATGATAATAAATAAGTTTAAAAAAAAATAGAAAATGTTACCTTGGTCACCAAAGTTTGCACAAGCATAACGCGGTTGAATGCCATCCAGGCACTGATTATCTTCTAAGCAGAAGGATGCTTTGTGACCTTCTGCAACACGATGACCGGTGCTATTGTAAATATAGAATGTTGCAAACACTTCCATGCTATGATAATGTTGATGGCACAAATGCCATTCCCATAGATGTTTCGGAATATTTGAGCGAAAATCAGCGGTTCCCGTATTCAATGTACGGGCGGTAAATTTAAGTAAGCGTCGCGTTTCCATATGCCAATCATTAACATCACGTTGAATTTCATATGCCCGAGATGCTAAGCAATTTTCTTCCATTGCACATTGCAATAATACCAACGGTCGATCTTCTAAATGTGCGCTCGCCGTTAATTCGTTATAATCAAAAACAAGATCGGCCATTTCTTCATTACAAATGACGGCCGCTACTTTTGACTGGTCACCTGGACACATAACATTTCCCAATTCATGATGCCGACAATCTTGTAGTGATGTTTCGTTGCCATAACATTCTGTGCCACTGATGAGTATTTTCGACAGCGTATCATTACCAAATAAATCCGTATGCAATGCGTTGCTGGCATAGCCCAAATTTAATGATTTACACACAACATTTGCCTCTAATAACGACCACCCATCGCCACAAATGCCACCCCAGTGACCTTTCTTCATTACCGAATTGAAGCGAATCTGAAAACAAGTCGGTTTTGATGAACTTGAGCACATTTACCGGTTTGTGTGTTTGTGTGTGTGTGTATGAAAATGGTCTTAAACTCACCTCCACTTGGCCTTCGTACCTATTTCGGCCACCAACAAGCCGTATTTCAATCTCATACTTTCGGTTCAGTAAATGTTTTGATGCTTTTTTCACCTGAACCGATGACATTGTTGCCGTCAATTCATTAGATCCTTTGCAAACAACACCCGCTGCTTCGGACGCCTCGCAATCATTCTTACCCCATCCATCGAAACGGCAATGTTTAATTTCAGTCTCATCACCATCGCATTGCATATTATCCATCCAGAATCTTCCTGTTCGCACAAATGTGAGCGTGTGTATGCATACATGCGTCCGTGTGAAGGTAACAAAGTATATAAATTTTGGTTTAATTAATGCTCGACAAAAGCTAACGTGCATTTTTTTTATTTTGAATTTGAGCACATCTTACGTCTTGCCATCCCAAAATATCCGCTGTGCGTTGTTTTCACGTAACCAATGAAACCCAATTGGCTGCAGATAACTCGTCCTTCATTTTCATCCCATTCGTCATCGCATATATTACCCCATTTCGAATCGTGAAGAATTTCAACATTTCCTATGCGTGTGAATAAATGTGTGAGTGTGAGAGAGAGAGAGAAAGAAAGAAAGAGAGAGATTGCAAACATTTTTATCCGATTCGATTATTTTTGAAACAGGTGTATACAGTATACGATTGGTACTTTTATTGGTATTTATTCAAATAACTTAACAAAAAACAACAATTTTCGAAATGTTAATCATACGAATTCATTTTTGCATGATGTTGTTTCTCAATAAAATGAATATATTTCCATATTAAAATCGATGTCAGTTAGTTCAAATGCACATTCAAACACAAATTCAATCGATCCCGTTTTGCGGGACAAAGCAAATAAAAAATGTGTTCTTTCTCATATTTGACCAAATGCGGAATACTATCGCATCCAAAATATGCATGTATGCCATAATATTTTTCGTAGTAGGTATGTATGTTGTGGGAATTGTGTTTTTCGCCATTTCGACAAAAAAAAACAAATCTTCAACTGAATACGTTATTTTATTCAAACTGTGTGGGTGCTATGACTGGCATTTATTGAATATATATTCAGCAAAACGTATTTTGTGGTTTATGATGAAAGAGCAAAAAAAATTGATCGGAAAAAGTGGAACAGAAATATTATATAACTGATGTGGCAATATAGCATAGAATAGTAAAACTGGAAACAAATTAGTGCTGGACGTACTTAGCAATGAAATTCATAGCTTCTGAGAAGGGGTCGGATTAAATCTCCCTACTTCCCCGGAGAAACACTCATGGCGCACGGTTTTTTTATCAAGGGGGGTCAAATTGACTTTGGTCTCGAGGGAAGGAGGGGATGGGGGGTATTTATATGGAAAAATTAAAATTACAATTTTGTATGAGAGAAACAATTAAAAATTCGTATTGGCGAGCAAAGCGAGACGAAGTTTTGCAAGTTTGACAGGGAACCATTCCAAAATCAGTGTATTTATGCTATTTGTTTTGTATTTATATGGCAAATAAAAAAAAAACTCAGACAATCTCAGTCAAACAGGTAAATCTCCAAAAATGTACCCGGGTAAATTTTGTAAAATTTGCCTCAGGTGGGGGTCAAACAGCTATTCCAAGAAAACTCCCCGGCGCGCATGTATCCGAATAATCAATTTACCCCTTACATTTTTTAAAAATTAACCCCCCCTTTGTATCGCAAAATTCAGAATCTATGATTTGCACAAAGTATTTAAATTCCATTTCCAAATACAAATATCGATGAAATTCAAACGAAATAAATGAATTAATGATGTTTAAAAGAGTCCAATTGTGTATAATTCATTTCATATTACAAATTTTAATTCCAAAAAACATGAATTTCAGCCGAAAATTAGGTTGCAAAAATCGTTCAAAATTTATATCAACACAATTTTCACTGAAGAAAAAACACACATTTTACCGAAATCACTATTGATTTCCTTCGAATTGCAATCACTATTGATTTACTTCGAATGAAATTCACTTCTCTTTTTTTTCGAATCGTACAAGTATTCCTACCTTCATAGTCATTCGAACCGCCAACAAGCCTTATCGCTCCTTCTTCTTTGCGTAATTTTTTTCGATATTTTTTCGCTGGACTGGGATTAATTTGTTGTGCCTCTTCCAATGTTGAATGCGACACCACAATCGTTAATAGTTCACAGTAAATCACCGTACATAAAAAAAAACAACCGGTCAACTTCATAATTTGATTTTTTGTGTGTTGGTGTGCATTCAACAGGATTTTCCGTTTAAAATTCACAAAGAATTCACGATTATGTATCGAAGGAATTATAAAAAAAACACTACTTCAAATAAGAATCGTTAGAATGAGCTTAATTCATGTTCGGAGGTATCTGTTCACCACTATTGAAAATAACTTTCCAGATGACTTTATAATTCAATGAATCGACAACTATTTCTTGCAAATATACGCTTATAGACACCAAAAAAAAAGACAGAAAAAAAATAAGCAGCATCAACGACACCGTGTGATATGAACACCAAAAGAACCTAATATATTTTGACTTGGATTGGCAAAGCACATAGTTTGCTCTTCACATAAATTTTGATCGCGAACCAAACACCAGCCACGCACATACTGTTTCAATATTTTTCAGATGATTTCACTTTGTACACTGATATTCACACGTAAAATCAATGATGATGGGCTATTTACTGAAAATGGTCACATTAAATATAAAATCCAATATCGATAAATCAATTGGCATATTTGGTGTGGAAGACAACGACGAAGTAGAAGCATGGAAGGCGTACGCGGTCGCGTTTGCATCATAATCATCATCATCATCATAATCATCATCATCATCATAATTATGTCTGGCTGTTGATTATTTCAATTCGTAAGTGAATAGTTTGATACCGTAAAAATCTGATGTGACAGCGGCCACAAATGAATTACGTGACTAAATACACGTTAAGCATTAACACTTTACACATCAAAGTTCATTCTAACGCCACTTTGTGTCGTCGTAATAAATAGATAAAACGGAACTATGGACAACAGCAACCAGTAACGGCAACAACAACAACAACAACAACAACAACATTAACAACGAATTTCGATATTCAACCAAGCGAAATTAATACGGTTATGAATGAAGAGGCAACTCTTATGTGAGTTCAACCAAAGATTTGTTGGCGGTTTTAATAAAGTCGAGACGACTTAGGTTTTCTGTATGGAAACACCTATTACGACATATCTAAATCTAGCGTGTTTACGGTGAAACAAGCATTTCATAAATATATAGTGAACACTTTTTTTCTCAAATACTTTGAATATATTGAAAATTTGTTTAATTGAATGAATTTTTATTAAAGCATTTCACATTCTGTAGCTGTTTTTTTTTTCTTTTTCAGTCGGTTTGATAAATAACAATTGAACCACTTCTAATTTGGTCGATACATTTTTTTACGCACCAAATATTGAATAGGATGAAGTTTTTTTTACAAAAGATTGATGTTGATTTGATAAAATAGGTTTCTGAGAAAAATTGGATGACATCAAGTTTAATAGGTTTAATGCATCTCGTTAGTCATTTTTCCATTGATCGCGTATCAAAGTGGTCACCGTCTGATTACAAACTGAATGTATCACATCAAATGTTCTTTATGCTTTCTACAAAAGAATGCTTTGTCACATTTTCTATGGAAAGCTAGAACAATTCATACCTTCTGACAAGGGGACTTATTCTCCCCCTGGCGGTATGTTACCCTTTCGAAGTTCTTTCGATTTGCCAGGGTTTTTTTAAGAGAAAATATCTTTGGATTTGATTGGGTTTTTTTTTTCAAAATTCACCCTCTCCATTATTCGGTTTCGATGTAAGTATAATCAAAAACTCATTTTTATTTGTAGAGATACAGTTTACACTAAACAGACTCACATTTTTTGCTTAAATATTTCTTTTTTTTCCTTGGTTTAAATTTGATGTCAGAAAGTGTGGTACAATTTCCATACCAGTGTTCAGAATGCAATTTCAGATTGCAATTTTACCATTTTTATGTTCCTGTGTTAAAAGATCTCTATCTGAAATAATTCTCACCTTTCACATTTTCAAGCTGGAAACAACAAGAAAAAACACATTCTTTTTTTTTAAATATTTGTCATAATTTTATGGAAATCATTATTTACATATGACACTTTGTTGAAGTTACTATTCAACTACTTGGGGGAATATTACAATACTTTTTTTTCTTCTCGAATTTAAATGAGGAGCAATGATTGAATCTTAAGCAAACCGAATGAATTAAATATACTAAAGGGATCATTCGTAGTAATTAGAAAAGTTAATTTGTAAATAATAATTAGAAAAACAAAACTTAAAATGGTTTTTTGTTTTATTTCACTCTCTTATATTTAAAATGATAGACTTGTGTGTGTGCATCTTTTCTCTTATTTAAAATTCCGTCTTTTTCCCTTAGAGTATTCATTGAAGGCGTCATTTTTTTTTATATCTTTTCCCTATAGAACTTATTCGTATGAAATTCTTTCTGATGAAATTGAATATTTTATAGAAATGACAAATACGTTACATTCTTAATTCAAAAATTTCTCATTTCTGCTTGATAATATATAAATGCATCGAGAAATGTTTAATCCATTGAATCATTATCATAATTTAAAGGAAACGATTTATTTTGTTCAACATGAATGAAATATGATGAAAAATAATGTTTAAAAATGAGTAAATGTATATGAATCTCAATTAACAATCCATTTAAGGAAAGTATGCACGATCATCGTAGTAAATGTACCACTAAAAAAAATAACAACTCGGTGTACCTAGGGGCAGAGCAGTACTAGAATAATCATTTTTGTTTAAAGTAATTCTATGTTGTGAATAGTAATCCATATTAATCCATAGTAATACACACTTACGTAAATTCTAACAGCAGTGCAATGACGTTTCATGTGTACGTTGTGTATGACATTTGCTAGGCAGAAAGCGATCGTCGTATATTTCGGATGAGACATTTTATTGTTAAAAAATGGAAAATATCGAATTTAATTTAATAAATATCGAATAAATTGTTTCAATCCGCAATATACGACGATCGCTTTATTCCTAACAAATGTAATTCACGATATGTGTACGATATGAAACGTCATTGCACTGCTGTTAGAATTTACACAAGTGTGTATTACTGCGGATTAATATGGATTACTACTCACACCATAGAATTACTTTAAACAAAAATTATTATTCTAGTACTGCTCTGCCCCTAGCGGTGTACTTTTGTGAAATGAATACTTTGAATTGCATGATGTCGTCTTATTAACTCTTATTCTTAATAAATATGTTGATCGGCTGTTTTATTCACAGAAAAGAAATTCGACAATTATAATGAAAAAAGAAAGCCTTAAATGAGAGTGAACTATAAAAGAAATCGGTAAGTACATGTGCTTGAGCGCTTGTCTATGCGTAACACGTTTTCCGTCAAAAATCATTATTGATATTCGGACATAATTATTTTTTTTTGGGGGGTGGGAGTGCGATCACCACTTTGGCCCGATCATAAGACCTTTTTTTGTTTGTTTATATGTATACAATTTGACAATTGAATTCTTATACTGCGTCAGTGTTTTTTTTTTCTTCTTTTATTTTACTATAGTAATATTATATATTTTCTTAGAAATGGTTTTTTTTCGCAAAAGATAGCTCTTTTGAAAAACTCAATTAAATTTTATTCGCAATTTTGATTTCCTCGCTTCTTTCACAAACAAATCGAAAAGAAAACTGGACACGAATTTTCACAATGATTTGAAATTCATATCTCCTGTTTGGCACCGACTCAATACTTTGGATACGTTTTGAAGTTGTTGTAAAGTTTAATTGAGCTTTTCAGCGATTCGATTATATCAAAATAGTTACTAAAATTACTAAAGTAAACTGATGACAATAAAATCTAGTAGTAAAATTGTGTTTGCATAATATGCATGTCTTTATAACATACACATAATCTAAAATGTTGTTGGTTTTATAGACAGTATAATTTGGTATATATTAAGCAACAGAGATAAGATGTGTGTATGTGTGTGTGCGTGTTAACAAGTTTCACTGTTTACTCATTGTTCATTTTTTCTAAGAAGAAGAAACAGAGTCTTCCTCTATTTTTATTGTTGTGATATATTTATATAAATATATAATTAATAGTTTTTGTCTATCATTGTACATGTTGTTTATTGCATATCTCAGCTCTTTCCTCATTTTGTGAATTAAACATATTGCGCGCATGTAATCAAATGTGCATAAAAAACACATGGCCTATCAATTGTGTTGTCGGTCCAAATATGCACTGACAAATCGCAGTTTAAAATGTGTTGCTTTACGGCAGTTACAATTTTTCTGATAATTTCTGTACTGCAATCAACATTTACCTCAATTTTTTGTTTTTTTTTTTCTTTTCATTTCACACAGACACATTTTTCTCGGTGTATGGAATACAATGTGCTATCAACACCAAGAATATTTCATTCAAGGCTAAATCGCGTACAATTGCAATTGAAATAATAAGCACATGCGTCATTTCAAACCAATTACGCATTTAAATTGTTTTGTGCCATCAATTGTACGGACGATCGCGAGCATACATAATGTACGTGCGCGTATACATTTCGATTTGTTGAAGTAATTTTTGTGTCGCATTGATTCTATTTCACATCAAAGCACATTAAAATAGTTAGGTACATTTGAAACTTATATGCAAACTTATCGAGAATAAAATGAAAATGTTCAAAATGGCGACATGAAACTAAATGACCAACAATCGCATGAAAAATGTTTGAAATTCATTCAGAAGGTTAAAAATGAAGCAAAAAAAATGAAATTATTTGCATTTGTCACAAGCCTTGTGAATATATGATGATGATTCAAGAGTCACAGTATAAAAAATCGTCAAACTGTGACTATTAATCATAGAACGGTATGGTTTGAGTCGAGTGCACGGATTAACTGTATGCATATTGTGTTTCTAATTGACGATCGTCGTCGTTGTTGCTGTTGTTTATGAGGCTTTGAAAAAAAAAATAATTTTTTTTTGTGTGTATGTGTGCGGATTTTTTTATCACAAAAATTTCATTTGCTAAGTAATCTAAAATTGTTTTCATTTATTCGGTAACTTTGATGACATCTAAAATGGAAAAAATGCTCACTGGCCACAAAAAAATAATAATCAAGAACACTTCTTATGTAAACGAGAAAAACAAATTCAAATGCGACATACACTTTTTTTTACTTTAAAGAGGAATAGAAATTTTGTTCGTTATTTTCTTTGTCTCATCCTTATTATTGCTTGCTTTCTAACATACATATTAAAGTAGAATTGGTGAGAATACGAACTACGCACACCAAATAAAGCATGACGTTTAACACCTTTTTTTACTGGGTAAACTATTTTTTTTTTGTTTTTTGTTTTTTTTTTTTTATTCGAAGTGAACTGAACTGGAAATGGATCATTTGATTTATGTACATAAAATGAAGTATAATTCGATACAATGTTTCACATCTTGTGAACTATATTTTACGAATTATGGTGTTTCATTCATTATTTGATTTAAATATCTATTTTTTTTTCAACATTTTAATTCATGTGCAATATTGATGTTTATATTGCAAAAGGAAATTATTGATTCAAATAATAACACTATGTTTGTTCGTTTAGCTGGGCATATAGGTTTAATTCGGATTATGTGACCAAACTTCATTTTGTTTACGCAATGATTATGTTTACTTTGTGCGAAAAAAATCCATCTATTTTTGTCGGAATTTTGTTGTTGAATCGAGAGAAAAGAAAAAAATCTGTCTCATTTATATCTAAGTATGCAAAAATCAATCTAATATTTTTATCATTTTTGTTACTTATTTGTTTGTCTGAAATCACTCATAAACTAGTCACAAATTATGCATAAGTGGGACTTCATATTTCTCCAAATGTTCGCTTTCCATTTATTACTTTGTTATGTTTTATGAGAAAGAAAATGAAATTCGATTTCTATATATATTTATATGCACATGAATTTAGAATACATTGATTAAAGTTAATTATTTTTGTTCTGTGCAGAAAACAGTGTGTTGCTGGGCTTTTTAATGTAATATTTGTTCCTTATTTATTCAATAGAATGGAAAAAAGTTTTTTTGTTCCGGTTTTCTTTTTATCATTATAAGACATTTCTTTTTAACAAACAACAATTTCATTGGTATTAATTAATTTTGTTTCTCTTTTGTTCAATAAAATCGTTGGGAAGTTATCAGCTTTCGACTTTGGCTGTCCGTCTTGATTCGCTGGTTGCTAATAGGTGTTCGGGTATCGGCACTGGTCGACTTCTTGCTGGTTGCTTTTTCTGCGTGCAAAAAAAAAAAGAATTTTAGTTGAAATTGTGAATATTGTAGAGGTTTCGAAGAATACGCACCTTTCGTCGAAATGGAAAACAGCCTGGCTTATCAACAACGGGTTGTGCGTTTAATAATAAATCCGGTGTTGGATTGTCATTTACTCCAAATACATTCAGTTCGCTGAAACATTCGGTTTCAATCATTTCATTTTGCCATGATATTGACACGGAACCGGTATTAAATTTTGAATAAAAATTCTCATCGGATGCATCTAAATTGACACCTTTTACTGTTGAAAATTGCTCTATATCTAACACATCTTTTGCATAGACGGCGTGTGGCTAAAATAAAATTATAAACAATTCACATTTATAATGGAAATGTGATACTCAATTATGAACATAAATACTTACATCGGGTACAAATGGTGGGTCCACCATTCCAGCTTCAAGACGCTTCCAATTGATACAATTGAAAAAATTATGCAATTTCACTTCACGTGCACCGTAACGACCATTTCGACAACCTAAGCGAGTTTTTACAGTCTTTGCTAATAGTTGTTGGCACAGTGATTTGGCTTCATCGCTGTATTTATGCGAATATTTTTCTGCCTCTTCCTAAACATTCGAGTTAAACGAAATCGTTGATGAGTTTTCTTCCAGACATTTCGAAAGAAATAAAATGATGGTCATACCTTAACTCGCCGATCGACCTCTTCCCGCTTAACTTTCTCTTTGCGCAGTCGAAACGGTGCTTGCCCTTCAATCATTTCATATAATAAACATCCAAAACTGAACCAATCCGGTGAAAATGAATATTTTTCATTGTCGATTACCTCGGGCGCCATATAGCCTATTATTATCCATTATATTTCAATCGATATTCGAGAATTTTCGCAAGAAAAATGGATTTACATACCAACAGTGCCAACACGGCCGCGTACCATTTCACCTTCCGGAATTTCAACCGCTAAACCTAAATCGGAGATGCGAACATGACCATGATCGTCAAGCAGAATATTTTCCGGCTTACAATCACGATAGACAATGCCTTGTTGATGTAAATGCTCTAAACCGCACACCACTTCGGCTGCATAAAATCGAGCGCGAACCAATTCAAAACCAGGATCACCACCCATATTGTAAATATGGAATTTTAAATCACCACCTGCGACAGAAATTTGGTTAACATTTTATTTTCGTTCAACATCAATGATGAAAAATGTTGTTTACCATTCATTATAGTTAATACCAGACACAGTGCGTCTTTTGTCTCATATGCATAAGCCAAATTAACGACAAATCTTGAGTTGATTTTTTGTAAAATTTGTTTCTCAATTAATACCATCGATTCACCTTTACGTTTTTTAATACGTTTCTTTTCTAATTTTTTACACGCATACATTTTGCCAGTGGCGCGAACCTTGAAATAAAATGAGGGAAACAAACCGATAAATAAAATGTCAAATGCAATTGAGTTATTTATTTACATTTCAATTAATTAAAATGGAAAATATGTGTGTTAAATGACTAAATAAAACTAACCTGACATGCACACACTTCGCCAAATCCACCTTTTCCAAGTACACGGTACATGCGAAAAGTTTTATATGTAACTTGTTGAGCTTCTAACCACTTCCATTGAAGATACCTAAGTAGAGAGTTGCAAATAAAATGCCAATGCATATTATTTTAATTTTAAATTGCAATTTTATTAGTATTTTGTTGTTTTGTCCATGTTGTTTGCGTTGCGTTCGTGCATAAATGTTTCTTTCATTGCCCTGTCACACGCACAATCTTGAATTTTATTTCAAAATCGAATTTTAAAACTTGTTCGCAATTGGTCATAGTGATTGTGGAACGAATTGAATACATGGTTAAATTATGTGATTATTGCTTACCTATGAAAATACATTGATGCTTCAAATTCGCTAAATGGTTCTCCAGCTAGAAATGATTTAACTGCGGTAACACACGGTTCGAAAACCTCCTTACTGCCTACTGTGGAGTGTGGAGAATGCATGCAAGAAGAGAAAATATATATATGTATTTAAAAAGTCGTAAATCTCAATCAATGGGGAGTATGAATGTTTGCACACGGTCAGAGTTGTTCTTAATATACATTTGTTTTTTGTTCTGATTCGTTCAACGCAATCATTTTCAAGGAAGTTAAAAAAAAAAGAATTAAATTAAATAACTAAAGTTATTGCGAAACTTGACATGAATTTTGCTATCGAATAAATACTTACATGAAATTTTCACTCGAACTTTTTCTATGAGATCGTCATTTAAAACATCTAATACCAGCTCATCTTTTTCGCCATTCACATTTGTCTCTTTCGATGTTATGTCTTTATTGTTGCTGACAACGTCATCATTATTGCTCAAATCCGCATTCACAATTTCTTTGGGTAATTTGTTCGATGTGCTGGTTGTTGTATTTGAGACTGGTTTTGTGTTTGGATTTGTTACTGTTGCTGTTTCTGTTGATGTTGTTGTTGCATTTGTTGTTTCTTCTTTTGGTGTTGTCGCATCATTGCTTCGGTCATCGTTGTTGTCGGCAAATTGTAATACCACATCGTCATCGCATCGATTTGTTGTAACACTAATTCCATTATTTTCACATTCAATGCCAAGAAAACGCCTCCCAATATCCCAGCCAATATCCAAGCGATTTTCATCATACTCTAGCTCATATCTATCATAAATGTTGAAATTCGATAACGTTAATATACCATTGTATCATACATATTTGATAATTGACGTAACTAGAAACTAGATACGTTCCCTGATTAATAATAATTATAGTCCGCATTAGGGTGTTACAAACACAAAAACAGTTTCATTTACAGTATATGTTCTAAAGACGAATCAACCAATTTTGAACCTTTCCAGACATTTCGTTGAAAGAACATGCAAAAAAAACACTTTTGAGACCAGCTATTTCATTTTACTTTACCATCGTCATGATATTTGTTTAAACAATTGGTCCATACATTTTTCAGCTAAAACATAATAATAATAAATTTCACCGGACGTATGGAATATTCAAATTTAAATTCTGATTGTGTGTTGATTCGTTTTTTGAAACATTAATCTTATGCATTTTTGATCTAATTCTTGTGTTCTAATACACACAATTAACGGTATCAAATTGTTATTAATTCTTTTTTTTTGTTATTGTTTCTCCATACAAACCTGGTAACATTATCCAAGAAGGAAATATATCTATAGTAGAGTGGCCGCTTATTTTCACAAAACAATCGAAACAATATTCTGCCAATGGGTTGTTGATCTATAACATAACCGTAACTTACATCTGAAAATAAGCACAACAACACAATTCAATAAATAATTCAATAAATAAATAAAATGCCCGAAAAGATGTCCGAAATCATGTAAAAAATGAATTCGAGTGTTTTTATTCAATTATGACTCACCTATTTTGTCTTTGAGATGTATGCATTGTGATATGTGTGGGAACTGTAAAATTTTTCGCCATTTTTTGCTTTTTCCTTTGTTACTATCTGATCCTCCTGCAATGAAATTAGAAACCCAACACAAAAATTAACGTAATTACATTTTTCGTTTTTGTTTGTCTTTGAAATATCATCAATCTTTCGCGTTCTCGGTAAAATTCACATTTTGTGTCATTATGATGATTAATTATGAAAATGAAAATGTACCTTCTCGCGCTTTGAGGTAGACCGTATTGGCCACAATATTCTCCAACTCCATTAATTCCAGGTTGACGGTTTTTATTTAATTTTCGGTGTATTTTCAATAAAAATCGAGACGTACTTATTTATGCTTTAGATTCAATTATGGAGCTGATAAGTGAATATGTGAGCTTTTGTGTGTATTTAAATGAGGTACGCACAATGTTTACACGCGCAAAATGTTTGAAGCACCAATTCTATTGATGAAACGGCGATAAAACGATTCCAATTTGATAAACCTGATGTTGATGAATACATGAAAAAATAAGGGGAGAGAGAAAGAAAAAAAAAACATTGATTATTAAATATATTCCATTTTGGTTGTTTGATTTATCATCGTTGCGAATGAATATTTCACACTTAATTATTCATAAAGTTCAACACGTATTGAGTAATAACGTCATGGAAAAATAAATTCCAAATTTTGATTTGTTTTGTTTTCGTATGAAATATTGACGGAAATCACTTTTCACTTTGCATTTGATCGTCAACCATTTATTTTATGTATCGAATTTCACGTGAAATCATTTAACAAGCACAAAACGGTGGCAATGCATCATCATTATTTATTATTATTTTTATTTTTTGAGAAATGTAAAGTATCTTTCAACTGAACCCGTCTTGTTTACGTTCGGCGCTTTACAACAATCATACAGAATATGTACGGTGTTTTATATGGTGTGTTGTTGTTGCTGTAACTTTTTGCTTAATTGTAACATGCTGAGCATTGTATCGATATTTGTTTTCAATTCCCTTTCAAATTCAATTGATTTGTCCTTTTTGTTTCTATTTACTTGATGAAACTGTGTACATGCCACAAGAATTTCGAAGCGTGTGCATATTTTGTTGTTGTGTATTTTAAACCGAAATGGTGGGAAGAGCGTCTTTTGAATTTGCCTAGGAAAACATAATAATTAGAACGAACCGAAAAAAACACCATGCCGAAACAAAGTGCAAAACACTGTCATATGAATGTTGCGTTTTTGCTCTGTTCGCATTCATATCGTGTACATCTTATTGAGAATGAGAAGACGACCGATGGAAAGAGAGAAAGAGTTTGTTGCATTTACTATTTATCAAACGGATTTGAATAATTTATATTTCAGCTATTTATTTCTCTCGTTTGATGTGTGTTGTGTTGGATTTTTTCTCTCTCAATCTTCTTACATATTATTTCTTGTGTTTACTCTTTGCACTCATATCAACCAACATTACACACATCAACAGCGTATTAAAGCGGCTTATTGTGCACACACATATCACACGAATCTGAATCAAATAAATAATAGATAAAAAAAATTTACTTATTGTAAGTTATGGGTCTGAGTGGTTCTCTCGGTTCAAATGACACGAGGTGACTTCATCGAACACACACCGCAACTATGTGAATGGCGGTGTAATAGTCAATGTTACCAAGTAATCGACAGTGAGCAGTAGCCGTGTAGCTACTTACATTAGCAGAAGATGAAAAAACATCACTAGCCAATGTATGTTACGAGCAAAATTCATTCTGAAAATAAAACGTAAACACAAAACAGAAATTTGTCGTTTTCCGAAGTCGTCGGTGTATGCACGCGCGTCCGCTCACTCACTAATTTGCGCTCAATATGTATTTTATTTATGCTTTAGTTGCTGATTTGGCGCCTATGGACTTGATGACGGTATTCTTTCCTCTCTCTCTCTCTTTCTCGTTCTCATTCTCTAGAGTAATAGAGATCCCTCTCTTTGTGTGTGTTATTCATTCACTCGCTCTCGAATTCGATACGGTTTATTTATTTACATTAATTTAGCAAAGGTATGTGTATGACTGCATTTCATACGTTCATGTGCTTAATTTTTCCTTTCAATTAGGTTATTTCTTTCATCTTCTAAATTAAATCACTGACAATTTAATTCGGTGTATGCTTGTGTTCGTGTGGTATTCAAATGATGACCCTATGATATGACCTTTGAATGATGGGAAAAGTCGAACTTTATTCTCCGCTCATTCCAGTCCATCCATTTGATATGGAATTTGACACATTTCATTTACACGCATTTTTTTCTCTTTTCTTTCACTAGTAATCAATTTTATTGATTACGTTTGCGAACACCGATACTTCTTTTTTCTTATGCGAACACGAATTATTTCATTTGAACTAACTTTGAAACGAAAACAAGACACACGCATGCACACAAACAATGATGAGATTCAAGAGGAAAAAGCGAAAAACGATGTAAATATAAAAATTGAAATTCAATCATTGATGCAATTCGATGAAATAGTTTCACCACCTGAACTTGAGTCACCTAAGACAATGTAAGATTTGTGTCACCATTTTTTTCCGCTGCCATTTGTTACAATTTTATTTATTTGTGATTTTGTTTGACGATGAAACTCTCTTCTTCACAGACTTCACTTCGTTTAACTTTGTTTTTCATATATTATATATATTTACATTTTTAGTCGATTTGTTGAACGGGCAAAAGTTTATGAATGGGGAGACACTGGCATTACTGGCAACGTCATTCGATCGTATCGTATGTGAATTCCATTGAATTTGATGGTTAGCTGTGAGTTCGTCAAACACAGTTGAAATTTTTTTTTTGTTGAAACTTGTTACATTTCTAAGAACTTGTCACCGTTCACTATTTTGCCGGGGGATCGGTGTTGTCCCGATTGAATACACACTCATACAAGTACACACATACAATTACAAAGGCAAACCATGGTGTTGACTCACAAACACACATACATACGCATAAAACTACATTTACACACGAGATTGATGCAGACTCGCACACAAGCACACGCAAAATATACGGAACGTACATCTAGACGAACATCCAAAAAAAAAAATGTAAAAAAGAGAAATTTTTTTCTTTCTCTCTTTTTTTTTTTTCAAAAAAGTTTCACTTTGTTTTGTTATTCAATTCAATTTGAACAAACAAATGGTTGGCATTTGGTTTATGGAAATGTTTTGTTATGTTCAAACGAGCAATATTTTGTATGGAACAACGTTTTTTTTTTGCATACATTGTATTGGTGATGATGGTAACAAATATCTTCCTGGCATTAAGTGTGCTAAATTTTAGCTTCCAATTAAAAATAGTCCTTGCACATAAATTTGCTCATTCACGCTCTGTTGTTGTTTTTACTTTTTCTGGTTTGCAATGTACAAGACGAAGAAGAAGAAGAAGAAGAAAAAAAATTCTTATTTGATGTTGAACGCATTTTGGAAATTCTGTTCATGAATTCGATTCATCGTATTATGATTTTCGTTGGGCGCTTGGGTTGTTTGAATGTGTGTAAAAATATATATTTAAAAAAAATGTTTCTTTTGTATCTCAGTTGATTTGTGATGGCATCAAACCCAAATATATCAGGGGTGTGGTACGTTCAGACTAACAAAAATACACACGACAAAACAACCAACAAAATATAAAGAAGAAATACTTAATAAAAATTACTTTCGAAACTTTCGTACTAGTGCACACCGAAACAATTCATCGAACGAACACAAACGCGGAAAAATAATAATTGTTTTTCTTTTTTAATTGGATTCTTACGTTTTTTTTTTTGTTAAATTGTTTTCGATATCGACGAATTCAAGAATTCCGATATATTTGACCGATGTAAATAATACACACAAAAACACGAATTCCTTCACTATCCTTATTTAGATTTGATAGAGCAATACATCGACATGTAAAACTAAAAATGTAATAACATTTATTCTACGGGTTCTTATTTAGTATTATTTTTTATTTTTATTTTTTTTTTAATGTATATATAGATATATAGTATTCTCTCTTTCTCTTCTTTTCCCGAGTGAGTGTATATATAGTATTGTGTTGCACAATATATAAATGTGTATACGCAATGTCCAAAATCTACTAAATCGAATATACTCGGTTCAAGTCTTCAAAAAAAAAATCTGGTCTGTCAGTTTGGTGTCTTTCTTTCTTCTTCTTTTTTCGGTTTTTTTTTTCAGTCTTCCTCTCTCTCTCGCTCTCTATTACTCTTTCTGTATATTTCTTTTTTCTTCGTTAAGTATGTTTCACGGTTGCACACAAGCGCCTCTGCTTAGCTCACTATACACATTCTTTGCTGTTAAAATATGTGTGTATGTGCCATGAGCGAGTGTTTGTATTCACAAATACATATCCATCATGGATCCCAGACGTTGAAGAAACTCAATCGCGCGCGCTCTTTTTCTCATTCGATTAATGCAAATAAGAAACTATAGTGCACTCACACATTGTACAATATTGTATGAACAAAAGTCATACAGATAAACTAATACATACACAAAATCTCTTTTCTTTTCGCTTGATTTTTTCTCACGTCTACCTTCACGTCGATATGTCAGTACATTGACTATGGCGGCATTTTTTTTTTTCAAACAACGAACGATATTTTTGTCATCTATGACGTTAAGGCTCACTTCATTTCCCATCACAACGAAGAAATGCTTGCTTGTGTTGTCCAGAACAAATATATTTTTTATGAAGCAAAATTTTATAAATGTGTTTGTATGTGTATATGTAAACGAAATGATTTGCAATACTGTTAACCGAAAACGTCAAATGTTGTTTTAACTCTCACACTTTATTTTCATCTTCGTGTGAAATGTCATAAACATTCAAATTCAAATAACTGAAGAAAAAACCGAAGAAAAAACACGTTTGATGCATGCAATAATTTCAATTATTTCAACGGTCAATTTTATTTTCGGATTGACGTTTGTTTTAAAAATACATTTTGATTGGAATTCGCAATGGGTCATCGGTTTTTTTTTACTATGAAAATGATAATGTAATTGACGCATGCACTGATTATTTACATTTTGCGTCATTCAGTATAATACGAATATCGAAGAGACAAAAAATAAACATCTAAATATGTAAAATCATTGGTATTCTTTTTTATCAATCACTGAAATAAAAAAAAAAATCATACAACTTGATACGGAATAAAACACCAGACCAGAATATAATCTGAGCTCTTCAAATGGTTTTCTTTTTTATTTTATATCATAGAATACAATAGAACTTGGACACATTTAGAATAAGCCAGTTCAATAAATGTCTTTTTAATTGTTTAGGCCTCTCTCTCGCACACAAACACTCACTATATCGCATACACTCGCTATAGCTTTCACTTTTTTTATTTATATATATATTTTATTCTCTTCTCTTAAAAAGCATGCGGCCAATTTTATTAACGATTTTAAGAATAGTTTAGCTTTCAATACATCTTTTTTAACATTGAAATATAGGTTCCTGTTTCCATTTGTTCATTAAAATAACATCAAAAACTTCTTAAAAATTTATTATTGTCAATAAACATCGTCATTTTTTATCAACATTTTTAATGGTATTACGCCATTTCTCATGCGACTCACGTTTATATATAAGTTTTGTAATTTGTTTTTTTTTTTTTTTTTGTCACATATATAATGCTATTTAGTTTGCAATGACCAACACTACGACCAACCGGAACTATTTTTTAATAAATCAAAGAATTAATTGAAAAAGTTAAGTGTTGACAATGGCAAATCCAAGTTTTAAGATGTACCAAATACTACATGTCAAGTGGATACTTGGTCAAATGTATTCTTTGATATCAAAATGAATATTTTGAACTTTGTTGTATATTGTGATATCATCATGATGATTAAAAGTTATGGCTGTTGAAACTCTATTCGTTGCTGCAAAAGTTCAAAATATCTGTCAGTTTCTTTCTTCGTTTTTTTATGTGGTGTGTGCGTTAATCCATCAAAAATATTCTTTTAACTTAATTCGTAATGAAAACTTATATTTAAAGCGCATCATCTTTCTTCTAATTGGAAATCACACTGTGAACATGTTATTAATGAAGAAATGCATTATTATCATCAGTTTCAAGGAACAAAATGAAAAAAAATAATTTCACATATTGATGCCAAAAACACCGGAATGATTTTTTTTTTCTATAACTCCATGTGGAGCATAGGGCCTCAGATAAGGCTTTCCATCTTCTATGATTGCTGGCTGTGGTCTTAGCTTCGTTCCATGTGATTCCTGCTTCGACCGGAATGATTAAGAATTTAAAATTGAATAACATCTATGTTGTGTGTTTATATGGTAAATGATAGTAATCTAATGAGATTTTGTTTGTATGTTTATCTCTCTCTTTTTTTAAATTTCTCTTCACATTTCGTCATCTTTCAACGATTTATTGGTGAAGTGATTGAAGAAATAAAGAAATGAAAACAAATTGCAGTTTCAATATTGCGAAGATATTTGTTATGTTTCTGTCTGTCTTTGTGTGTGTGTTTTTGGCGAGAAAATTTAAACCTGAGCTGGTTTTGCCTTCCCAACCACCATCATCAGCTTTTGAAGACATCTTGTTACGCTTACTGAAAATATATGAAAAAAACCAATTGAATATTGATTAGAATTTGAATTACTTGAAATGCATCCAGAAATATCAATAGAGGTTGCCAATAAGTCACTAATAAGGTACATGATCTAACTACAAGATTTCATAAAATCGCTAATTTTCGATATTCACGTGTTGTAATTAAAAAAAGCAAAAATATCTGGAGCATTTTTATTCGGTCATCAAACAAAAAACAATTATTTTCAGAATAAAACTGACCGATTTGCAGTCGTAGAACAAAAGAGGCAATTAACTCTAACTCACTTTCAACTAAAAAAGCGTAAAAAAACATATCTCAAAACTATATCAAAATGTATTTTGTTTCATACTATTGAAAATTGATCATAATGCTTTTATTAAAAAAAAGAGAAAATAAAAACTCTTATATTAAAAAAGAGAAAATATCGTGCTCAATTCTTTCTCTGACAATGTGTATGTGGTAAGTGTGTGCTAAATTATAAGCTAAATGTGCAAAAAAAGAAAAAAAAAATGAACAAAAACCTTCGTTTGATTAATTTTCGGGCGTACAACCAACATCATTTTTTGTAGCGTTTGCGTTAATCCACCTAGAAGCATATATGTGTTCCATGTTTAAAATGGTGTATTTTGAAAGAAAAATATGTGTATTTTTGTGTATGGAAATGTAAAAAGTTGAGTTGTTCATTGGAAAGAGAGGAAAATTTCAGTAGGAAGGAAGAGAAGCAGTAGCAGAAGTAAAATATATACTCACCCATTGTGTGTTGGAACCACTTTGGTTTATTTTTCCATGCAATAAATACTAGATAGACGGGCACACTGGTCAAAATCATAAGTATACCGATGCCAGTTTCCTTTGGTGTGGCTATCATTGGAACGATGGTGACAAATGCAGTTGCCAGTAAATAAACGATTGGAAATGCTAAATTTACTTTGATTGGTCGTGGTAGATTTGGTTGTGCCCATCGCAACCATGGCAAACACAACACAGACACACCAATACTCAACTGTAAAACAATCGAAACGACAAATATTAATGCAATGCTAAAAAAGATTGTTTGATATGCGATTTCACTTACCCAAGTCGCAAATCCAACATAATTGATCAGCGCAAATATATCGGAAACGGTTAAATATAGCATTGATAGCAAAGCCATTGCAAGAACAGCCGGTGTCGGTGTGAATCGTGAGATTTGAATCATTGTTAAAATTTCCGGCATTTGACCTTCACAGGCACCAGCATAGAACAATCGTGATGATGTCAATAAAATTCCATTCACTGCACCTATTAATGTGCAAATAAATTCATCATTCAGATTATCAAACAAATAAATATGGTGGATGTATCAAAATCTTAAGGTACTTACCGAACGTTGACAATGCAACGAACACTAAAAAACGAACATTGAAAAGAAAAAAAAAAAAGAAAAAAGAACATTGATGAATTTCATTTTTTCTAAACGAACATTATATTGACACGATGATAAATGTCAAGGCTAGATAACACGCTGAAGTGTCGATCGATTCGGGAAATACGAAACACGATCAAGAAATTGTTACTGAATGAAATTGTTTACGCTAGGACGGAAACTTTCCTTTTCAGTCATAACGTGATGGCATCTTTTTTTCTGTATGTTTTTTTTTTCACGTTGGGAATAATATAGATGGAATGAAAAATTTTCTGTCGTTTTCTCATTCTCGGAACAGAAACGGATTTAATTATTGATAAAAATTATAAAATTCTTGAAGAAAAAACTCTCAATGATTTATTACGTTCAGAAATGTTGTTTTTCTTTGTGCGATCTATCAGCTGCGCCGATAAATACTTGTGCATATTCTTTGATTATTATAAAAATATTTATTTTACCTGGAATGGTCCATGCGAATGGTCCAAATGCACGCTCGGCAAAAGTAACAGCAACAGCAGATGATTTTAGCACTTCATCCGGTGATAGAATTGTGTAGAAAGACACATTGGCTAACACATAAACAACCGTCACTAAGGTACATGATATCGCAATGGCACGAGGTAAATTTTTCACTGGATCAATCAATTCTTCGATGATAAAGTTCAAGTAATTCCTGTTTTAATCGAAAGACAGATAAAGACAAGTATGCGAAATACTTTTAATTGGTTCAATGACAAGTTGAAAATAAAGTTACTAGTAACTTGAAGACATGATCTCAACGCAACGAAATAGAAAATATAATTAATGATCTCATGGCTTAAATTAATGCGATTATATGCTTGGCTTACCATCCGTTGTATGCAAACAGTCCAGAATAGAACGATAGGGCCAATGATGTTACTTCGGTCTTTGAATTGTCAAAGGTAAAATACTGGACATTGCCTATATAATGCAAAAGGAAGAAGAAAAAATATATATCAAAACTTAAAATCTAATTAAAATCTTCGATGACAGCAAAAGTAAATCTACTTTAAGATTTATTTTTCTCTCGTCTTCTTCTTCATAAATCAACCGGCAAATGTTGATGAATCATATTTGATTCGCCCACATTAACAAAACCAGTTGCCTGATAAGTGTGTATGCGCGAACACTTTTCTTCAGAGCCGTATAAATTTGATAATAATCATTTTAACAAGCCCATAGCGATAAATTGAAGCTTATACAAACTATTATATTGCTAAATTCATATTTCGCTACACTACTTTATTATCATATTAGCGGAAGTGCTAATTTAATCCATTCTCTTCGTCGTCGTCTTTTTCTAAGTAGCTTCTATTGAAAACAAATTACCGTGATTAACTGATGCTCTTTGCGAATGCGTGAAGAATCGACGATTTTTTTTTTTGCCTTTTCCGTCGCTGAAGACGACGAGCAAACGAAAATTGGCACGGAAAGTTATTATCATGAGAGCACAGAGATGATTTTTTTTTTTAAATTTTGATACACTAATTGTTTGAAAAAGAAATATATTGGTATGATTTTGGTACCGATTCTTACCCTTTGACAAAAGATAGGCTCCGAAACCAATGATCAAAAACAATGCAAATAATTTGGCATACGTGAATATATCCTGCACTGCTGTTGCCCATTTTACGTCCCAACAGTTAACAAACGTTAAAACCACTGAAAAGAGAAATAATCCGCATTAATAGAAATCTATATGACAATTGAACGTTGAAAGCATGCTGTGCAACTGGTGAATTCCACTGAGCTTTTTTATAAATGAAATACAATTTCTTCGTTTATTATTCCAAATAAGAAATACAAATAAATTACTCTTCTAGACTGACATTGTTGTCGAGTTGAATTCATTTCTATTTGTTGAAGTGACATAAAATGAACACAATATAAATTATTTTACCTCAGTCACTAATTAAATGAATTGAATTCAGACACATTGGAAACAAACGATTATAATTGAACGGTTAGATGAAGTTGGACATGGCTAAACAAAATGTTTCATAGACTTGATTCATTCAATGTACAATTTTGCTTACACAATGACCTATGTATGTGGAAATCACTAAACATGTTGTCTTCATTTTGTAAAAGAAATGTACCGACATGTTCTCAACTTCATCTCATCGATGGAAAATTGAACAAATATTTAGTTCGATAAAACGATTGGCTGTAATTTGATATTGGGTACAAATGATTTGAAATGACGGTCTATTTATTCGAACAATATTATCGTAATTATTAAGCCAATATTATGGCAACAAAGCGATGGAAAACCGTTTGTATTATTTTCGAAACGAACAAACAAAAATAAATGAAACGAATTTTTCTTCAATATATTTGTAAGTCTGCCAAATCAAATTTGGCCCAAACGCAGAAAGAATCAAAGTTCAAATGTTTGGCGAAAATCCTATATAACAAATAGTTTCAATCTATAATCACATATCTTTGCCACAAAGTCATTAGCATTGACTATCAATCGTAGTGGGACATTTGTTTATTTTGAGGCAATAAATAGTTCCAATACCGTTATCGCTATTGGATGTCATTTAACCCGCATGAATTAGACATGCAATCTTAACCCATTCATATGCACTGACATTTTCTCCGTCAATTTTTACATATGAGCAGATCTCATATTAGCCGGCAATAAAGAAAAAATGAAAACAAAAAACTCAATTTGTACTGATTATGAGTTAATTACGTATATTTTGCATTCATGTTCTGGGTGTTTTCGAAAATCGTACACCCATTGAGTGATGTATGAATGTGAATTTGATAGTAAGTATTACACAGAAAATACCGCGTGCGGGTAATTCATAGAGCTGATATTGACCGTTTCCTTATCTATTTGAACAAATAATTGACAATGGATTGAATACATTTTGAATAAAGAGCATCCAGAACAGTTAAATGATAATCACTGTTTTCGTTAATCAGTCATTGCTATTTGGAATCGAGCAGACAGTGTTTGCATTCAATCTAATTGTGATTGAAAAATTTCAGTATAATATTTCATCATCGTCATAGTTTACTGTTCCTAGGTCAAGCTAAACAAAGTTCAATTCTTTCCAAAAATAAATAAATGCAATAAAATCTTTTTTGTGACTTATGAAATCTCCCTATTTATGTGTACTTAATAATTTCGACGGCATTGTCAATTAACATGCAAACATTTGTGAGAAAAAAAAAGAGTTTAAAGTGTGACTTACTGATACAGCAAACGGCTAAAAGACGCGCCGAATCGTCAGGCGGTAAACATTCCGGAAAGAATGGCTTCAACACATATGTACTAAATGTGAGTGCAACAATTGCTTGTGAACATGGTCGAACAATCATACATTCAATCCATAAACGAACGAATGCCATGAATGGACCAAATGTTTCCATGATATAGGCATAATCGGCACCCGATTTTCGAATCATTGTTCCCAACTCTGCGTAGCAATATGCACCAACCTAATTTAAAATGAAAAATAAAATATACATTTGCAATCAAGTCAATCTAGTCGATGTTTACGCTTATCAATTTTAAGTTTATTTAGCATATTTTGTTTGTCTCTGTCTTTGATAATTAATCCCTTCATGCTCTTGAGATTTTGGACATGAAGACGGAAAACAATTACTTAAACGAACGTGCATATAAAATACACAAAAGGTATACGTATCGGCAGCCGAAAGAAGAATGGGTAAGTATTTTTGGAAAGACAAATGATCTTAATTACAATATGAATGGTTAGAGGGTTATTGGAAAAAGAAATCTTTTGTTTACTTTCTTAGCTACAGACAGATGTTTCATGGAATATATGTAATCCCCTGTGTGTATGTATGAGGTATCGAAGGGCAAAAAGTGTATATATTCAAAGTCGAAACGGACATAAATGTAACAATTTTTTCGTTTTTCTTTTCAACAAACATATATTGCCTGTGTTACGATTTGTTCCCCTTTTACAAAATATGAACTTAAACGCATTTGAAAAATCGTGCAAATTTTTATTGGCATCACGTTATGAATAATTAACTCATGGCTATTTTTATGATGTGTTTATGCACTCTAAGTTGTCCGTTCTATTTTGCTGATCAGTATTTAAATCTTATCATTTTTTTCCTTATCACAAAAACTGTATGTATTTGTTTTCTATTCGTTAGCTTTGCAATATAAGATGTTCTCGATCGGGGATCGATTTCAAAGGATGGACTTACCATTGAGAAAAGTCCAGAGATGACCCACACGACGAGTGCCATATTTACACTGCCTGTATACTTTAACACACCGGTGGGTGATACAAAAATGCCGGAACCAATGATTGAACCGACAATGACAGTGCATCCATTGAGCAAACTCATTTTAGCCTTGAGACCAACATCACCGTCGGCGCCATGATCAGTGCCATTTGGTGGCTGACTATTCGGCGATTCTAATGGCACATTTTCGTCGACCGAACCACCTTTTTGGGTACCATCACGTTTCATTTTTGCTTCACTCTTTTCTGTCTTTCACCCGAATTCACAAATTAAATGATCCTCACACCACTTTATTACGATTCACTGCAAATCACTATTAATTTTCTTAATCTATTTGAATTGCAATTGCACAGCACAGAAAATATATATATATGTATTCTAATTTTCGTTATCTTTATAACTTAATTGATTAATTTACAATGTTGGTGGTTGGAATGATTGGTTATTGCTAGCATTATTCTTCATGTTTGAAAGTGTGTTGCTTATTTTCTCGATATGTTTGTTGCTGTTTGAACACATTCGTAGTGAACTGTGGCAGCTTCGGTTTTTTTGTATTGTTATTTGCAAAGGAACCCTTTTCCCTCTTCTTGTTTTCTAAATGGGAAATAATCAAAGGAGAAATTCAAGTATGTTCAAAAGGTATTAAATTAAATGATAATCAGACACACACAAACACACATGCACAAACACACACTCTGTTTGTTTTTTTCTTTCAAATGGTATAATTTTCGGTTTCTTATTCTTCATCTTCTACGAAAAAATTCTTGAAATTTTTTCTGCAAAAAAATCAAATTGTTTTGTTTCTTTTATGTATTCCAACGATCGCACATCATGATTTCAAACAACAGAAAAACGAATGTGCATGTATGTATGTGTGTCCGTGTGTGACTAGACCGAATAACAAAACACACGCACACACCGCATTCGCCGAATACCCGTTTGTTACGACAGTTGAAAGCAGACTGAAAAACCTTTTCGGTTTGAGCTGTTTTGAGTTCAGCCGTATTGTGTTTTGCTTGCTTTTGTATAGCTTCTGATCTTTCATCTATCTAACAGGGTATTTTTCTTTTCGTTTTCTGTGTTTTTTTTTTTGCTCTTCTTGTGTGATGATGACGACGGAGACGTTACAGTCGTGCGTTTGCCTTATTATATGGATGTGTAACGAGAACTAGCCGATATATGCTGCGGCTGCTGCTATATCGGCTCTGCTGCCGCTCTGTGCCTTTTCTTTTGTCTTTTATTCCACAGATTTTTTTTTTTCATTCTATTTGATTATTGCCCAACACAATCTAACTACATAATATTGCCCCCCATATCACTTGTCGGTGTTATTTAGAAAATGTGATTATTACAAATTGACTGCCCAAATATTTATTCAAGCATTTTGTATGGAACGTAATTTCATTCAAGCTTTTTTTTTGTTTATTGTGCATTGTATATATGATACTTCTTCTTTTGGTTATGGAGCTCGTGTGTGAAATGCGATTCTTATATCATATCATCATATCAATGTCAACGTTTTCATGCAACTGTTTCTTTTCGATGTCGCCGTCGCCTCTAAATCTTCTGGCAGAATTTCAAAAGCCGTATGCAAAGTAATTTGTCTCCGTATGCAAAGATTAATTCAGCCAAAAATAGTCATAACAACGTCTGGAAATATTTTATCGTTTTTTTTTTTAAAGAAAATAAAGAAAAATTTAGTACGTTGCGAAATTGGTAGTTGAATCAATTTCAAGAATGACCGTTTTTTATGAGTTCAATGGAATGAGCATTGGTTTGACAATGAATGTGACATTAGGTGGTTGTCGACAGCGCGGAGCACATGAATTCATCCCTATTGAGAGTATGCTTTTTGCTCTCACACAATCGCTTACTTTTTCCAAAAGGAAAAAAAAAGAAAGGATACACATGTATAAAAATGCTGATATACTTTGCAGTCGGCAATTCGTCGTTTAATTTTTCAAATATAATTGCACATAATGAAATCAATGAATTAAATTAGCATATACGCGATAATGGTTAATCATCTCTTTCTCTCTTTACTTCCTTACGCCATATAACTTTTTTTAAAAAAATATCTCATACACTCTTGCAATTTATTAATCAGAAAAAGTATAGCCGCTCACACACTCTCGGCTCACACATCACACATTTATTTAATGGTTTTGATTTTGTGTTCTTCTTTGAATTGGCACACGGTAACACTGACCAAATTTGGACAACTGGTTAATTTGAATCGAAAAAGAAAAACCGAAATTGAATATTCAATGTAATTAGCGTGTCTTGTGCACGGCAGCCGAAATGTGTGTCTCTGTCGTTCGTATCACGAAGTTCTTTCGTAGGTTGTCAGTCTTCTTGCTCTTTGCCGAAACAAGATTTATCTTAACCTTCTATTATCATTCACTCTCTCAAATGAAAAAGTAAATGTGAAGAGGCGCGAATGCTGGCTGACCAATAATATGATTCGATTCCTTTTACGTCATCCATTTTTTTTCAAATTGAATTGTACGCATGTGCTACGAATGCTGCGAAGAGAGAACATCATCGACTATCCAGTTAAAGAGAGACCGAACGATACCAAAGAAAAAATTGATTTTTGGATTTCGTAAAATTAATTTAATGGCGATTTGCATTGAAAAGAGAACGATTTGCGTGGTAAATGAGACCATTTATACAGATGTACAACGATTTGTTCCCAAATTAAGGGAATCAATTTTATTGCTTTATTTTGTTCATTTTATGGAAATTCCCTGTTGGAATTTATTCTGATACAAACAATATAAACTCATTCTAATTGAAAATGGTTCGTAAAATTGGTGTGTTAACGGCAACAAAATGTGTAAATACGTGACATAATATTGAATTTTATTGAACGACGATTTCATAAACGCAAACAATGAACGACCACCTTTTTTAAGTAGTTAAGCAAAAAGAAATGAAAGAAAAAATACCAAAAACGGTTCGCGTACGCATGTATTCAAACCTGTTGAATCGCTGGAGTTGAAATAGATTTACATTTCACGAGATACATGAATACTCAAGAAGTTTACTATATAGATATGTATATATTTCGAAATCTTCTCTTCAGTTCACAAACAACTGAAAGCGTTCCGTTTACTTTGATTTTGGGCTCACACACTTAATTCGCTAAAATGGAGTCGCTCTAGTATCACTTTGTCCTCAATTTTTTTTCGCTTTTTTTTCTCTTTCATTTGTTCATTTGAAAAAGTTATCCATTTGATAAAACATATAATTTGCTCTAGCCCAAAAGATGTACAGACGATTGAGCGCGAATTATTTACTTGTAAAATATTATTCAATATACCTGTATATTGTACGTTGTCGATGATACTTCTCGTGCAGCACATATACCCACATATTATATGTTATCATAACGTAATCATTGTTATTATGCAGTTTCTATTCTTAATGATTCAAATCATGCGCCCGATTTGTATTGTATTTTCGTGTTTTGAAAAGATATTTTTTCCAAAATTGACCGCAATTAGGCATTTTTTTGGCCATCAACCGTAAATTTTTTATGTTTTGTGAAAAAAAATTGTTTCCAATTTGTAACCAAAAACTATTTGGGCTGGAATTCAACGTTATAATTAACAATCTGATTATTTATGTCACATTCGCGGTCATTGATAATATGATACTGTTGTCAAGTCATCATCTGAATGAGACAAATTGTGATTTTGATTTTATTGTCAGTTTTATTTCATGTTTGTTCAAATAAAAAAAAAAAACGAATAAAAATTAATATGCATAGTTAACGGATGGCGCTTGACATATGGGATTTTTAATTACTTTCTTAGCAAGAAGAAAACAACTAAAAACGAACAGGTTTTGTTCTCAAAATTGGAAAGCTTAGAAAACAACAAGAATGAAGTGAATATGGTTGTATTAATTTCTATTTATGAAATCGACTCGGCAAACTCCTCAAATAGAAAAATATAATATGATTGAACCACACGTTCATTGGTAGAATACATACTGTCGCATTGCTTACAATCGGCTGGAGTCGTGAATATAGTATATATATAAATGTTTGACAGTGGATTTGAAAAAAAATATGATCCAGTGTTGTGTCTTAAAATCAAAATTTTATTTAATATTCTTTTTTCCCCTCCAAACACAAATTTCCAAAACAAAATAAATTATTCTCAGGATATCTTTCTTTACCCATATAACGAAACATAAATTTAATTGTAACAAAATAAGCAATCAGAGGCTGTTAAATTAATATCATTTTTATACATATTTATTTAGTTATTGTGGATTTTTTTTTTCATATATTTCACACTGAAATTGTTTAAATAACTTCAAAAATGATCGAAATTCAAAATTGTACAACAAAAATGTACGACCTTTTTTTCTCAATTCTTGTTCATATCATCGTAACTGGCAATGATATTTTACCAAACCAAGAAAACTTTTTATTTCTTGTTCACCAGCTATATGGGTTAAACAATTCTGACCAAAGATATGCTCATATAAATAGTGAAGTGTTCAATGGATATGGTAGTGTTTGATAAAATTGTGAGAAATGATTTCTACCATCGATAGCATTCTTATTCCATGCACAAATCATTCTAAATTTGATAAATCGCTTCGAAACTCTTTGCGAAAAAAGGTCGTAGTTTCTAGTTTGTTTTGTATTTGGTTTTTCATTTATTATTTAAATAAATATGTTGAATTGCTTAAATGTTTATTCTTGAATGGTGAATGTAAGTTGTTTGCCGCGGCTGTTTTCAAAACGATTCGGTGGTTTTATTTCCATTATACAATTGATACCAAGTGCTACTGCAAAGCAAATAACAAAACTAACAAATACACCCGACCAAATTGGTGTCGATGTAAAACCGATACAATTGTACGAATCATTGAAACGTCTGGCATTCACATCCAATTGCACCTGAAATAGAAGGAAAAGTTCAAAGAAAAAGAATCCATCAATATCAATTCAATTGCAAACAAACGAAAACACCGTTCAATTACCTGAATGTTAGCCAACTCCAAATAAATGGAACCGTTTCGAAAAATAAGTGGTCTTGAACACACGTACGAATATTCCAATGGAGCAGCTGGTCTATCGTCCGTCAAATAGAGTGTACTGTTACCTAAAGTGACCAGAAAAAATGCATTTATATAGAAGCTTTGAGAAAAATTAACAGACATTTATAGACAGAGAATAACAAAAGGAATCATAATTAATGTATACATTGTTTAAGAGGAAAGCCATGACCACAAATTGACGTCATGACACAGTGATTTTCGAATCACTTGAATATTGCTTAAATTTGAGATTTAGAAGTAATCGATTCTGTGGAAGAAATTTTTTTAACGAACTTTCGCATACGTGAAAGAGCATCGGACGAAAGTCTACAACTCATATTCCGTGCGTAAATTCAACATCATTGACATCAAATACACGTCAGACCCAGTGTTTATGAGACCAAAGCTTTAGGTTTACACGAGTTGCCTTTTGCCTTTGTTAGTAAATTTTCTGCAAATTTAGCGAGCATTACCATGGGTTATGGTGTTTGCGACGTTGTTCCGACATGATTATCTATTCCACATTCATTCACTACCACTACTAAATCTCAATGTTTCAGCAATATTTTTTTCTATAGATCTTTATACATGTGGTACTTTAATTTACTTGTTTTATAGAATTTTGTTTAAAAAAATATATAGCAGATTTTCAAGAAAATAAAGGATATAAAAGAATATTATAGAAGTCTTCAACTAAATATAGGACATCCGAATACTCTTATCTTACCGGTTATCTTCGACCAATTAATGTCTGCCGCTATTAATTGCCATGAGCCTCCCGAAATGTTGAACACATATTCGATTTCCAACTAAAAATCACATTTAACATTCACACATTGGTTTAAACTTTGAATTTGAAAAAAAAAAAACGAAAACTACAATCTGACATACCTTATCTTTGAAGTTATATCTCACTTTAAGTGTACGTTGTTCGTTTTTATTTTTTTGATCCGTTGTTATGGTTGTTGGAGTATTATTATCTAAGACTATTTCTGTGGTGCCATCAAATAAACGTGGTGCCGAGCTTGTGTACAATAGAATTTTATATGGCGAATCAGGATAATAGACAAAATCAGTTTGGTTGGTTTCGTCTGTTACTGGGCTTGGTGTTGTTATTGTTGCTGCTGTTGTTGTAGTGGTGGTGGCCGTTGTAGTCACTGGACTTTCTGGTGATGCATCAACGGCTCTCTTATGTATTTCATGATGATTAGTTTTAGATGCCAAAATTCCCAATACTTTCCCTTCGCCATAAGTGATGACCGCATCATGGTACAGTGCCGACAATTCAACATCTTGCTGTGAAATTGGTCCGACCAAATTGATTACCTATTTTTGAAAGAAAATTTCAAATCATTTCTGCCATACTTTTGAAGAAACACACGCACACACTCAAATCACAGTTGTCAATATATGAACGGTACGTACCTCTGCATTTAAATTAAATTCCATTGGATCGGAGCCAAGATGTTGTTGAGCCAAATAGACATAATTTGTTTTCGACAATAAATCTTTGAATATTGGAAAATTATCCTCTTTCAAATGATTCGATGCATTGCGAACAAATAAAATGATTGCTGACGAATCAGAATAGATGTCACGCAGCAAATTTTCATCCAATTGATTTAATGGATTTGAATTTGCATGCGAAAATTCTTCACGTCCCCACAAAACAAATGGACCATTATAACTAGCTTGAATTGATGATACTAATGCCAATAATCCAAATAAGATGAAAAAACCAATCATTTTTTCTTATTCTTTGCGTATAGTTGTGATAGATTTTTTTTTGTTTTTGACTTTTAGTAAATGAAAATATCCTTGTATGTCAAAGTGCTTACGAGAAGAAAAAAAATGTCTCGAACGAATTCAACAAGGATTATGACTGATGGAAAAATCAATTCCAATACCACGTAAATATTTAGTATTAGTGTAACGCATGCGCATCAGAAATGTTTAACCGACTTTTTTGACAATTTACCTTCAGTTCCAGTACAGTGTGAGCACACACACACATAAGAATACGCATATTTGCATATATTTCAAAAGGGGCGTTTAATATTGAATGGTCGCAAGTATCAACGTTAAACGATAAAGTACTATAAAGTACATTAATGGCAAACAAACACTTTTAACGAGGATAAGAGCCATCGTGTGAGTCTGCACGCATAATAAGTAGGATTTTTTTAATGTTCACCAAAAAAATAATGATTTATTTACACAAACGTTTAAATATAATTGTCAGTTTTATTTTTGTTTTTTGGTACAAAATGTGACTATTTTTATTTGAAAGTAGCCTAACGTATTTATTTACAAAAATTTACACAGCAATGTAACTACGAAAACTGGGAGTAACAATATGAAATTTAATGAAATTTTCGCATTCATGCCGACGCCGCTAGTTGGGCTGCCTCCATATCTGGTTTTTCTTCCTATAAAGAAAAACAAAACAAATATAGAAGTATAACTTAATGAGAATCAACATTTATGATGAAAGAAAATATTGTTTTTACCACTTTTCTCATTTGGATCACAAACTCTATGCGCTAAAACTTTCTTTCGTTTTGGCATCGCATAACCGACAATGTTCAATGTTGGCGAATCGAGCCGACCTCCAGCAATTAAACGCGACAAATCAAGTTCCATTTGATGGGCCAACGGTCCTTTAAAATGGATCAACATTTGTATACAGGCGCCACCATGTAAAATTGTAATTTTACGAGAATCAACACTTAAAAACCATTCCGGTACGCCCATTACATGTCGAACTTCTTCCAAAAATTGTGCACTGCAAAATATGTTGTTAAATTTTTTGTATTTCATTCAGTGTCACCAGTGTTTCATGCAATATAGTGTCACCACTGCGAGATAACTTACACAACGAATTTCGGTGGGCGTTGAAGATTCACATATTTAATGATGTCATGATCTGGTTCGATGTTTGCGCAGGCAAATCGTTCGTGCGAATAATTCGGTCCAAACAGTACTATCGAACGACCCAGCGCACTTTGATCACCTTCCAATGGGAAATTTTGATCGGTTAATATAACACGCTTATCGCCGATATCTAGTTAGAAAATATTTGAAGCATTATACATGAAAATCATCACTTTAAAATCGAATGTACGGAAATGTACCGATAGTATTTGTGCGAAATGAAACATCACCAACATAACATCGCAACGGATTATCTGCTCCACATTCCTCTTCATACAAATTTGTCTAAAAAATAAAGCTATTTAGTTGACAATAAATGTAAACTCGAAACGTTATTGGCACCGGAAAAGTGCGGGCCGCACCTTAACGCTGCCTATAATTGCTCTGTGCAAACAAGAATGAATGGCTTACATTAAGTGGATCGGCCAACTGTGTGTAGTATGGATTCCATACGTAGCCACCAGCAACGCATCGTGTAATGGTCTGTTGTACAACGGCATCAACGCCAATCGGATTGACAAAGATTTTCCAATGGTGATGTCGAGTCATATTTCGATCATTTTGTCCCGGATGTCTTAAATTCACTTCGATCGTTGTGTCACTTTTGCTGCCATCATTGTGAATCAATTGTGTAAATCTCATATATCCATATGCATAACCTTTTGGATGATGAAACGATGCAATTGCTCGAATTTCACGTGACTCCTGTGGACTATATCCACGTTCCAATGTTGAGCATGCCCATCGTACATTTTTCTGCTTTTTATGAATGACAATCGATCGTCCCAATACCGTTTCATATCCAAATAATGGAATGTTTGTATCATTAAAGCTGGCCATGTACTCGGTAAGGCGATCTAATGTGCCAAATTTTCCACTTAAATCGCCCATTTCATAGAGATCCGATGAACCCTCACGGGGCATCGGTGATGTTTTTGCATTCACACCACGTGGATTCCAATGATCGTAAATTGTTGTAGCTTCACATGGAAACAATAAATTCTCTTGGACAGACACTTCATGAACATGATAGCCACTTGTTGCATTCAATCCTTTGAGGTTTACATCAATATTGGTTATTTCATACTCTGACTGTTGATACAATTCCAATTTTCCTTTAACGCTTATCGAAACTCCATTACCATACCAATCGCTGGCAACCACTTTCCGTGGAAAGTGTCTTTCAATGCTAAAACAAAATGACATCAGACATTAAGTTAGAAACTAATTATAGTGGACAAAAGTAAGAGATGCTAGATGAAAAGGCACTGTTATAGAAAATGAAAGAAATCGACTACTTACGTTGTGCAGGCGAGTCGATCACCTCGTGCCTTTGGTCCAAAATCATCATAAATAACAATTGATTTTCCAAATATGCTATTATATCCACTAAGTGATAACGTGGTATCGGTAAAAATAGAACGTGTCAATGACCTCATCTTTTTACTTCCGGCAATCGTAAGCGAAGCAATGCGATGAGTCAAATCGCCCAAACGGCAACTTGTTGCATACTCTTTTGAACACGTACGAGATGGATCATCTGGATTGAATGACACCTAAAAGCCATTGTTATCGGTTAGTAATGTCTTATCATGATTTTCTCGAGCATTTCGTACCTTATAAGGATTGTGTATTTGATTTGTGCTCACACACCGATTTTGCCAATCATAAAAATCTTTTCCCGGCGGATTACTGTGAATTGCCCAGCGATGATCTTTGGTTGTATTCAATGATGAGCCATCTGCATGAATCAAATATCTAATTTGAAGAAAAATCATATGTACATCGTAATTTAGAAGTTTGGAACGACCAAAAAAGAAAATTATTAAAAATCAAATCCAGAATTTCTTACTCAATAATAATTGTTGTTTCGTGCAATGGATCGTCTCTTGGTTGTCTGAATAAAATTTTTCCCACAATCGGATAACGAAATAGAACTTGTGCGGTGACCATTGGCAATTGATATTGTCGATTTTCTTGATAAAGCGTTAAAGTGCCACAAACCCAGTTCGATCGTGTCGTATTTGCTGCATCGGTTCGATTATATCGTTCGATGGTTAAACCACGATGTACAATGCTATACCAACCTTGCATTGGTAAAAATACATCCCAATAAATGCCATTCAATTCATTGCCCGGTGTAATTGGTAACAGATAATTATGTGGATATTCATTGTTACGCATTTGTAATTTTCCCGATAAATCACCCACCGGATACTGATCTTGGGTTCCATAGCCGGCCGGTGGTTTTTTATCATTTTCAATATCGCTTGGATTGTAAATATCACCAGTGCTATCACAAAATGTATGCAAATTGGCCATTGTTGGATTGGGCGGTAAATTTTTTATTTGAAATCCAGCCAAATCACGTAAATACTCTGTATTCTCTCTCAATTCATTCTTGGCCGAATGAACGGTAAAATTTAACCAAGTCGGTTCAAATGGTGAACGTTGATGTATGGTCACTTCACCCTTTACACCATTCGAATTGAAGATCGACCTAAAAGATGTATATATATTACACATGCATGCTTCATTTGAATGAATCTAAACTTTAAAAAAATCCATGCAGTACTCACTTTGCAATACGTGTCCGGAGATTTCGAATTTTGGCACATGCCAAAAATCGATTTTCATGCAAATGATCATAAACCACCACAAATAATTGCCGATGCGGTCCCGTCAAATCACTTGGAATTAAAATTAATTCATTGTCATTGAATACTTGCTTTATTTCTTGTCTGTAAACATCTTTGGCCACTTTTATCTCACCAACACGACCATCAATATCGCCCAATGATTTTCCAGCGCCCATATTTTGTGGATCGTATATCAATTGCAAGACATTACAATTGATTTGTGATTTTTCCGCATTCGTTTCAAAGATATCGGTTACAAAGATTTTCCATGAGTGTGTCGTGAATGGTGAACGATCACTTGTATTGTCCACATGAAATAAATTTGATGTGATCATATTTAATCGATGCATTGTATCCTTGGCCGTAAGCCAATGGAAATAGATCGAACCGGCAATCGGTGAATGGAATCTTGCTTCGGCCAAATGATCGATATTATCTTCAATTGTTACAATTGTCGCACATGCATATGATCCACTGTCTAAATTTTGCAACACTAACGATTTACCCCAAATCATTTGTTTTTCTATGAAAACACACAGAGAGATAATTTCATTTCAATTTGAATAACGATTAATATTGTATACTGATGGTTGATAAAACATCATCACTATTACTCACTGCTAATCACTTGTGAAATTTCCCACGTTGTCGATTCATTTCCGGGCAATTGTAAATAACCCAAATGATCATCAAATTCGATTAATTTCTGTCCAACTTTTGACGTATGACATCTTTGATCTGCTCGAACTTCTCGATAATCAGTGGGCATTTCATGAATTCCCCAACTCCACAGTTGATCGGGATACTGCAAGGTGGTCTCAAGTTTTGATCGAATTTCAAACGAATTATCATTTCTCTGATTAAAATGGAATTCACCGTGTAATCCATGTTGTGAAATATACGCCACTAGTTGCACACAATTCACTATCGTTTCAAAATTCAAAAGAAAAAGAGAGATTTTTTGTTTTCAAAAATAAAAACCAAACAAATGCATGAGCATAATATTGCATTGTGTGCCAAATATCGTAACAAATATTAATCATTTTTATCTCTATGCACCGGACTAACCTTGGAAGTGAAAGTGCCAAAATAAAACTGTTAAAATTATATATATTCGATTCATATTTAACGATAACAAATTAATATAACTTTTAAAATAAACAATAAATATTCGGCTATTTGAACAACAACAACAATAAAAAGTGGAAAAATAAATAAATGAATTTCAGTAATGGTGAAGTAAGATAAAAAAATGTGAGGCTACATTTTTTCTTCGCTAGCAAAGAGTATGTTTGTTTTCTCTATTACTACTTCATTTAAAATGTTTTCTTTCTTTTCTGTCTGTTTCTCGCATGACGTTCACCTTCAACAAATAGTGTGAATAAGTGGCATTCCCACCATGCAGCCAAGTTTTAACACCAACGATGACTTGAACGTAGTAAGAGAAACAACAACAGCAGCAACAATTATAGCAACAAACTGTTTTCTCTCTTTTCGTGTTTGTTCGCAGGTAAACAATACACCATCGTTAATCAAAATGAATAAAGTAGAAAGTAATTTGAGGTTTAAGTACTCAAATGTCAATCATTTTTCTGCTTTTCGTGTATTAAGTACATTTGTACTTTGTTTGTGTTCGGCAAAGTGAAAAGTAAAAATGACATCGCACAGTGTTTCCAATTCGAGTATATGTGTTATTCCAACATAAGAGATATTCCCATATTATTATTATTTTTTGTTTTTAATTTGATATTTATGCAATCAAATAAATTGACGTTTCGATAAATCGTCGTTTCTGAAATCAACGATTGTAGTTTAAATGAATTGACAAATGAATCAACACTTTTTTTTGGCTAAAATTACAGCATATTTGTCAGTTATTTTTTTCAATTGCACAAATAAACACCCGGTAAGTGGAAGAGAAAAAAATTAATCTTTTTTTTTTTCATATGGGGATGATAATTTAATCCAACTGTCTTAAGGCTTTCGGTTAAAATTGTTGTGCCTTTAGTCAATGTGATTCATCATCACAAGGAAAATGAGGACCAAAAAGAAAAACGTGTGCGTCGGTCGAGATTTTCGAAACTGTTTTCAATCAACCGATCGATCTTTTTGTGTATTGAACGTGCCTAAGCATTTATGTACATCCAAATTCAATAAGTAATTATTAACAATAAAAAAAGGAACGAAGCGCCGTAGCATACAGTTTTTTTTTCACACTCAAAGAGAAATGAAAAAGAAAACAAAGCACACAAGGTAAACAGCGAGTTATCACTCGCTCTCTCTTTCTCTTTTTGTCATGTGTACGCACAATGATACGCAAAAAAATGTCGACAATGTGAAAAACCCTTGGTAGTATGTACGATGACACTTGGCTAGTGCTTTGAAACATACGGAGTGTGTGTGTATGTGGTTAACAATACACACGAGGCTCATATAATGTGCACACCATTTGTTGTCGCTTTCCTTGGTCTTACACACATACACACAAACGCACACACAAAAACTAACTTACTCATTCGCTCAGTTGGGAAAGCAGTTGCGCTCGCACAACAAGAAGATAGATAAACGAGCGAATTTTCCCAAATCAATGTGTACGCAAGCTCTTTAGCAGCAACTTTTCCTTCATATCATTACATTCGGTGTGTCGTCTGTTTCGTCCGCGCGCGTATATTTTATCAGAAGTGAAACGAACACACGAAGCGAAATTTTATTTTATTTTTTTATTGAAAATACATATGTATATATTGAAAGGCGTCTATTTCATCGTTGTACATCGTTCTCTATTCAACGCATGCTTACTCTTAACGCCATCCTTTTTCATTCGATACAAAATATATGAACTTGTTTGTTTGTATGTATTGCTACTACAATTTTCTTCTTTTACGCTGGCTCGAATAAGCCCTTTTCACATCGCGACTCTTCGCATTTTCAGTTTTCCTTCGAGAATCATGTTGATATCGTTTCGCACACACAAAAACTCCACAGAATAAACGCAAAGTAGAATTGTATATTAAAGTGTACACGAAAGGAATCAAAAGAGAGAGAAAGAGAGAAAAAGAAGAAAATAATTACGATAGAGTGAAAGAAAAATCAAATAAATCTCTAATCCGTTGAACCAGTAAAATTTTTCAATATATATTAACTGTTTTTTTTTTCTCTTCTCTTCGTCTTCTGCTACTGCTTGTGGTGGTGGTGGTGTTGCTGCTGTTTTCAGTTGTTGTCGTTTTTAGTTTGTTTAAATATCAGTTTTCAGTTATTGTGTGGTGATATTCGGTTATGAATCTGCGTAAAAATCTATTCAGAAGATAAATTTTCTTAAGAAAAGAATTTTATTTTATTTTTTTTCTTCTTCTTCGCTGTGTTGCTCTTGCTTATTCGCTCAACGGCACTTCATACATTCAATAAATATTTGCAGTTAAACGAAATCGGTCGCAAGTACGTATATATTTAATTCATAACATTTTTTTATATACATATATCTGACTTGTTCTTTATCGGTGAGGATTTTTCGTCTCGGTAGTCTTCAAACGAAAATGAACATAATCATTTGATTAAGTGAAGTGTACAAATAAGAAGAAAATGACGTGTGAGAGAGAGAGAGAGAGAGAGAAAAAAAAGTAAATGTTTGAAATGAGAAATCGATGTGAATAGAAAATAAAGCGAAAGAAAGATGATAAAAGAGCAAATGGTTGTAAATGAAACAAACATCGACAAAAATGCAATTAGTGTAATCAGCAAAAAGTGTGTTTCATTTCGATTTTTTCCTGCTTCGAAAGTGTGGATTATTATGTGTGTGTATATTATATATGTGAATGTTTGACGGATGGTGAAAATTGCACCCTCTGTAATCAAAAGGCATTTGACGCTGTGAATAGACAAAATTGAGTAGCTACAGTAAGCAATCCAGCTCTATCACGAGATAGAGTGCAAAGAAAAATTACCTTTTTGAATCATTATCCTTAATATACAAGGAAAAATCAAGTGTATAAAAATGACCACATCAAATTCTAGTGTACAATTTCGTTCCATTAAACAGTGACACCGAGAAAACGAATAAGTAGATGATGCGAATAAAAGTAAAAGAAGAAGAAAAAAAGTTGTTGTACGAAACATTTTTCCTCTCTTTGACAATACACAGCACATACAGTAACATTTTCTGAAAAGTTTTTATATCGAATGCATATCTCTGATAATCGAACGGAATCCCCCCAATAAGAACATAGAACAGAAGAGAGATAGAAAGACACGGTTTTATATATGCGCCATACACGCGACATAACGATGATATTATACTCGCGCTCTCTCGTTTTCGCGCGCGCGTAACCAATGGTTCATGTCATATATGTGTGTGGATAATGGGACTCCTATATATATACGCGCTCTTGTTTAATTTCATTATTTTCGTTAAACTCTCTATTTTATTTGTGTGCTATTTTGTGTGTGTGTGATTTGATTTCTATTTTTTATATATATTTTTATTTCAAAACAAAAAGCCATACTAAAAATAGATGCATAATATATAATATATTTTTATTTGATATACGTATTGTATACATTCAGTATTATGTTTGCGGTGTGTTTTTGTATCGAATGAGTGAATGATTGAGAATATGATAGAAAAATGTGTTTACGACAAGATCATTAATCGCATTAGAATAGAGACAGAGAGATACTAAGAGGTGGAGAGAGTGAGACTTGGTTGGGGCCAACAAAAGTCAATTGGTTCACTCGATTTTCATTGTCGCGAGACAATACAGCGAACGATATGAAAAGAGATCCTTTACAATTTATATAGTAAATGACAAATGAAAGGATTATCTGATTTAAACTTCCGTTTTACGCGATTTACAATTGTTGTATGACATTCTTGACTCTGATGCAATAACTAACTGCACTATGTATGCGATTTTTATCCTTTTCCCTTCCTATATATATATGGATCTGTTATTTTGCAACAAAATACGAGTTCAGATAGTTCAGTGGTCATTGGTGACTTATAGTCAAAAATACTTACAAGATTATGGGCTCCACTGTATAAATGTGCTGTAATCACAGTGGAAAGATTGAAACTTGTATATATTTTAAGTTAGAAATTATTGGCTTGGCACATATAAACTAGAAATTTATTTAATAATGGTCATAGATGGCGTGTGCTTACAACGCTTTTATCCATGACGTGATTCTGCACATTGTTAAACGAAAATAGTACTCTACGATATTTTTGACCGAAAGTTCATTGATTTTATTTTTATTTTTTTCGTTTGATTGTTGTCTGAAAGCAATTTCGATGTGGTTCGTCTCGAAATGTTGATTAAAATCAAATGCCAATATCACATAAATCATCACATGCCCTTTGTTAATGTTCAGAAATGGGGCAACATGTTGCAGGCACTGTTGATAACGAACAATAACTGTAAATACATGGGGTTAACTCAATTCGATTTTTGATTACATTCATCACCTTTTTCGGGCAGATTGAATCATTACAAGCAATTTATATATCTGAAAAAAAATCGATATTAAACGATGGACATTTCCTAATTTGACACACCTACGCGCTATAAATCGAATGAAAATGTCCAAATTAATACGTACCAATAATTGAAAATCAAATGTCTATTCAATTTGTCTATTCGCAGATCAATTTGCCGAAAGATGAAATCGTGAAATAAATTTAAATTTTCAAATGTAATAGCAAACCGAAAAAAAGAGACAACAGTCACAAAACTGTCAGATCGAAGATATCGCCTTTTGAAACATTTCATTTTGAATGTGCGATGAAAAATAAAAATCTTGTGTGAATGATTGAGTGTAAATTGAACTGAATCTATTGAATTTTATAACATACATCAACAAACAATAATAATAATCAAGTAAATATATACACAGCAATAGTTAACGGAACTAAAAGGAGCACAGAGACGTAGTCAGTTATGGGATGTGGTCAAAGTAAAATACATTTGTACCCGAGAAAATCGAAAAGCAAAACAAATGGAAAGAAAAGCGGACACAGTAAGTGTATAATACATAAAGAGATAATTTCATTTTAATTTTGTATCGTTGCTTCTTTTAATTTTGCGCTGCAAAACAAACAAACACACACATCACACATACGCTCACAATAGCAACAAAAAAGGGACAAAAAGAGAATTTTTTCTGTCACAACTATTTGAAGAAAAAAAAATTATATATATCAAGAAATTCCGAGTCAGTGGTGATAAGCCGTAAATGTAAAATCAAAAAAGTCCCAGAAAGAGAAAGGGAGAGAAAAGTAAAGTATATTTGTTCATATATTTGCGTGCACATTTCCGACGTTGTTGCCGTTTTTGTTTTTCTTCATTTTGCAAAAGAATGATGTTCTCTCGACATTTTTATCCCCTCGAATGATTTTCTCGTTATAAACGACCTAAGTGATTCCGGATGTGCCAATTTACGTGTGAAAGAGACAAGAGAGGGACGCATACCAACTCACAGCGAGTTGAATAATTTATAAACAAGACGATGAATTCATATTTTGCCAATTCAACATAGGCTAGAGAGAGCTATAATAACGTTGGAAACTTTGTTGTAGTCGTCGTCGGCGGCGACGGTGGTGGTGATGGTGGATATGCACTTGAGAAAAACGAGACGTGCAATATCTAAAACAAGAGGGCACATCATAATAAGATGCTTGATTGATAAAGCATTTCGAGCTGAAATCCCATGAATATGCATTTGCTTTTCAAAATGAAAAAGAGTAAAAAAGGACGACGACGACAACGACAACAACAACATGAAATGACATTGCTTTGCAGCATCGTCGAGCCATCACACTGACTTCGCATTGTATGAATGAGTTGAGTGAATAAAAATATCTTCATTTCATTCCATTGCACATCAATGATGAAAAGCCTATGGTGCATGTATGCACAGTGATGAAGTGTACATTGCGTTTTACGTGCTGCAAAGAAGCTGCAGCAGCCGAAGATGAAGAAGAAAAAAAACATGTAGCAATGGAATGAAGAGCCTCAAGTAGCAAAACACAAACATGGCAACATAGACACATTCATTGTCAATCCAATTTTCAAAAACTTTATTGCTCCAATTCTGCAGCAAAACTCGCACTCTGCATACTATTTTCACAATTTTGTGAGTGAGCGCGCGTATATATATGTGCGTGGGTGTGTGTTATTCAAACTTTCTGCAGCAAACATGCAATGGAAATGCGAATGAATGAATGATAGAAACAAACAAAAAACCATATTTAATTCGAACCGGCATTTTGAGAATATTTAATTACGCCTCTCTTTGCGATTGTAATTAATAATATTATTAATTCATTCCATTTTTTTTCTCGATTCAGCTGATCCAGACGCTGATGCGGACGAAGAAGAGGGACATATTTCCAATGAAAATGAAAAAGAGATAAACAAGGACAAAGAACGAATTGAAGATGATACATTGTCAGATGAACAAGGATCTCCAGAGCAGCCAAATAATGAAATTTCCATATCACTGTTACGCGCAAAAAATTTGTCATTGCTGCAAAGCCAGTAAATATCATGTTTTTATAATGCATTACACATTCAAAACATTCAATCGTTTTATGGAATAATTCAACAATTTTTGTGTCTCCATTCAATTTTCACAGAGAGATTTCGTCCAGCCAACAGAACTTTTTTCGAATGTTGGACCAAAAGATCGAAGACGTATGTAAAATGTGACCATGGTTCGAATTTATAAATGCGAAAAATAACATAAATGTTTTTTGGATTTGCCTCCTTTCGATAGGGTCCTGATTATGATTCATCGAGTGAAACCGAAATGGCACTAGAAGAAGCGCGCCTAAATGCGTTAGTTCAACATTGGGAATCGGCCAGTTTAACGGCATCATCGCTATGTTCGTCAGCAAGTAGATCACTGCAAGGAACGCCCGTTCGTCAAACCGCTATGAGGTATTTGTTTAATTAAATAACATTTTTGGCATTTGCTTTTACTCGAATATGCATTTTTTTACGTTCAGGCCTCAAGACCAGCAACAACTCCAACTACAACAACAACATCAACTTCAGCAACAGCAATGTGGTATTGCATCAGTTCGCTTAAGTGCCATGAATGCGAGTAACCGACAAAGACCTGCCACCGTCAATGTTGCCAACACAAATGTTGGCATCGCCACAAATAATCCCAATATTGTAGGTAACATGTTACCACAACATGTTCCAATTTCATATTATACACACTCAGCACCTCAAACTTCATACTTTAACGATGTTTTACATCCAATGCAGGTAAAATATACACATCATCAACAACATGTGTACATTTTTATTTCAATTCTATGCGTTAAAAAATGCGAAAAAATTATCCAAAACACACTTAAACAACACTATTCTTGTGCCAAATTTATTTGATGAAGAGCTCGATAGTAATTCGAAAATAGTTGACTGAATTTTTAATTGAAATCCGTTATTCGAACTCTTTGAATTATTTGGTTCACTGGTCAGAAGCTATGCTGACATTAGATAAAATACATTTTTTTTTCTTCTACAAAACTTGATATAAAATGCAACAAATTGAAAGACAATCATAATAATTGTGCGTGTATTTTTGTAAATGTACAGGTTCCGCAAATGCAGCCCGAGCCGCGTTTTCCGCCAGCAATCAGTGTACAGCGCCTAAATCCGCAAGTACAGCGACAAATCCGTGAAACTCAAGAACTGATCAAAGATTCATGTCCGCAATTATATGCAGCTGGTTATGGTCCGGGACCCCCACCGATGCGTACACAACCACGTCAACCAACACGACGTCCCACCCTTGAAACACAGTTCTCTCAAGAATTATCGTGATATTTGGATTACTAGTCTGAAATTATTTATTTAAAAAATTCATTAATATTAATAATAATAATAAATAATAATTTATTACTGAAAATCCATGTTTAAGTGAAAACAGATGAAAACAAAAATGCTAAAAAAATAGATGTTTAAATTTGTAGTTTAGATTGTCCAGTCCTTAAGCGATCTGAGTATATATAAATATATATTTAAAAAAACAAATATTTAAAGTGAACAAAAATGAATATTGAAAATAAATTTACCAAAATACAAATGAAATTCCAACCAAAAATAACTGAAGAAGAAGAATGGATTTTTTGGAATGTAGTAAAAATGCACTCACACACATACCGATTTAAAAGTGAACATAATGGAAAAATTGAAACATTTTGCAAAAATGGATTGCAGATAGAGAAAAATGTAAAGGAAATCAGAGAAAATGCGAAATATTATTGACTTCTATAGTCGTTTGATTAAAAAAAAGAAGAACAAATTCGAGTGTAAATCACTGTTGATGAGAGATTTTATATTGCAATTTAACCTGTATATTTTTCCACTCGACCCCCACACACATACCAATCAATCGATCAAACCTTTTGGAGGATTTAGCATTTTTTTCTGTTTGAAATAGGACAGAATAAAACTAACATATAAAACATGATATAATCGAAAAACGAAATTGTCGTATTTTCTATGAGTACAGGAAATTTCAAGGACAACTTTGCAGTTTATTGATTTCAGTATCTGAAAGAGTTTGTGATTAAATTCATGTTTAAACATTTGTTATCCATAGAAATATTTTTTGAAAACTCTTGAACTCTTTTGATGGTTGAAGAAATCTACTGTGTGCTCACCATAACGTGGAAGCCAACATGTTATCATTTGGAATTTTTTAAAGTTAAGAAAAGTTCCATAGACTTTCGAAATGGAATAAAAGACTTGATGAAATGAGTTTAAACAAATTGCATGCTTATGATTGACAAGTACCTTACGATCGGGTCAAAATTTAAAAAACACTACAATAAATACTCACATTGTAACATATAACTTCAACTTTTGGAAAATTCTTTGTTTGATTGAGCTCCTTTTACTCCAAGATGGGCTAAAGTATTTAATGGAGTTAATAAAAACTATAAATCTTGGAAGATTTTTCGTCCAACATGTTTTTTTTTTTTAAATATCTGCTTGTATAAAGTCAAAATGTGGCTAATATTTCTGCAAATGCTGTGCCCGTAAAATTAAAATTGCAAGAATAAAGTTATGATTGGTTTGAAATAAAACCAAATGCGTTGAATGTGTTAAATGTTCTGGCTTAATTGCAATATATAAATTGAACCTATGATTATGTTATATGACCTGAATTGAAAATGATATTTATGGGTATGTATGCAATGGTTTTCAGTACAATATCTAATTGAATCGAATACAAATAATGATAGATTTCAATGGAAAAAGATGGCAAAAAATGCAAAAATAAAATTGAAATGAATTGAACAAAAGAAGAAGAAACCTTATTGTATTGTAATCCAAGGTGAAAACGATGACAAATATTGTGAACACATTCACCTTTTTTTTCTTTATTCTCATCTAAAAACAGTTGTATTAAAAATCAAATAAGGAGTGGAAAAAAAATCTAATCAGAAACAATATTTTTATCACAACTTCCACTCATAAGCAATAGAGAGCCTTCTGCTGACTGGATTTGATTGTTTCTATTTTTAAAAGCTTAAAATATAAAGAAAATGCCAATTCTAAAATTTCATCGCCAATGTATCATCACACTCATTTAGTAAATCATTCACGTATTCACAAGTGGATTTGTAACGATGGATGTATGTGTGTGTCATAATTCATTTACCTTTTTTTGCATCATTCAACAAAACTCATTCATTAGCAATTGTACTGAGAGACATTGTCAGTACGATGAAAAGAAACAAAAAAAAATACATGTATAGAATATTTTCGACTGATTGTAAGCAATTATTGAATTCTATTTCGAAACAAATGAGAGTTCTAATTTAAAATGAAATTAAAAAAAAATGAAAATCCACTTTCTAATCTAAATGTATTGTAATATTTAAAAAAAATCGAAGCAAACAAATTAAAAAGCACTAAATATAATCCAAAATCAATTCGTTCTCACCAAAATAAAAGAAAAGAGAAACATTGAACAGAAAGAACAACAAATAACTTTGCCAATTGTTAGTTCGAATTAAAATAAATAATTATTGAAGACGTAGAAAATTATAAAAACTGAAATGAAAGCACGATATATAGCAGCGATCTCTTTTCAAACAATTTCTTTTCCGACCATTTTTTTTATCGAGCTGTTGCGAGGATATACATTTTTTTTGGTGAAAAACTAACTTTCATCATAGACTTTAATCGTCAAAATGATGATTGAAATTTATTTAGTTGCCATGATAGAAACGATAGTACTCGTTAAAGCTTCGATTGAAACAAATTGTGAAAGAAAAATAAAACGAAGAATATCTGCGCCTTTGAACGTATCAAATTTAATCATAAACCGTCCTTTCAACCCCTTGACTTTCCTATTTTCCCGCTCCAAAGAAATGAAAATGCACATTTTCATAGCAAAAGAAATCCAGTACTCAAATCGATTTCATTATTATCGACAAAAATGGTTTCCTTGATTCATTCAGCATACTTATTTCATAAATGTTTTCATCAACGATAAATATACAATAGTAATTTTGTGAGAAAAAAATATTAGAACAACAATGGGCCAAATGTGATTTCGGCAATCATTTTGTAAAGAAAACCGAAAAAAAAAACACTTATATTTTTAATTAAACATTGTACGGGTATGTTTTTAAAGACAACAATTTTTTTTCTGAACGAACAAAGACTTGATCTATTTCATTATCATGAAATCAACCTTTCAAATCAATATGCCATTCATTGCAGTCAATTTGTTAGTATAATATTCATAATGTTGTTCATTTCCATCTCAATTCAATTCATTCGACATTTTTTGTCTATTTTTACCAGACAATATATTGAATTAACTGGTCAGTTGAGCTGACAGTACGTTAGCCAGCTAAATGAGCTGAAACATTAGAAGTTATTGTTATAATGAACAATCACTTCTATTAAAACAAGAGAAGTGATTCATCATTAAAACATTAACGTCTATTGTTTTATCCCATTTAGCTGGCTAACGTACTGTCAGCCCAACTGAGCAGTTAGTTCAATATATTGTCTGATTTTTACCTAGAACAGAAACATTTTATCGATGTTCCCATACTTTTTTCGGGATTTTTTTTTTTTTTTTTTTTGAATTATATAAAATATAACTCAAAGCCAAATGAAAATTGATGTAGGTTTACATTTTTTGGACTGAAATAAAAAATGATGAAGAATATTCAACTAGAATGAAATAGAAAGAATCAATAACGGAATGTATATAAACAAAAAGAATTGGAAATAGTGCAACCAATTTTTGAATAAGGCGAACTTAATCAAAACACAAAAAGACAAACACAGTTTCATTGAAATTTATTTTTAAAATAATTATGATTTATTATATTATTATGATATATTATCGAAACACCTCAATCACGTGTCATTTGAATGACGGAATGAAATTGCGGGCGATATAAATTGATAGCTACATGTATTTTTTTAAAATTAAAAGTCTGTCTATCAAAACCGTTACTGCAAAATTGCATAAAATTCAACAAAACAATTGACCTTTAAAGAAAAAGAAAACTATTTTCTCCTTAATCCTTATTCACAGCCATCCCCTCCCACATAAAGAATTAAATTAAGTGATATACTCAAACAAAAAATTAATTAATTAATAACAAAGACCATCTTGTTTAACAATTTTTATCACATTTTTTTTGTTCGTTTTTTCTTCACAAATTTATTCAAAATGTTTCTCTGAAAAACTAAACCAAAAAATGGAATACATCTAAGATAAAAACAAAACATAAAATTATTGTATCGTTAAATCAATACAAGAAAATTAATTTATTATTACACAAAACACTGTCAGAATTTATGTGCTAACTGAAAACAAAAATTTATGAAACCAAAAGAAATTTAGTACCAATTCTTCTAGTACATACAAAACAAACACAAAGAACACATTAAAAAAAACAGATATGTGCTTTATATTGTTTTAAATAAATGAAAAATTCAATGCGAAAGTAAATCGAAGACGGTTTTTTATTCAATATCCGATATTTTGTTGACTCATGAGTTATTAGCTCAATATTTTATTTAAATTTGGCGCCCTTTTTCACCTTCATCCGAAGTGTTTTCGAAGATTTTTTTTTTCGCCCTTTTTCACCTTCATCCGAAGTGTTTTCGAAGATTTTTCTTTTCTTTCCTTTTCTGTCTTTGGAGCAGCTGTTCGCACGTGAAAAATCGTCTTCCAACGTCTCTCCAAGTAATGTATCCAATTCTTCATCTTCAAACTTTTTCGGCTGACCTGGGCGTTCTTTGTCACTGATATCAAAATCATTACTTTCAAAGCGTTGAAACCATTCGTAACACCGTGTTTCCGATAGAGCATTTTTGCCATAGGTTTTCACAAGCAAATTATGACTGTCAGCAGCAGTTTTCTTTGCGAAAAAATAGCTGAGTAAAACTTCCCGCAAATGCTGTTCTTTTCTCCAGTTTTCAAAATTTTCCATAGTTGAAAAAAAAAAACGTCTGCTCAAGATAAAATATTTGTTTTTACTGTTTTGACAGCTGTTGAATGACACTTTCAAATGACATATATTTCATTGATATACTACGACACAATTACAAGTAGTGACAACTAGCGTCAAATTCCCGTTATTAAGTTTTAATCCCAATATTTAGAAAATTTGGTAAACAAATATCTTTTGACTTGAAATTTTTCACTCTTTATTAAAAAACAAAAACAGAAGACATTTGCATTAAATGCAACGATTAAAATCAAGAAAATTGTATGTCACTTAAATACATACAATCGCTTAAATAAAGTACGATTGACAATGGTATTTCATGAATATGCAAACGGCCTTGAATGCGACCAAGTACTAGAATATGAAGTCGCATACTTTATTTAAGCTGTCAAATTTATTTTGTTTGTCAATATTTGTGAATCAACGTTTATTCAATGAAACGAAGCTCAGTATAACAATATTGAAAGAAAATACCACAAACAACAATAATTGGACATTCGATAGAAACAAAAGTCAAAAATCATGTCGATGATACCAATGTTTCCTTCACTCAGACCAACAGTTGGAAGTAGTATTTGCATAGATGCCGATACACCATGTGACGAGGAATCTGAATTACGGGAAATTGAAAAGGAGCATGTTGCATGGGTAAGATTCATATGTTATTTTCTGCTACTACTATTCATGTGGGTAATGTATTGAATTTTTTGAGTAGCTTAAATCAATTCAACAAACTGCATTCGATCTTGCACCGTTTGGAAAAGTGCCACCATCAGGCCCTGATGGTGCTGATACGGACGATGAAGGTAACTCATACAATTTCTATGTATAAACGTCTTACACCTCCCATTGTTGAGGTGTAAATAAATGTTCCGAGAAAATGCATCAAATTAATTTATTCTTTTATTCTAATCCTTTCCGTGTGTAGCTGGAAACGATGACAGTGAAGATTCAGAAAGTCGTGACGAAGAAGAGGAAGAAGATGAAATGGATGCCATCGATGCAAATCAAACGCCAAATATTAATAGTGCTGCCACACTAGATACAATAGATACATCGTCACCAGATATTTTCAATTAATTAGTTTTAATTTCTATTAAGCCATTAAAGAAGGAAATAATCTTGAATTGGTATGCACCTGTGGCTTTATCTATAACTTGCTCGTTAGTACAATAAAAAACGGGTGCCCGTTGAGGTCGATTAACTGATATAAAATTAAGTTTGATACCATACGCCAATTGTGGCTTTAAAATATATTTGTGTCATTGAGATAGAAAAAAATTAAATTTACCAAGGAAATAAAAAAGAATAATTGTAGAATTTCTTTTTTATTATTTATACATTTTTCAGCGCTTAACTTGTTTCACAAGTCTTTTTTCAAGAATTGTTTCTTGAATAATACAGATATAAAAAAAAACTTCGAAAAACTTTAAAATAAAGAAGCACTGAAATTAACCGGCTTCGATTGTAAAGACGAAGAGCAGAACAACGTTAAAAAACGCTATAATATTCTTTATCTTAATGAAATTGTTTAAATTCAAGAGACAACCTTCCTATTTAAAATCCTATTTTTGTCGTATCTGTGCAACCTGCAACCACTCGGCAATTTGAATGACGTGAAATTGGTATTTCGAGAAGAGATGTTGCTCCGAAATTTAGACTCTTCAGGAAAAAGTTTTTTTGGGAAACGTTGTTTTTACTCACCTTATTTTTTTCGAATTATTGAAAATATCTGAAACAAATACAAGATTTTTGCATTCTGCACCCAACTGTGTTGCTGCCACAAATTTGTAAACGCTAAAAAAAGAAACTACGCTGAATTTTATTTGATCTTTTTTTAATATCTAGTTTTATTGAATATATGTATATCTTGTGATTTTCGTTCAGAAAAAAAAACTTGTAACTCTGGTTAACTAAATTTAAATGTTATTTTTGAATTCTGCGTAATTCTACAAGTGAAAAAAAAAGAAGATGTAATAAGGAAATTAAATATGAACAACTGAATAAAATGACATGGAAAATGTATGTCGATATAATTTTGTAACTCTGTTTTTGTCTCTTTCCACCTTTCTATTTTATCGCTCCGTTAAAAAAAATAAAAGTTGAGTTAAAACCGAAGTGTTTGTGTTCTTTCTTTGTAATTAGCAAAAACCAAGTGCAAATTTGATCGAGTTTTTATGTGTCTGTTTTCTAATAGCGATCACGTGAGTCGGATCGACTGCGTCTATCACGTGACAAGCTACGAGAGCGTGATCGGGTGCGCCGGGGTGAACGTGATCTGTGAATCGTAAAGCAAACAAATCAATTTTAGTTAAACATTATTGAAGAAACATTTGAAATAAATAAATAAACAAATAAGTAATAGAACAATATGGCAGAAGGATGGTTCGTTCCTTCTCCTAACTGAAAATAAAATATACAAAAAAAATCTATGTTTTCAGTTTTTTAAAAATTACAATCTAAAAATTTATCTATTTACTACACTGACTATGCACAGAAAAAAAGCTAAAATGTTCTGGAAACGAAAATTCAATTGATTACGTTTTTAATTTATCCCTAACAATATACACACTTCATGATTTACTTTTTTTTTTGGTTGCCAAAACGAATATATTTAAAGAAGTGTAGCTTTTTCCATCTATTCTGAGTGGAAAAACACTTCTTTAAATATAGATCGATTTTTTTTTGTTTGTCATTTTGAAATTTATGTTTAACATTAAATTGGAAATTTCAACGGGGCAAAATTCGAATCCGAAAATTTACCATATTTTTCTTCTTCAAATATTTGCATTTCTTCTGCCAATTTCTTCATTTTTTTTATTCAAACATTTCAATTTATTTATTTTTGTGTTCAGAATATTGTACAATACAATCAATTGAACGCTTTATTCCATTTACCGAATAAAGCAATATTTGCGATTGTAATGCGATTTTCATCTACGATTTCTACGAAAATGAGCGATGCTTTGTGATGTGACATCGCGCACTATGGTTATGAAATCGCAATTCGATTTTTTTTTTTGAATGAAATACTCAAATTATATTTTCTGAAATTCGTTCTGTTGCCTCTAAAAAAATCGTGAAATTTCCAATTGAATGTTTAATATAAAACAAGCAATAAATCGACGGTAACAGATAATTCAGTTGTTTTGAAAAAAAAATGGATAAAAACTGTTTGGAAAATTGGCATTTAAAAGTATATATAGTATGATATATTTTCTGTTCGCATTTTAATTTATTAAAATGTAAAAATTAAATAATGAAAGAATAAACAAACCACTAAACGATGACGTGGTTGATCGATGTGGTGGTCGGTGTGGAGTGTCGATTTTTTTTGGTTATATTTGGATTTTAAGTTTTTTTTAAACTAGTTCTTTTGATTGGTTTGTGATTTTGAGGCAACTCTATTCGCTGTTGAGCAGAGGTAGTAGTAGTTACAAGACGGTTGAGATGTCTATCCTACTCTAAACGGGTATTCGTATTGTGTGTCTTTTTCTTTCAAAATTTAAATTGGGTTATATATGTGTGTGTGTATTGTGTGAAGCTGAGCAGATTGGCATTTCGATTTTTTTTTGGGAGTACCATTTAATAGGTGTGACCGGATTTTTTGGTTTTGGAAATTCGAGCGCTGCTGATTTTTGACTGATTTAAGTGCCTACGATATTAAATACGTGAAGCGTGCGTGCAGATTCAGATTGGTTGGCTGTTTATTTATCGATTATTTGATTTTAAATTCAATATGCGCGTAGTTTGTGTGTGGGTTGTGTGTGTGTTTGTGTATGTTGGTTAGTTCGATGTGGTTGTGTCATAAATTTTTTTTTTTGGTTTATGTTGAGTGAAAGCACTTTAGCGGAATCTGGCGCAGGCGATGTTTGCTGGTCATTGTGACGCCGAAAATGTTGAGTTAATTTGTCATAAAAATGTGTTCGGTTTTTGGTTTTTTAATTGATATTTAGCGGCAGGGCTGAAAAATGTTGCATTTTGTTTTCTGCTTGATGGAAGCGAAGAAGCTTTGATGGAAGAGAAGAATCACGCCACTGTGTATGATGGGTTGACTTGTTTTCGTTGGCGATCGGGGTTATAGTTTTTTTTTATATATTTTTTAGATATGAAGGCGTGCAGTTTTTGATGTTGGTTGTTTTGTGGATTTTTTTATTTGGTTTGATCTCGTTGTGGCAGTCGAAGCACAGCGGATGAATTTAGTAGCAACAAACATCATATCATTTGTTTTGTGTTTTTAACAGTGCCATATTTTGTTTTGTTTTGGGTTTTCTAAACTCAGGTTCGGTAAATTTTTTTGTTTTGTTCTATTGGAGTTTTTTTTTTTTCGTTTCAGGAAGCATTTTATTGTTGAGAATAGGAAAGGGCTTTCTTCTTCTTATTCTATACCAACTTCATCTATTCCCACATACGTGTCAGACGGTGGTTTGAAAAGTGATCAAACGTGTGTGTGTGCGCGTGCGTGTGCGTTCGCTATCGTGCAATGGCTATCGTGAACCATCATTCGTGAGGAATCACATTTTTACATTAATGAAGGCTAACATTAAATTCGTGAGCTGGGAATGTTCCGAAACACAAAAATGGTCGTAATACAAAACGATGGTTGAAAAATAATCGACTGGTCCAAATTGGAGCTCTTAAGCGATGATGGAAATTTGATTTTACTTTCAGGAATTTATTGAAGTGTCGAAAATTTGGTGAAAACTCCATAAAATGTTGAAGATTGATCCACAGTCAGTGGGTAGATTAAATTGAATTGCTCTGCATAAACATATCAGAACAACAACAACAACAAATGTTCAGTGCGAACGAAGTGCTATATTGTTCCATTTGAATTCGAAATTCCGTCTGAACTCTGTCCGTCACATTTTTCCAAAATGTTTGACCGATTCTTTCAGATCTGATAAAGAAATGAACCATATACGGGCGATTGTGTAGCTCGGCCCTTGGGAAGTGTATGTGGTTCAAGTGAAGATAAAATGCTTGCGAACGCACAATAAATTAAAATTGTTGGCCGATCCAAAGTCGAGATGAGATTTGCCCATTTTATCCCGACAAAAACTACGAATTGGAAGAAGAAAGACGAAGATGGCGAATAATACGGTTTGTAGACATAGAGTAGTAGATAGTAGTAGTGGATGTGTAGTATGATTGAAGTGATGATTCAAGATGAGAGAAGCTAAGACCCTGAAATAACCACACTCGATTTTAATTTATAAATTTTTGTTTTGGGTTTTTTGTTGTGTTTTAAAAAAAAATTAAATATACAAAAAAATTTGTTTTGTTTTTATAAAGAACGAAACAAAAACGTCCCAACAACTTAACAAACGTAATTTATAAAATAATTAAATGATTCTCATCACACGATTCAATGGTTTTTTTTACTCATCATCAATAAAATATATATTCATAGATATGTATATGTATCTGAATTATTAAAAAAAGAGCAACAACAATTACATTGACAACACATTGCAATTGTACAACATCGTATCGATTGGGTCACGATGTACAAGTAAATTTTCCTGTTTCAATTTGGTTTGAAACGTAGGCACTTGAAAATAAATCACACCAAGAAAATGAAATTATCAGTCGAAAGAACTTTTTGACGCTTTGCAATTTTCATGTGTATGATTTTGAGCTAATCATAAAACGAAAATAAAGAATAAACAAAAAAAAAATTGAACAAAAAAACGGGAGAATAAAAAGAAAATGTTGCTACAAAGCGTATCACATTTTAAGTTCTTTCGCGCATCACAGAATATTCATTTTGAAGCAAACAATTATAATTTAATTATTATTTCAATAAATTAATAAATAAAAAATGGAATTGTTTTTTTTTTTCGAAAAGGACAACAACAACAAAATTAATAGAGAAAATATTTTGATTCGAAACGAAACAAAAATTCAAACTTAAATACTTCCATTACCATGAATGATTTCTACAAATGTTTTTTTGTTTTCGTATATTCAATCGATATTAAGAAATTATTAGTTTAAATAATATTGAAACATACCTATAACGATTACGGCCACCACCGCCTCCGCCGCCACCACCTCGTTTGCGATCATCTCGTCGTGATCGGCCGGATGACATTTCTACACGAATTCTCGTTCCACAACAACGTCTACAATCATCGAAAATAATATAAAATTTTGAGATATTTTGACTATTTTCAATGTATTATTTAACTTACGATCCATCAAGACCACGGACCGCGTCTTCGGCATCACGGCGATCTTCAAATTCGACAAATGCAAAGCCGGGTGGATTTCGTGCAACCCATACATTTCTCAATGGGCCATATTTACTGAATGCATTTTCAATTTCATGTTTTGACGCCGAAGAGCCGAGATTCCCAACGTAAACTTTACATTGCAAATCCCATTCACGATAACGTGACATATCGTCTTTAATTACTGCAATGAAATAGAAAAAAAAAAACATATATAGTTCAGTTGAAAAGAATATGTTTGGTTATGGTTGCCTATTATTGACATTATATAAAATGAGGCACACACACACATGCACATGCACTCTCGGCAAATGAAGAAATATCTTTTGAACGTTCGCTAAATTTCTATTCTTTTCGTTAGAAAAAATATAGTTTGACGATTTTTTGATTTTAAATGAAATTGTAACGATTTTATTGAACCAAAATAGATAAAAAAAAGACTTTAAAAACGTTTCTATTCATCAAAAACAATATTCACACTAATTGGTGGTGTAGAATAAAAATGGCGTCAACGCTTCACACATTTCGGAGAATACGCACTACAAAAATAACTTTTTCTAAAAAAATATGTTTCTCCGATTTACATGCGGTTCGCATCGGTTTTTAATAAGCAAAGAATTTTAACGTAGAATTTACCTTTAGTCAGCTTGAATAATAATAAATAAACCAAATAATAGATTCACACTGTATTACACAGATGAACAAAAAAATAATGTTGATAATGAGATAATGAATGTTAATGTTTCATCGAAAAAGCACGACTGCGCTAGTTTTTTTTTTCTTCTTCTGAAATATGGCAGAATGCATGCCATTGAGCATCTCCAAATCTAAAGTACACATTTTAGTTTGATGAGCACACACTGGCGCCACCAATAAATTCAACACAATGGTTTGAAACATTGCCATTGAACTATTGTGAGGTCGTTTAGTGAATAACGAATTCATTTCAATTTTTTTTACTGTGATTTTATTTTTATCACAATTTTAATCATCAACCAGATTTTGAAATAAATCAATGAAATTGAAAAAAAAAAAAACATTGCCGCCGTGAAATGTTAAATAAAAATTACTGAATGGATTAGACGAAGGTCGGTTTATATGAGTCATACATTTCACTCATAATGCAGTTTCATTATTGTTCGCAATGCCACAAACAATTTCACTTGTTTAAAATATATTTTAATGTCTATGCAGAATTTCTTGAATATTTCCCGCCATTTTTTCTTTTAATTTTCTGTCGGATTATTTTTACGGTGACAACCATTTATTTTGCATCTAACTTGTGAATTCAACTTACTTTTTTATAATATTCACGATCCAAATTTGAAAATATTTATTTATATTCAAATAAGTTTTATTTTATGTATTGGAAACGATTCCGTGATGTTTTTTCTCTTGCATAGGAAGCAGATAGAATTTGTAGAAGAAAAAAAAACAACTTTTGAAAATCAATTAATTTTACTTTTTCCTGTTTTAAGATAGTTTTTTTTTCTTTTTTGCATGCAAATAATTAATTTTCAAAATTCAACTTATGTTACCGGTTTTTATTTAAATTTATATAAATCATCAATGTCATTCTTACGGACAAAAATTAAAATGTCCGGAAATTATATCGGTACACCTATGAAAAAGTTGATTTTTGAAAAATAAAAATGTCCATAAAAGTACACTTTAGGTACAATTGATTCGTGCTAACCGCAAATTTCAAATGCTACTGTACAGCGCTTTTTCGCCAAAGATTATTACATTTTCCAAATATATTTTTAATTTTCATCTATTAATTGAAATATTTTACCTATAAAAGTTCAAATTTAAAAATATCCACAACTTTGTTGAAAAGTGTTTATTTTGAATGATAACTGGTAGGGGATCTATGGATCTACTATAACTTTTGTGGAATTTATAATTTAAAATAAACAGTCTATTTGAATTGTTTGAACAACTGTTTTCATTCGTAACTTCTATTAAAAATTTGGAAAAGACACTTAATTCATTTAACTCGAGTATCGGAAAAAAGTGTGCGATCACATGTTGAACACAAATTGAATGAATGAAAAGAAGAAAAAAATTAACCTCCCTTACGATTCGATAGCCAATTTTAAGACGTTGAAATTTTATTGTCGCTTAAAATTAGAAGACTTAAGACAAATAATAATAGTAATTCATTGAAATGATCAGATGAATGAAGCGAATTCCTTTGAATTTAATTTATTTCTCTTTCATATTTAAATTTCAATTGTTTGCTGCCGCAATTTTCAGCCATTTTAATAATATCATAATTAATAATTAATTGCAATTTAAATGTCTAATAGCCGAAATGTGCATGAGATGAATTCATTTTTATGATCATTATAAATTGCAAAAATCATGAATGAATCAAGGGAAAAGATTCGGTGTGTGTCGCTTCTGACAATGAACGAAAGAAAACTGATAGAAAAAATTAAAATACGTTCGCTCACCAAATAATTAAATTGTAGGTATTGTAAAATAAAAGCGATCCGATTATGAATACTCAATTAAATAATAGCGTTGTGCAGCATTAAATCATTGCCAATGAATACAAAAAAAAAAAAACAACAGCAACCACAATCGATCCAATATAATCAAAGACAATTGATAGTTCATTAAACTTTTTAAATAAAGTGAATAGAGCGAGAGAGAGAGAGAGAGAGAGAGAGAGAAACGCGGCAACGGCAACAAAAACGGCAAATGATAAGAAGGCGTGAAGAAATAGGCAAATAAAGTAGCATCAAGAGAAAAACAAATGTACAAATATCGTGTGTATGAGCGCGTGTATACACAAAAAAACCATTGCAGACATAAATAATGATCCGAACCAAATGCAAAAGCAAACTGTAAAAAGTGCACAAAACAAAAGTGAATTTTCGAGTGCGAGCTGAACGAAATTGAAGAGAGAGAGAGAGAGAGAGAGAGAGAGAGAGAGAGAGAGAGAAAGAGAGAGAGAGATACGCGAGAAATAAACATACACACTCTGCACCGATTCGGAACCAAAGAGAGCGTGCGCGCGATCGAATAGGAAATCACTGCAAATGTGTTGTTGTGCATTTTGTTTATGTTTTTTTTTTATAATCATTTTGAATAAATAATATAAAATTATTTTGAAGAGGTACGAAAAAAAATGTTAATAACTCATCCATTTTCCCATTGTTAATATGTGCAGTGTGCACATTAATTTTTTTTACTTCGAATTTCATTTTTGAGTGCGGAACTGATTTGAGATTAATTATAGAAAAGATGCATTTGCTTTGTGTAGGAAATAAAAATGTGCAGTAAAATCTTCTTTATGTCTTTCATTGATTTGATGTCGAGTGTGAAATCAATTGTGTATATTTGTGTTATTCTTCATTCGAAATGAAAGAAAAAAAAACAAACAAACAAACATTTCGTTGGAAATCCATTTTCCAATCCAAAATCGGCGACTGCGACAAGAGAAAGAGTGAAAGAATAAAAAACAAAGTACCGTCCTGAATGACCGAAATGGCCACATGGTGTTTGATGTCATATTTAAATATGATGAACTCGAGACAGTCCGTTTTGTATGCACGCATTTAAGCGCGTTGAGCTAATTCAATTAACTGGCCTTTAGTCGAAATTCGCTGTTATGCAATATCTTTTTGCCATGTGTGTGTGTGTCTTTGTGTGCATAGATCCGATCTTCAGATATTGCATATATGTTTACATTTTCATAGTCTCAATCAAACGAAGAGCGAGAATGGGGAGATAGAGCTTTGCTGTAATGCATATCGGTATATGTGTGGCGCGCGCTAATAATAAATAATCATACTGTAGCTGGATGACAATGCAATTGAATGCAGTAATATTGTAAAATCGTATGCACGCCGGTATGAGCGAGTGAGGCGGTGTGCGCTCGCGCTCATTTCGCTTATTCGTTTGGTTGCGAAGAGAGCATTTGACACGCGGGAAAATGATATGAGTGAAGAGAAAGAAATGAAACGGACCAGCGAAGAAAAATGAAAAGAAAAACGTTAATGTTCGCAAAAACAAAACAGAGCGCGCACAAATAAAACCAAAAGCACAAAAGTGTAAGTTGCTGGCGGTTTTTTTTTCTCTCTTTTTGCCAAGACAAGCACTGCATATCGTCTCTCTGTGCTATGGTATGTTGCATGAAGAGTGTGTATTTGTGTGTGTAGGGTCTAGCGTTCGTTCACCTTTCAGTAGTGGCCATTGGCCGATCTAATATGACTGTGTGTACGTTTATTTCATACACTTACTCGCCTTTACGAAGAAAAAAAAACATCAACAACAACAAAGCAAAACAAAACACGTAAAAATGTGCATCTTTTTGCGAGATTTGCTTTCTGAACCTATTCTTCACTGTGCTCTGCACTTTTGTTACATAAAAATGCACTCAACATATGCATTTTTCGTGCCTCTCATGTGTGCAAATTGAACATTTGTGCGACATACACACACACACGTTGTGATTGAACAGAGAAAAAAAAATCGGCTGAAAAAGAAGAAGAAAAAGATAAGTAATTATACATAAATTGATCATTTCTTTATTACTGCACTGATAAAATCGTCGGCCAAAATATAAGCGTATTTGGACCATGATGAAATTACTTACACTACAAAATGCAACGGTTTCAGCACCGGTGATGTTAGAAAGAAAGTCAAGAGATTTAAAAAAAAATGACAATCGGAGTTTTATTCTTGATATTTAATAATTAAAGATAAAGATGACCATAACCATAATTAAATGAATATGTTCAATGGAAAATGTCACTGAGGTCATATCAACCACACTCGGATTTTGAAGATTTCTGTCATATTTACGATTACTTACGATGTCGAATCGACTTCAATTATCTACACCGTTTATGATTTTCTATCTTACATGATCCGTACAGTTACTTTTGCTGCTGATTTGAAACCGGCCTCCATATCTAATTCAAATAAAATTATTTTTTTCAAAATGAACCATGAATGCTTATCGTGCCTTGATCAAATGTCATGTTTTTCATTTTTTTTTTTTTTACATATTATTCATGTATGATCAATGTTAATCGAATACATTAATCTTGACAAAGTTCATCAAACTCGCAACTCCGGTGTGCGAAAAATCCTCCGATTTTTTTTTTCGTTTCTTACTACACTCTCAAAAATATGAGATGGCCATGAACAATGAAAATATCAACTAAAACTTGAATGTTAATAAAAACCCTACAGCAGCGGCAGTAGCAACAGTACACTATCAAAAATTCCTTTTTTGAGCTCCTTGTAAGTGCGGCCAGAGAACTAAAAATTATTATATATTAATAAAAAAAGGTCTTTACGGTACAGAAACCTATGTGCGTCACTTCATTTAAAACAAAAAAAAAACGGCCAATGGATATACCGTAAAAGAATTGTCTCATAATTATGTTTCTTTTTCTCTCTGATTTTATTAAAAATTGTTCATTCCATTTATCATCGGTTGTCAATAGTAATTATTTGATTGGCGCAACTTACAAACCTGCACATGCACACGTGGTTCAAGAGAGGCTATATCAACCGTTTTTTTTAGTTGAATGGGTTTTCGGTTGCCCATGATTGACATAATAATAAAATCAAAGGCAAAAAAGTGAACGAAAATCAAGGTTTTCAACCGAAAAAATACAACAACAACAACCACAACACTAAGCACTTTCATTATGTTGAGTGTCATTTATGCGCGTGATGTGCTCTCCACATGTATCGTATACGATACACAAAAGGTATTGAGAATGACCGAATAAATCTGCGTCTTTGAAT